AACATAACTTTTACAGATCAACAAAAAACAACAGGAGTCTTAGTCTAAACATTGAAATTTGCTTCAAGCCTAAACAATTGTAGTTCTTATAGACTTGAGAGAAAATCAGTTAACAGACTTCCAAACCTTTTATAATACATCAGTTAACATGTCTGTTATTTTACTCTTGCACACTGCTAAGTTTCTGAGTTTTAAATTTGCCATAAGAATTAAGAAAAATTAATGTAGTTATAATTTGAAATTTTATATATTTACTAATTATTAGTAACTAGCGCGGATACTAACTTAGGTTAAATGCTTCAAGTTCTTTACTTTTGAGTTTTAAAGACGCTTATTATTCAGAGAACATTTTGCGTTATTCTCTTTAGTAAGTTAGGTAAAAAAATGTGTACGTTTTGTTAAAAACAATTACTTATTCTAGTTTATTTTTCATCGCATACGGTAAAGCATTGCAAAGACATTTTACTGTTTGCAGTTGAATTTAGAGCATCAAATCTGTTTTTTAATAAAATACATGCTTAATATTTTTTAATTATTATGGATGAATATGCCGTACGATGACATAAGTCATAAATCAACAAGTAGGAACCTACACGTTATTCGCAGTCGGCATCCTAGATCGTCTTTACACCTGCAATAGCGCATGCAATGACCTTTTTAAATAATAGACAAAGATGCCGCTATCATACTGTTTTTTTTTAAATTGTATTACAATACAAATTATATCGTCACAACAATTTGATGATTTATTTCAAAACCAATATGTTATTTGCGCCTATTTTTTTGAGCGTTACAATAGCACAAAGGGACCTTTTTTAAATAATAGACAAAGACCGCTAGCTGCTAGCTGTTTGTTAAACCTATGAAATCGTATATTTTATTTACAGTCTACTAAAATACATACAAAATTCACATGAATATTGAGGCTATTCGGCTATTTATATTTTTTACGCAGTACATTTGTAAGCACAAAGAATAGCATAATCTTGGTCTTCGGGTCCAAACCCTCCCCTATGAGTAATTGTGGAAAATTGGGGCGATCACCTCACCGACCTCCCCTCAGATAATCCTAGGATATATATATATATATATATATATATATATATATATTATAATAATTTAGGTAAAAATTACATTGTGTCATTTTATATTATGTCATTGATTTATTTGATCACATTTAAAAAACATTATTTTCTAACTATTAAAATACTTGATAAATACGATTTTATAAATATATTATAGATAAATATGTTTTTCATACCTGTGATAAAATAAAATATTAAAAAAAAATAATTATTATAATATAGTTTAAAAAATAATTTTTTAAGCAATATTTTATTGTTATTTAAAACAGATTGTTTTAGAAATTTTTAAAAATAAAACGTTTTGAAAATGCCATTTTTGGAATTTTGCAATATTTCAAAAATGTTAGTAAAACGTTTCTTTACACATTGGGCTATTTAAGAAAAAAATCTAATTTAGAAGTTATAGAGATTATGAAAATGTACAAAACTTAATTTAATTAAATTTATTGTCTTAGTTAAACTTAAAATAGTTTTTTTTAAAAATATTGCATTTTTTAATTAATAGTTTTTTTAGCGCAGACTTGTTGCGCTTTACAGCTGTCTAACTGCAGAATTCTAAAATTAATAATCTGTTTTATTGTATGTAATCTAATGGATATTTTTTTAAACTAGTAAAGGTCTAATCAAATTTACAACACATAACAAGCTTGCAGCTTTGACGATAATTTTTAATATAATTGAATGTGATTAATATATTTTTGTATCATTTGTTTTTGCTTCTAATTTTCAAATAAAAGTGTATTTTGCTTAAAGTGAGATAAGACTAATTACAATTATTTATAATAAACTTAATACAACTAATTCAATATTATTTTTAAAATGATATTTAAAAATAAATTCATCATAGGGTAACAACAGGCACTACCCCCAATTATTGGCAATATAGTGTTTCTTTTTTATAACACAGTTATTACATCAAGATATTTTATAATTTATACCATTAAGATAAATTGTTTTGACAAAACTTCATTAAAAAAACAATATATTTTATCTGTGATATAAAAAAACAAAGCATTGTCAAAGTCAGGATTATAGTGTCAATAACTGGTGCCTTTACCCTAGTAAGAAATAAACACAATTTTTAATTTATATATTTATTTATTTAGTACGAATTTATAATTTTTTACAATATATTGCAAATAAGGTATCTATTATTTTGTAAGAACACATGATTAAGATGGTTTCACTTGAAGTATACATTTTTTTGTAATGAAAAAATACTTTACATCACATTTTTATAACTAATACTGTAACTGTTTAAATAATAAATAGCTTATGGTTTAATAGCTCTATTATAACTATTATTCTATCGTCAATTCATATTATATCCACAATTTTTTCACAAATCCAATACGATGACATCAATAATTATCAATGAACCACATCAAAATCAATACAGCTTTTCACAATTTTTCTTTGGTTGTACAAATAGTTTCTATTTTAGATACTTACTCACCTAGTTTTTATTTATAGGTATACATTTAATTTGAACGTTCAAATCAACTTAATTATATAATTGTATCTGCAGTCTAGAAGGGTCGATGTGTAACACAGGTATACAATTATGAATAATATTCAAAATAAATTACATATTTTGAATTATTTTGCTATAGTTCAAACTTTTAATAGTCTGTAAAATATATTTTGATATTTACAGCATTTGAAAAAAACAAATATATTATTTTATTATAATAACATAATGGATTTATATTATATTAAAATTAATTTTATTAGTATTACAAATAAATATTATTAAATGTACGTTATACAATCTACTGAGTTTATATAAAGTAAATAGCGTTTATATGATTTCATTGATAAGACTGTTCTTCACTAAACTTTCTTTGTTCTTCTTAGTCTAATTATATAATTGCAATCCATGAATGTAAGCTGAAACAATGCGTTGTAAATAGTTTAGCAGGTACCAACAAGGTTGAGTTAGTAGGTGTGTATAAACTCAAATGTGTATAGATTAAAATGTGTAAAATGTGATGCATGCATAGTACTGTTTATAGTTGTAAGGTACTTGTTTTATTTGTTGATAACTTGGGATAAAGAATATTTATTTTTCATATGAAACAATTTATACATAATTGTAGTATCGTAATACTACAATACTACAATTATTTAGATTTTTAAACTATCTCTTTTTAACTAGTTTATTTATTATTTGTTTGATTTTACCTAAGTGAGTTGCATAGTCATCTCTTAATGCTAATATGTCTTTATTCAAAACAGATATTTTAAATTGATTACTTTTTAAGCATCTAAAATTAACCCTTAACCACTTATGTGAGTTAAAAGTTTACCCCAGTTACAAAATATACACATGTGACTGATGTAAAAAGTTTACCCAAGTCACACTTAATTGAAGTGTGACTGAAAACAGCAAGAGTAATGAAGTGTTAAATATTTATCAGTGTATGTATACGCTAATAAATTTTAATGCTAATAAATTATTTCAACTTTTACTCTTTCTTGTAATGGAATTGGTAGAAATATGATGAATAAAAGGTTAGGCTATCAAACAAGAGCATGTTGAAAGCGCCCCAGAATGTTGGTCGTATTCAATGAAAATCTAGCCTTCCTTTAAAACGTTTGAACCAAACAAAAGTTACACAATGACTTAAAAAAAAATCTCCAAAAATCAACTCAAGTCTCCATAGTTTTTTAATAGTTTTTAAAACCTTTTCCAATTATTACAAAATATTTTCTATCATAGAATCGCGGTTTTGTATAATATTTATAATTTTGAACATGCGCTGTAAATAACTAGTTTGAAATAATGACTTTAGTTATAAACTAAGTACTGAAAATGATCTCTATTTAATTTCTATAAAATTAGTGTGTTTTAACATTAATAGTTAATCGGTAGGAATTTTAGTCTAGGTATTTATTAAACACACCTTGTATGTAATGTATACTATTGATTTTTAATACAGTAGTTTATAATTTAAAAAAATAGTAACTATTGTTAATATTGAAAGATAAATTACACATACAAAAAATGTATTTAAAATAAAAGTTTTTTTTTAGATACTGGTTTTTCATAAACTTTACAAATAGCAATAGTTTTGTTTGTTTTGTGATAGATTTAACATACCATAGATGGACAATGTTCATATCATATTGTATGAAACTATTTTTTTTAAATTTCATAAAGATATGATATCCAAAAATATGTTAAAAATAGTTAAGTACACTTAAATTGACGCAACAAATACATGGAAATGTTATATCCATTATGTAGCTGAATGTTACATTAGTGTCTTTTATTTTTAATATTAATATCTATTAACAATAATTCATTACCATGAGCATAAGCCTATTGGATCCAGCAAATTAAACATATTATACATGTAGTAACCACAAAAAAAAGCAGTCAGAAAATAAAATTATGAATTGGTAGAAAACATTTCCTTGTAGTTTATATAGCCAATCTGTGAGTATAGAGTATGGAGTTCAAATACCTATACGTTTTTCTTATAAATAATTGTAGGTAAATAAAACATGTAAATCTAACTAATATTACAATATTAATTATTCAAATTCATCAAAAAATATTACATAGGCTCAGCAGAGGTATTACGCTATCAACAACTGGAAATTATCATTTTATTGGTAAACAAACCAAAATTATTTTAATGTAATAAACCACTATTTCCAATTTTTTATTATTTCCATAGGATATTTACATTTTAGAAAAAATGATAGTTGGGAAAAATGGTATTTGGTATTTCTCAATTTTATTGAAATACAAACATTCCCAACGGACAATTTACCTCAAATTCACTTTTCCCAATAAACAATTTTTCCATAGGAAATGTGGTCGTTGGAAAATATACAAATTGGGAAAAGTGGTAGCAACCCGATATTGTCAAACTAAAAAGAAACTACACTTTGAACGTAGTCAATTTTTAAGTTGCTATGTGTGAGTCAATCATCAGTGAACATCAACAATATTTTCAATGTATGGTAACAACGGCAAAAATTATTATTGACAACTCTAAAAATACTAAAAATGCATTTGTTAGCACGTCATAATTCATCGAAGCGTTTAACTGAAAGTAACGTGTGGTGACTGGCGGACAAAGAATTTTGAGTAGGTTGCTGGCAAAGCGCAAAACGTACGCTGGACTCTCTGACTCGAATTATTAGCTGTATGGGATCCCAGACAACACAACCGTCAACCATACTCCAGTACAGGCCGGACAAGAGCACAAAATAGCACTTTAATGTTATGCCTGAGTAGTCTTTTGCCAACCTCATAACAAAACCAAAACGTGTTTTAAAGATCTACAGCACACATATTAAATTATCAATATGCCGACTATAGTCAAGGTTATAGCTAAACTTGAAGCCAATATCTATTGTTAACAATTTGCACGGACGTAATTTTAGGATTTTAGAGCTGAAAAATAGACTGGAGTGTTAGGTTGTATGTATATTTTTACAGGTATGTATAACATATTAAAAAAAATCCTTCAACCCCGATGAACGATAATTTTTAGATGGCAAATCTTTGAAGTATGGATAGCAAACTCATCTTAAATGTATACACTATATTGTACTTGTATCCATAACTTATAAACCTTGACTTGGGTTAGGTTAGCTAATGCTTTGGTCATTTCTGTAATTATTTTAGAAATTACTATTGCAATTCGCAATATTAAACATTAGATGGCGCAGTTGGACATGATTTTCTACTCCAGACAATTCATATCGTTGTTTATCTTGGTTTTTTGATAACTACCATTCTTATCAGAAACGTTTTTCGCGCTCATATACATAATGCATTATACACTATATATCTATTCAGCTACTGAGTGCCGCGGCCTGCGTCTGTGTAATAAACAGGAATCTTGTCACTACCGACTACTCACTGAGCTTACGCCTTACAGGACTGTGGTCTGTGCCTTACGTTCTCGATCGCAGTCTGCTATTACTATATTTTTTTATTGTTTATCTACGTTTGTTTACTAATAAACTGTACCGTTATTCAAGCCGGCATACTATAATAAAAAATATATATATATTATATGCATTGGCTGCTGTTGGCGTATTTATTTTAATTTTTTGAGAACTTCAGTTGATACTCAAAAAATGGAACCTTTCCTACCATCGGAAATTGCTCGATTAGTATATGGTAAAATATTTCTGTTGATTATTGTACTGCTCTACGAGTATCTATTATTAATATTTTGTTATTTCTAATTTAAATTTATGATCACAGCAAACAACTTTTCTATCCAACAAGTAATATCTTCCTAGTATTTTGAATTCATATTTCATCTTGAACTACAATTTTTTTACTATACAGTTTATGATCATTGTATTTGTTTAGTTTTATTTTTTTATTTAAATTAGTTTACGCCCGCGAGGGCAAAAGTACAGAAATATTAACTAAAAACTAGTAAAACTAATGAACAATTATTACACATTTTAAACAATATAATTACAATTAATTAATTACTTATTGTTATGTTGCTTTTATAAAGTTTGGTTTTCAAAATTTGTCATGTTTATCACAAAATATGTTATACAGATTTATATATTTTTTTAGCAATGCTATTAAATAAGTTTTGTGCAAAGTTTTACTCTATTTCTTTTCATAGGATATTTGAAAAAAGAAAAAAATGAAGTTGCCGCAGAATGTTTTCTAAGGACATCTCCACTTTTAAAGGAATGTTATCAGATGTTTTTAGCAAAGCGGAATTTCAACAATAAAGTCAATGGATTTAGTTTGGATGACATATTCGATTATTTTGGAATTATATGCAGTATGAGTAAGTAGACAAACATACATGTTCTAAGTAACGGTTTTTTATAATCATATCTTTTAATTTTCTAAATTTTTGTTTGTCATATTACAAATACATGGATATAATATAATTTTAGTCGATGGAAAAATATCAGCCGATTATGAATCCAAGACGGTGATAGAAAAATTGCAATATATATTGGACACGAGTCATGTGAATCAGTCTACAAGAGTTGACAAGTGTGTAGAAACTGATCGAGAAACGAATGACAAATGTGTACAAGAACAGTTTAATTGTAAAAACGACAGTCCAAGTTTGTTGCAAGAAAGTCTATTAGTAATTAATGTGGTTACTCGTCCATCAGCTGTAGAACAAAGTCCTATTTCTTCTTTTGAAAAAAGCACAAATGATAAATTTTCCATAGCACATTCTACACCTTGTTCGTTTTCTAAGACTAAATTAAATGACATTACTAATATTGTACCAAACATCACTTCTGAATTTGAAGAAAACCTGAATGTATGCCCACAAAAAATTGGTTCTCCGTCAAAGCGTATTGAAGAAACAAAGAATTGTCCATCACCAAAAAGTCATCAGATTCATCCAACCAACTCTTTTCAAGGCCTAGGGGAATCGTTAAACACAAGTCTTCTGTAAGTATTTTACTTGCAAAGTACACTGAATTAACTAAATCTTAAAATACATCTTGATTATAATCTCAGTATGTCGCTTCTCAAATTTGTCCATAATTGTAAAATAAAAGCACATAATTTTTAGAAGACTTTTGGGAATAATTTATTATTCCAAAAACAAAAAAGTTCCTTTGTCAAATGAGTGTAACAAATAAATACAAATACATCTAGATCAAAAATGATCATTACTGTATTATTATATAATCGAATTAGTGAACCTTGAACCAATTTGTATTGTTATAAAGTAAATATATATTTAAAAATGCTCCAGAGATTATATTATATACAATATACTACATATCGACCAGTAAAGGTTTTAAGGTGTTTTTTTTTCTATTTTATTTGTTTGCACAATTTTTTCTTTATTGTAAGCAGATCTAATTGAATTTCATGTTAAGAAACAACTCATATAAAACGTATTTATTTTTTAATTTTTAGTGATAAACCAGAAATTCATCAAATACCTGAAGCGACGCCACTAGAAGCTATGCCAGGGTTATTGAAAGAAGATAATACATTAACAAGTTCTGTTAATAATACATATCAAGGCAAAAGAAAATTATTTAGAAAAAAAGCAGACACTATGAATAAATCTGTTGAAGCTGAAAAAAAAACTGATTTGTCAGTTACAGCTCAAAATACCCAAAATTTGAATTCATCGTTACTTGAAAATACATTCGATTCTACAGAATGTAATCCACAAATAAACAATCTGTTAGATGAATTTTTAAGTAAGTTTTTTTTATTTTTAAATATTTTAATAACTATTTTTCTAAATAATTTCTTTACTGCAGTAAAGTTTATATCTGTTGTATCAAGGACTATTGACATCATATAAAAAATACTATATACTTTAATTTACGAGTAAGAGAATGATGGAAAAAATAATCTTTATTTAAAAACAAAAAATTAATAGATAAGTTATCAGTACAAATTAAATAAAGTAAATAATATGATCACATACTACAATACTATAGCTTACAGATTACAGCAAAATGCAAATGTCCAATCTCTCTCTGTGGTTACCAATACGTAAATTACACTGTCAGTCGTCTGCTTTGCTTTTCGTTTGCACTTAGATCACACCCTTGGTCTTTTATTAATTGTATTTATTCCAGATGTGGTCCCTTTCTGTGATTCTTTCCTTCTATGAGCAGTTTTATCTTGCATTATAACTGAATTCTCAAGAGCTTTTAAATTTTTTTCTATAATTCGCCTTTTATTAACATAATTATACACTCAACTGTGCTCTGTAAATATCAATGCTCTGTGAATATTAATGCTCTGAAATATTAATCTATCTTATTTATCTATTTATCTATCTTACATTTTAAACAAGCATATTTTGTAAATTGTCGGTTATTTTTGTTTTTTGGTAGTTGTATTTGGTTACTTATATAAAACCGCGTTCTATTATTATCATAAAAAAAAAACACATTAGTTTTAAACACCTTAAATATTTGGTAATATTTTTCTTGTATTGACAAATTTATCTATCATAAAATTTCAAAATGTAATTTCTAAAAATTTTGTTTTTTTTTAAATTGCATATTTGTTATATAATATTTATTATAATATATTCGGTGAATTGTCCGACTAATAAAAAAAATAAGGGTGCATAATTCAAGTTTGCCATTTAATCCAACTGCTATCTAACCCAGTTCTAGAAATACCCTGGAGTATAATAAATGTCGTAACACGATTCTCGGCAGGTTTTATATGACAAAAAAATAACTCCCAATTCCATACACAGGCATTGTCAATTTACTTAATCAATAGCAATAAAAATATCTTACATAAATACATTAGTAGAACCAATGATAACACTACCATATTATGTTTGTATTCAGACAATGGAAATTTTGTTTTTTTATTGTACCTAAGATGTGTGTTTTTTATATAGAGCTACCCTGTTGTACCTTCAGTTTGGTTTCTGACTGACTAATGAGTTGTATGATTATAAAAATTATATCTCGGTCAAAGGTCAGTTGGATCAATTTTGACAAACATTTCATCAACAGAATAATCTTTTTCCTAGAGCGTCATACACCCTATCTTATATTCCTAGAGTACCATTGAGTTGTTGCTCTTGCCACGAGACAAGGGTGTAATATACACTTGAAAATACCTACTACTAAATCAAACCGATCTTAAAATTTATCCTTAGAAAAACCAGATAAACTAATAATGTGTACCTGAATTTTTTTTAAAAAAAGAGGTTTTTTTATTAGCTTGTTGACCATATTATATTGAGCTAATTTTATTTTGGTGCTCCTACTTCTTGGCAAAGTTTATTACCTAATGAATTTTAAATATCAAGTGTACTAACAAACCTTGTAGTTGCCGGTTGTGTTTAATAAAACATAAAATTAAGAACCCAAGCCAGAACTCATAATGAAAAATTTCAAAATCCAAAACTTTATTTGGCCTTTAAAAAAAAAAAAAAAATTCCAAAACTTGATTCGTTATGGATTTTTAAAATGAATTGTTCCATGTATATAATATTCTTATAAATACTTATTAGTTTTTTTACAATTTTCAGTTTTTAATAGCAATACTGTAAATGGCAACAAAGATGTTGAACTAAACTGTATTAAATCAAGATTGCGTAATTCTAAAAAAAAATGTACAGTACCAAGTTTTTTTGTAAACAATCAAAGTGATCAGTAAAGTATTTTTATTATTTTTCTGTGTAGATGGCTCAATGAAAATCAACAAAAAAAAAAGTTGTATTAGAACAAAAAATATCAAAAGTTGTAAAAAAATTGATAGCAATATTATTTTAATAAATGAAAGCCACGACAAACAATCATCATTTGAGAATTGCGAGGGTAATGTAAATCAAGGGACTATCAAATCAAATCTATCAACAAGTTTTACACATTTATTTAATTGTAGTACATCAAGTGCAGTATCCGCTATGGATAGCGGTAAGTTTTATTAAGTAATTAATAATAAAACTTGATTCATAATAAAACCACTATTAACATGATCAAATTAACTGGTTAGCTAGTTTATTCAGGGGAACATTTAAATATATCACTATTAGGCATCATGTGCGTGCATTTATACTTAAACGTTATTTGTGCATATATTTTTAAATAGATGCAACCCCAAATTTAACGATGTATAATAAAAAACAAAGTTCAAATAGTGGCAGAATATTGTTAATAGTAGTGTGTGTATGTGTGTGATTATGAATAGTCTCTTTTAGTCAAAAATCTAAAGATTACTAGTATTATAAGTTTTTCCGCCATAGTTTTCAAATAACTATTTCAGAGAAAATCCTGGCTTATATAGGTTATATTATTTGGTTTGCTATGCTGTTTATATAGCTTATTAATTTACATTTTGTTAGGAAACTATTCATCTATAACCACATTAAACGGGACTATTAGAAAATGTTTGTATTGAGCACTTTTACAGATTATTCATTTAAATATTCAGGTATAACAATTTAGAGGGACCATAAAAAATTGATTTATTCTAGTCCATCCTAGATAGATATCACCGTATACACTTAAAAATGTAATAATTATATGTCTGCAGATGAAAATCATGATAAATCCGACTTTGGGAAAATTATACCAAATATAAAACCAATGGATTTAGGACCTCAGCTATCTCAAAGTAAGTATTGAAATTTGTATTTAAATAATTTGAGTCGGTACCTACTAATTAAAGTGATAATTTTACCAGTGCAATGCTTATTACATATTGATTATGTTCATTTTAAAGATTCAATTTATTTAAGTAAGGATTGTACCCAATATCTCTTCTACCAAATTTGACTTCTTATCACGCACCATGCAAGTTGCAAATTTATTTTTATATACTCACGTTGTGGTATTGTACGTAATATGTAACTTTTTACTCCGTTTGATAGGAAAGTATGATCAGGCTTAAAATTTGTAACAGCCTTATCCGGCAGCCCACTTAACTTGCCATTAGATCCAGCGCTAATTATTTTAATTATAATTATTTAGCTTTATTGATTTATAAATCATTAAAGAAAATGAATATTCTTGTTGCGTTAAAGAGTGTGGCAAGAATAAAAAAAAAAAAAATGTTTGAAATAATTACCTATTTTAATATGTTTTTTCGTCTTTATTGGAACCCAAGCATAGGGATTGAAGTCTTTTGCGCAGGTTTAATAGAACTTGATTAAATCTGTGGTGTTAGCTTTTCCCAAAATTACAATTTACATTTTTTATTAAATGTTTAGCTATTTGGACAAAAATGTTGAAGGTAAAGCCTTTTACATAGACTTATAGAAATCTAGTAACTAAATACTTTAAGCTTGTGAATATGCTCTTGCTTTGTATATGCGGTGTTTTTTAATTTTTCGTATTAATAATTAAGTAAATTGATGTGTTACAGGTACCGAAAACATAATTTTATCTAAATCCATGGAAAACATGCTGGAAGACAATGCTTGTTTGAAAAATCAAATGCAAAACCTAACTGATGTTGATGTACAACCTAGCCATTCAGCTGAAATTTCTAAACTGATCTCATTGGAACAAACAACCAATAATGTTATTGGAAATATCACATTTTCGCACGTATCCAAAGAAGCGCTCGTTGTCAATGAAATTAATTCTCACGACACTCCAGATGCTATACAGAAACCGCCAAAAACCAAAAGTATGAGTACGCCACGTCGTAGAAGTACTCATATAAGAACTCTAGATTTTAGTACGCCACAACCCAAGAAAAATGCAATTGAGCAGGCACGTTCAAAACTTTTTTGCGACTCCCCAAAAAGAATCCTATCAATTTTAGAAGAATCGTTGACAAGCCCTATGCCCAAACTTGAAGGCAATTGGGGAGCAGTTAATGGATTTGAATCTATTGCCAAAAAGGATACAGTAATAGACGGAAAACCGTGTGTAAGTAACACTGTCGGCAGTGAAATAGTGACTTTGGATACTCGCGGAAGAGAAACAAAAAAATCTTCTAGAAAGGGAAGGACGCCAAAAAAAAATGTGAAATGCGTTCAAAATATTGATGTTGTATGTAATGTGACAAATGAAAATGTTATAGAATTTGGTGGTTCAGATAAAATTGACGGGAAAGACGGAGATGAACCTAGTAAACTAAATATGTGTTTGAACGAAAAAAACAATTTAAACGAGCCGATTGATGTTTGTTCTCGATTAATAGATCATCAGATGCAAGATGACTTAGCTGCTACGTCTGAGAATAATACTCGACTAACTAATACAAGAAATTTGTACCCAAATCAAGTTGAACAAGAAGAATTTTTAGAACAAATTAATATTATTCCCGCTGGAAATCAAAATAAAAGTTTAAATGACTTAAATACGTCCACAGAGGTTAATCATAAATCATCTAAAGATTTAGTCGCTGTTCAATCGAATTTGCTATTAAATAATACTAAAGAAAATAATTTGACGATAAAAAATGATGAAAATCAATTATTCAATGGTACTAACATTATTTCTGACATCATTATCACTGATACAGAAAATCAAGAAACTGAGAAAAGCATTTTTAATCGTTCAAAAACACCAGAACAACTTGATAATTCAACAGACAACTGTTGTTCGACTACAATTAATAAATCTATTGAAAAAATACCACAACAGGATGATAACATAATGGATATTCATACCTTTAACGTTCCAAATGAGGTTGAAAAAATTGACAAGCAAGCAAATGATTCGCACTTACTTGGTACTACCAACAAATTTGAAAAATCGAAAAATGACGATAAAACAATAATATCGGATACTCAAATTTATTTACCATCATTATCAACCGTAACCGTGTCGAAAAACAATCAAAACGAACAGAAGGTAAAATTACAAAACAATTCATTTAATGACGTTGCCGAAATAAATAGTTCAGTAAACTCAAGCAATATTTCATTGATTAAACATCACAATGTTGCAAAAACTCCTTACAAATATGATGAATCTACTGTTATACCCGAAACGCCAATTTCTAAAATGTTGCGTGAATATGACCCCAGTAAGCTTGTAACACCAATACCAGCCACACCAGTGCACAATGAAGATTCTCTTATGGAAACACCTTTGACAAAGGTATTTAGAGAAACATCGTATTTAAATCGCCCGCCTATTTCGCCGTTTCCCCCTACACCTGGAAACTCGCAGTCTGTTGATATCGTGAAATCATCTGAACAACAACAAGTTACCGAAAAATCAATCAACAAACTTGTTGAAACAGCAAGTGTGAATGACGTAGTCGATAAGCCGAAAGAAGTTGTAACGCAAATACTACCACCAATGAAAACCACCAATAATGTAATAAAAACACCGCCAACTGCAAAAAAGAAAAAATCATCACCGCTGAAAATTAAATTCAAACATACTCCTCCTCCTCCTCAGTCTAAAAACAACGATAAAAGTAAAAAGTTAATTGTAAATAAAACACAAATTTATGAATCCGTCAAAGTCGAACTGTTTGGGAATAATAGTTTAACCAGTTCGAGTGACGATGATGATGAAAAGCCCCGAAACCAGCCCAAATCATTAATTATCAAGAAAAAACCAACAGAAGATGAAAGAACGTCAGGTTTCAAACCTATTCCTCGTAGAAAATCAATTCAAGATACGGTGGTTGTTAACGATGCAAAGCGCTCTTCTTCAGCTGAACAAGGTCTGGAACAGTGTGCTTCGCTCACTGAACAAATTGAACGAAACAAGAAAAATACTAAAAAATCGTCGTTACTTGATAACCACAAACCATCGGCGGTTCATTGTGGAAAACCTGAATTAATTGAAACAGAAAAATGTATGGATGTTCCTAATAAACCATACGTATGTAATCCAATTGAAAAAAAAATTAAATCCAGTAAGTTAAACAATAGTTGTGGTCATACAAGAAGTTCACGAGAACAAGCCAAAAACAAACTCGTAAAGAGTAGTGATAGTTCAAAATCAACAGCAGTAAACAAATCGAAAAATACTGATATACATAGTAAAAAAGCCACTAACACACCATCATGTTGTTATTTTAACCAAAGTGACTCGAAACAAGACAGTGAAGATGAAATGAACTCGAGTCGTAATGTACCTGATTTGCGTTTGAATTCTTCCAAAACGTTTACTAATCTGAGTCTTAACAAGTCCAATCCATCGGAATCATCATCAATGAGCTTTACCAGTAGTGTGAATAACACATTACCAAATAGCTACATTCAAGGACGTTCTGAAACGGTGAAAATGAATAAAATTGATAATGAACGTTTTAATATTGAAGAGCACTTTGAAAAACCAATGGTGTATGAAATAATCACAGAAGACGACGAACGTGAGGTAATACATGATATTTTTGTCACTATGTCTTACCGCACTCAGGATTGTGCGTTATTTAAATTGTAAAACATCAAGTTAACATCAATATAGTCTTATAAAATATATATAATATGTCCAATATTTAAGTAAAAATAACTGAAATAACTTTCAGTTATAATGTTTAAATGATTTACAGGTGCGATTTTTGAATAATGTCTTATTTGAAATACTAAAGTATATTGTTTATACACTTTTCGTATATAATTTGTATGGGTTCTGTATTTCCAATGGGTAGGGATAATTATCGTCTTAAATTTTGTAAGTTGTAATAAATTATTGAATTAAAAATATATTCAAACTTACAGTAGTTGTATGGCCTAGATTTAAAACTGTTTAACAGCAAACGCATTCTCCGTGATGACGGAGTGTGTTGTCCTATTAAAGATGACTACTTATTAATTTAAGCATTTTTTGTTTATTTTAAAAATATTGAAATATTTTTTTAACAACTATACTAATTGTTATATTTTTTAGATGGTCCATCTTTGTTTGTCGCCTATATTGGCCCTTTTTGATTTACCTTCAGAAATCACCTCGAAGTTGGTAAATTCTAATTCACCATTAACATTGTCAAGTAAGAAGCCAGTGGTCAAAACTTCAGAATTAGAGGTTGGTGAATTGGTGGATGACGACAATACATTTGTATCTACATCATTCCCACCCAAAGACATAATCGATAGAAAAAATAATGCTCGAAGAAGTCCTTCCTTTTGGGAAGACTCTGTACATAAACATAAATCGGATAGAGGCAAAGAGTCGAATCATTGGCGGAAAACAACGCGTAAAGATGATCGCTATGACGCTAAAATAAGATACAGGTAAAAATTATTTTTTAGAAGATTACATTGATATATTTTTTAACAGCTACTATTTTCAATATTTAGATCAAATAATTATCGTAACGAACGTATGCCGTCGGACAAAAAAAAATACCAAGATAATTATAATACACCATCCAGCTATAAAAGAGAAGACCGACACAGAGGTCAGGAAAGATACAAAATATGTGAAGAAGACAGAAAACGAAATTACTACGATAGTCATAACTCTCACGGGTATAAATCAAGAAAAAGGTTTGAGGAATCAGAGCGACGTGTTTCTTCTTCACAAAGAATGTAAGTTTTTGTTTGTCAAAATACAAAATTATTGGATATTTATTGCTGCAAAGTTTTAGCTCTCACAAACAAAAATTTTTTTTGATGAACATAAATAACTAAATATTTAACTAAGAGAATTAAGTAACCTTTTTTTTCAACAAAAAATTAATCTTCCCCTGTAAAAAAAATATATATATTTATGTTATTTCAATGTAAAACATTTTGAGTAACAATATATACATGTTATCAATAAATAAATAAACGTAATACAAATTCTCCAATAATTCTCTCTATAAAAAACTCCAATACAATTTTTTATCTAATACCATAACCAATATCAACCCAAATTATCATTTCACATTCAACCGTAACCGAAATAATAAATGTATGGTTATAAAATATTAATTAATATTTTTAAATAATTTATTATTTTACTTCATTAATAAATTGTATAACCACAAGTGTTGTTTAATTTTTTTCCTAAACTATGTAATCGCTATAAGTCATAAATATTTTTTCATTCATTGTGTACAAACTACATATTTATAGTTAATTAGAAAATATATTTGTTCTAGGTTTCAAAATAGTTCTCAACATTTTGGCGGAGAAGATTTTGTTAAAAAAGCAACCAAAAGAAGTTCAGATCGTTTTGATTATAGTCAGGTAATTTTTTTTAGTTTTAATTCATTAAATCCTTAAAAAATTAATAATGCGATATTAAAAGAAACAATTTTTAAGATAATTAAAATACAAACTATCAATGGCTACACAACAAAGCCGCCTCGCAAGTCGAAAAATCGAGGTTTTTTTTTCTAAAAAGACACTGTATTTTTCTGCAGGTAGTGAAACAATTTTCGTGGTATTTTCAAATACTAACACACATAAACAAAAACTCGTATCTATATTAACCAAAGCAAAATCTCGTAATTTGATTTTATCAAATTTTACAAGAAAAGGGAATAACTGTAATAACTGTCAGTTATAATTTACATTTTTAACATTAATCTTCTCTTGTATGTAATTATTATGTTATGAAAAAAAAAATATTTTACTTTATATAAAATTTTCAGATTTACAGCTTTTGATTTTTGACTAGGAGCTTTTGGTAACATTGAATTTTTCGCTTGTTCTATACAATTAGATAAAATCAACTAGTTAGGTTTTGCTGTGTAGCCTCAAATAAAGAATGGATTCTTAAAAAAATTAAAATGCAATACTTTATACTGTGTACTAATGCATAATGATACATTAAAAATAACTTCAAATGTTTTTTAATTTTGTTCTTTTAGATTCCACCTAAAATGTATAAAAGTGACCAAAAAAGATATTGAGACACGTCGGCGTGGACGGTTTTTTGTTTAACATCACTGAAAAACAACCTGTTTTAAAATATTGTTAATATTTTTGTATCAAAAGTATATTAATATTCTGTTGTACTTGTAATGACCATTTGATGTTTTATTGCAATTAATGTATCAATAAATGTTGATGATTATTTTTTTTTTCATATCGAGACTTAAAAACATTGTCCGCTAGTTATTTAAATATCAGTGTTATTGATTTTACATTTTGTTTTAAGTATATTTTTTACCATAGTATTCTAAATATAACACTTTATGTAATAGTTTTATCATTTATATTCAACGGGAACTAAATTGAATAGACTCATTTGTATGGTTTAAAACTCTGTTGCAAAATATTAAATATTCATGTTAATTTTGGTGTATTCATTTATGTAGTCGCTAATTAATATAGTTTATATAATTTTTTTTTTTTTCGTGTTTGTTGTACGTTTAAAATGGTATCAAGGCATTACAAAAAAAAAACAATTATTAAAATCCCACTTAAAAACCGATGTGAATTTTCAATTTTAACACAGTTTAAGAATCCTGTATAGTAAAAAGTTAGATTCGTATTGAAGGCCAAAGCGTTAATTTTAATGGAGGTGTCTCAAAAAATTTGGTGTTTCAAGTTTTAACACTATCCTAATATCTAATATTGTACTTTACAGCAGTCGATGTTTGTATGCCACTATTATTATAATTAATAAAAAAACAGATTACAACAATCGGGATTAATACAAATTTTTAAACAAAAAAAATTATGAATTTATTCCCCCCTACCCGCGAGTGATTGCTCACTCCAACGTAGACGAGCGTCAAGTGGGAGTTATGGAGTGAAGCCTGAAGGGCCGTCTCGTAAAACAACCCTGAACCCTGTATGGCTGCGTATAAATTGTCATAGTTTCGCTGGCTGCCGGACATATTTTTAAATCGATTATCGAATTTCACCTTATCAACTAATACCACAGAATCGAGTAAACAGTTAACATGTGATAAACGTTATCAAATGTTATTACTTGATCAACTTGTGTATATATAAAATATAAATTGACTATATATTAACCATATATATAATATATAATATTTTTACTGAGTATTTTTCGATTAAATGCAAAAATCGATCCGGTCCTTGGCTCAAAATTTACAAAACCATGATTCAGTTATTTAATTATAATGTACTGTATATTATAGTACACTGTGGCAATTGTTATTGTGCACTCAGTACAGTATAGGTGTTAAGTAATTTCAAATTTTGCATTATGGAATTCCATTTGAAGAAACCTAGTTTGGTTCTACAGCGTCAGAGACAAGTTGTGGAAAACGATGAATCTAAAGGATACAACAAAATTCCACTCAATCAATCACAAGGAAACCACTATGTTGTGTACGTTCTTAGACTGCTTATTGATATTATTGTCATAAAAGTTTTTTCTATCTTATCACCTTTACGCTGGTCAGCCGAAATTAGTTTTACAATCGGTTTTTAGCTTCGATGTATAGCCAATACGATGATATTAGTCTTATAACAATGGGTTTTTATCTTTTTCACAAGTTTGTGTATGGCTCTTTCCTAATTTGATTACCTAACAAACTTCCAACTTTATACCATTGGGCATATTTTATCATGCCTATAGATCAGCAGTTCTACACAAAAAGTATCTGATAGGATAAATTTTGTACACATTTGAATTGGGTAATTCTTTAGATAATATTATTTCCTAACCGATCCACAGTCCATACCCCCTAAAATATCACAAGGTATTTTCGTATGGTCAGGGTTTATTTTTATTCCTTTTATCTTCTCCTTGGTTTTTACAACACATTCAATAGTTTTTTCAGTATTCTGTTGGAATGCTAAAAACGTTAAAATCGTATTATTATTAATGGACCACACACATATAACCGATAAACTGCAGTTTTACATTAAATTATATCAAACATTATACTGCGTGCAGTCTGATAGGAAAAATCAATAGTTCGCGTGAAAGCACTTACACATTTTTGCAAAATAAGTACCTCTCTTGCGCGTTATTTCTGAAGTCGAAATACGATCTGGCTATTATGTACCATCCGTTTTGTAAAAGCAACATATTATCATATTGTTGTCGTTGTATTATTATGGTGAAATACTATTATTTTGTTACCACTCTTTTCACAGAACAATAAAATGATTAATTTTTGTTTCAGCACTACTAACGATAGGACCAGTAGAAATGTAACTTCAGAAAGAATCACAATGCTTGATTCAAATACAGTAAGTAAACTGATTTGCTTTAATATCAGTGTATGAGTAATTGATTGTCTCAATTGTAACGAGTAATTTGTTTTGTTTTTAACTATCAGGAGCAATATAACTGTGCAGTTGAAGCATCTAAAAGTTCACCTGAAATTACAAAATGTAATTCTAGTTGTTTTTCTGAAAATAATTCTACCTCTCGTGGTTTGTAATAACACAATAGTTTTTTTTCATAGATAATAAGAATTGTATTCAGTTAAAAAATTGTTATTAGTTGTGAATTTTGTTAATTTTTTATTTTTAGCTATGAAGTCTTGCGAAAATAACAAAAAATTGGCTTCCAGGGTAGATGTTACGAACAACATTGCAGCAGTAAGCTGGTTTGATTTAGTCATTGATATTCCAAAAAAAAAAAAAAGTATAATTTTAGAATTTTTTTTTTTCAGAAAACCGCATACTTAAAATCACATATTGCCAAATTAGAAAAACTCGATTACGATATATTGCAAAAAGTGTTTAACATGTTCATTAATTTACCGGAAAACGTAGCGGTTACAATTCCTGGTCTCCGTGATGCATCGTCGCTACCTCATATTAAAAAAATTCGTCAAAAAATAATTAACAAACTAAATGTCGCCAAGGTACAGTTGAAAAGTCAATTAAAAATATTAGACAACAATGAAGCTATTTTGCCTTACTCGGACATAGATATGCCGACTTGTACAAAGTCAAAAGACATTAATCAGTATTTAGGTAATCAGACACCCGAACTAGCTTCTGATTTTAATTCTCATTTATTACACACGGAAAATATTTTCAATAAATCTTCGGTTAACAGTATAAATAAAGCAAAAACCAGAAGAAATTGTTCAGAAGTTGCTCAATCTAATGTAAGACCAAAATTGAAAACGTTTACACACAATGAGATAAATAAGTGTGAAACAGATGAAGACAATGAGGTCGTCAACGATATAGTTAAAACTAATAGTGACAAACCAAAAAATGAACTTGTACAAGCTGACATCAGCTCACCATATTCACACAGTGTTCCATTACAATTTAATAATTCATTAAGCCCGTCATTGAGTAATTTCAACGAGTTTGGTTTTAAAAACTCTCATTCCATTGTCAATATTGAAAAATCTACTACCAAGATCAATATATTGAATGATGGTAAATTGAATTTAAAAAATATTTTACCCTTATTGCCTATTATTAAGTTTGTTATTAATTTTTTTATTGAAAACTTATTTCAGAAACAAATGCTCAGAAATATTGTTTGGAAAACAATGACATCGCATCTTCAAGTGTAGACAAGAGTGATTATTCCAAGCAAGACTCAAATATTGCAGAGTTTAGTAAAACGGAATATGACCATTCGTGGGAACTCGGAATGGTAATTTGATTGTACAGTTTAAGACATTTTTCATTCGAATGTCAAAAAAACAATAAATACTACCCATATAAAATAATATTACTCACTCATAATATCGATTGCATAATAGCGCACAATTGTCGTACATCAAGCATGATATTGCCTATAAATATTATGGTTAGGTATTAAAATATTTTAAAAAATACCCTTAACCAAAAGAAATAATACTACCGAAAAGTGTATTATTTATTTTGGTGAAGGGTATTTCTATTTATTTTATTATTAACCAGAATGTCGTTTGCTAAGGTTTTTTTCTAAACCGAGTTGTATACTATATCTATATATATATATATATATATATATATATATATGTATACAACTTAGTCATTAGATAGCTTGTGTAAAAATAATGGAAACCATTTGTAGTTTTCATCTTCAGTCAGTGTGGCTCTCACACAATCAGTATTACTGGCTTTACAAATGTTGACAGTAGTTACATAACTGACAGCATAGTCCTAGTAGTAGTATACTATAATATTAGAACAATATAGTATTATTATTATTATTGACAGTATTAATTTAGATACAGTCTGTAACGTTGATCGTGTAATATGCGCACCGTAGGAGTTTATAGAATGAAAATTCAATATTGATGACTGAAGAAAAAATTGCATATCCAGCCTTCAGTAATTAATTTGTTGACGATAATGTTTATCGCGTGTTGTGGATAGATAATGACAGTTCATCAGTCCACAATGTACTGATCGTGTAAGGACTACTGTCGTCTGTCTACAATAATGAGGGCTACTGTATGGCGTAATATATGAATAGGTATAGAAAACATTGTTGCTGTAGAATTGTTCAAACTTACTCAACACATTTATGCCAATTGTAGTTGGACAAGTGTACACATTATATTATACAATATACATACATAGTGTTATTTATTAGGTGTTTGAAAAAACGTTTGGCCTGCGTCACTTTCGTCCCAACCAACTCGAGGCTATAAACGCGGCATTGCTTGGACATGATTGTTTTATACTGATGCCTACCGGAGGAGGTAAATCGTTGTGCTATCAATTGCCCGCGGTAATAAGTAGTGGTGTCACCATTGTCATATCACCACTTAAGTCTCTAATTGTAGATCAGACACAAAAACTGAAATCTCTTGATGTAAGTATCATTTGAAAATAATTTTAATTTTAAGATTACTCTTTAGATAATAATATATTACCATTGAAATGAATAAGACATTTTAATAAAAATTCCCCAACAAAAAAACACATTACACACCGAATCTGTAGATGTAAAAATATAGTTATTTTTAACTTGGAAGTTGATTGTTGTACAAGTGTAATTCTTCAAAAAGTATTTAAAAAAAAAAAAAAAAAACTAAACAAAGTATAAATAATTTATATGGCGATGTGTATTGTTATTTACTCAGATATCAACTGCACACTTGCTGAGCGGTATTCCACCCGAAGAAGAACTCGACATTTTAAAAAATCTTTGTGCCGCCGAACCACGTAAATAATTCGTTCATAAGTAAAATATCAATTAGAAACATGTGTTTTAATCATTTATTTTAAATTTTATGGCACAGAAGTGAAATTACTTTACGTGACACCTGAAAAAATTGCTGCAAGTGGTAGACTGTCACAAATACTGGACAATTTAAATGCTAGAAACTTACTATCTCGTATTGTTATTGATGAAGCCCATTGTGTTTCTCAATGGGGTCATGATTTTCGGTGAGTAGGTTTTTCGATATTTTTCACTGATAAAAACAAAATATTGTGAGTACATCAGATGACATTTTGTTCGTATAGGCCAGACTATAAAAAATTGGGATTTTTCAAACACAAATATCCTAATGTTCCAATCATGGCATTGACAGCGACTGCAACAATGCGTGTCCGTGAAGATATTTTGCACCAGTTGAATATACAACAAACTAAATGGTATATTTTTTTTATATTAATGTACACAAAATACTATTTTTTTTTTTTTTTTTTAATTAACGTAATGGCCAGTTTACACTTATCAGAGTAATCCGAAAAACCTGGTAAACAGCGTTCGAGGTTGACGAATCAATTACATGGGTGTAATTCTGTTAATATCAACACGTGCACAGTACTCGTACGAATCAATTATCTATATCCGATCTGTGCAGCCACAAACACTTATCAAAATGTTTGTAGCCACTGACGCGATCCATATTACTTTTTCGAATTTTATTTATGGTTTTAAAAAATAAATCTAATTTTGGTTTTTAGTAACAGCTACTTGGTAATAAATATTAATTTTATAATGTAAACACTTTCGTTCTTGTTCGAGGAGAATAGATACTGGAACCACAAACGCGTCAACTTTGATAGGTGTAAACCGGGGCTTGAGGAGTTCAAGTTGTTAAGGAATTTCTTTAAAATAAATGTTATCATTTTAAGCGCTTATTTGTTGAAAGGTTTTTTTTTTGAAAATAATTTTCAAATAACCATTTTGGCTTCATATACATAGTTGTTAGAAATTAAGTGACATATAAACGATATATTGTATTGTATAATATTTATGTTTGGTGTACTTGTAGGTTTATCTCCAGTTTTAATCGTCCCAATCTTATTTATGAAGTTCATTCAAAAAAGGGTAAGGCTGTGATGATTGATATAGCTGATTTGATTAAATCCAAATTTAAAAATCAATCCGGTATCATCTACTGTTTAACGAAAAAAGAGTGTGACGATACTGCCAAAACGATGAGTCGACAGGGAATAAAAGCGGCTAGCTATCACGCTGGATTGAGTGATAAAATACGAAAAGACACCCAATTACGATGGTCTTCGAATAAAATAAATGTATACAGTTATAATAGGTTAAAATAAGCGTACATAGCTGTTGTTTTTGGAATTCAATCGGAAAGTTTTTGATTTTTTTTTTTAGGTTGTTTGTGCCACAATCGCCTTTGGAATGGGCATCGATAAGCCCGATGTTCGCTTCGTCATACATTATTCTTTGCCCAAATCTATTGAAGGTTATTACCAAGAATCTGGGAGAGCCGGAAGAGACGGCAGTGTATCATATTGTCTTTTATATTACAATTATTCAGACATGCAACGTATTCAAAGACTGATTCAAAGTAAATAATGTGTAAACAACCGATTTGATAACGTAAATGAGAAAAAGTGAAAGTTACGTAGCTACGAAGCTTAGTTATAAGTAATCTATAGCTTATAACTTATAACAGCTAATCTCTATAGCTTTCACTTTGTCCTATTTTCGGTAGCTATGAAGTTATTATTAGGGTTTATTTAACTATAAAGTTTAACTTTTACTATAAGACTTTAGACATGTCGGATTGAATAAATCTCTGTAGTGTAAAACATAAAATACTCTATGTCAGCATTGGCCACTTAGCATTGATGCATATTATGTAAATTTGGGGTTTTCTAATTATAAACAAAATGCCTATGCTAATGCATGCATGATAGAAAAAGGCCAATGCACGAGGTCATATTTTATTATCAATGCGATTGATAGTTAACCGACCTTTTGGAGGTGTAAAAAATACAATAGTACACTGTGAAATGCTTAGTAGTTTAAAAATAATTTATTGACACCAATCGTCATAAAATTGTACGTTATTATAATATTAATTAATAGAATCGAGTTTATTATATAGTAGTATTGAAAGATGCTAAGCCCAAGGGTAGTCTAATGAAACTTTGTGTAAATCCTTATAATAATAAATCCTTAACTAATATTTGATTTAATTAAACATTTTGTTTTTTTTTTTGTTAAGGGCATATATCAATTTTGTGAGCACTGTATGCCTCCCCCATGCTACAGCTATGTTTTCAAGCACCTAACTTGTTTTAAAAAATTGCCATATATATGTATTAAATATATATTAATCATTAAAATTAAATATATACATATATATATTTAATTTTTACAATAAAGATTAATGTTTTTAAATTGTTTTTTAGTAAAAAAATCGAAATACATAGTAATAACATAACATTTGTGTACTTTTTGTTATTATTAGTCGGCAGTGGAGCAACAAATGAAACTAAGAAAGTTCACTTTCAAAATCTCTGTAGAATTGTATCGTATTGTGAAAACAAAACTGATTGCAGACGTGCATTGCAACTTAACTATTTCAATGAAAAGTTCAACAAAAACAATTGCCTAGCAAACGAAACAACTGCCTGCGATAATTGCCGGAACAAAGTAAAATTTACTAATTAATTGTAATTTTATTTATAAAATCTAAAAATTACACAATTGACGCCAATTTGTACGATTTATCAAATAATAGTAATAACCAATTAATGAATAAAATAAAAGACTTTTAACGTTTTTAGATTTCAACTAAACTTGTCGATGTCACCGAAGAGAGCATTAAAATTGTAAAAATGGCTCAAGCGTTGTGCGACTTCGAAAGGCATTCTCAAATCAATTTTACCTATACACATTTTGTTGACATTTTTAAAGGAACTAAAAGTGCCAAGGTGATGTCGTTCGGTAGGATTTTATTCATTGTTTTATTCACACTATACAATAATGTATGGTATATTATAATAGCATAAAATGATATGCTAGTATAATTTTTGTTTTATTGTGCGATAGTATAATATTGAGGTTTTACAATTTAGGCCACGAACAGCTAGATTTATTCGGCTGTGGAAAACATTGGGAAAGACAAGACATTGAACGTCTGATGCATAAGCTTACACTCGAAGGGTATTTAAGAGAAGAAATGATTGCATCTAAAGCGAATATAATTAATTCATATATTCGTGTTGGTTATGAAGCCGATAGACTTGTTAATGGATTTGTTAGGGTAAAAGAAATGTGGTTTTTTTTTTTAACTGACAATTCGTTTTGTAGTTTGTATTATTATTATTTTTTTTTTTTTTAAATAGTTGAAAATGGCCTACAGCCCAAAAACGGTTTCAGCCGTAAAAACCCATAATAATACCCATACAAATCATAATCCACTGATTAAGGAAATACAAGAGAAATGCTATGAAGACCTGATGGATGTTTGCCGAGGTTTAGCTGCTTCATTGAGTATCAATTATACGGCTGTGATGTCTATGCAAGTGAGGAAAAAATGCAATTATTTTACTAACACTGCCAACAAGTTGTCCTTTTTTGTTTTACACGACACATTGTTAAGAATAGAGACCACATATGTATGATCCACATAATATTATGTGAATATAGACTATATCATAATTTTATTATGATATAGTTTATATATAAAAATGTCATGTTTAACATGTTTTAGTGGAAACTGATTTAAAAAAAAAAAAAAAAAATGTAATTACACAAATTGTACTTGTCATTTTTTAAAGCGAGTACCATCTTAATTATTTTTATTACACTTCAAAAATAGTCTTCGACGTATCTAGCAATACCTACTAAATTATCAATGTTAGTGTAATGCGAAAATCAATATATCTACTATAGTTATATGAATTGATTTCAAATGTGGTGCAAAAATTGAAGGGGGTCAAAAAAACAATGTTACCTTAAAAAACAATAATGTAATAAAATATCTTTGTTGTAGACTATTCAGTTGATGGCGAACGCGTTACCACAAAATAAAGATGACATGTTGAAAATTGAAGGTGTCACGAAATCAAATTATGAAAAATACGGCGAACCTCTACTAGAGATAACAAAACAAGCTGCCTTGGAGAAATTATGTGAGTGAACCAATTGTGTAATATTCGTAATTTATATTGAACATAGTATATTATATGTATTGATTTAGTTTTTTGCTCTGGCCCCTCGGCTACCGCAGATTATATTATGATTGCATAAAACCTGTGAAGGTACCTTGCACGTATTATGCATTACAGGTATTGCATAGGTACCTATATGCGAATAATGTATGTGTAATGTACATGTATGTATGTATATTGCGGTCTACGGATAGACTTAACCATTCGATAGGGCGACTATCTACACACTGTTATTAACAATGTGGTGCGTTCGGTTTATTTCGACCAAAACTATTCATAACAAGTGTAAGGGGACCATAACGATATAACTGATTTGTAAGTTGTAACTGAAAGAGGACCAAATTACCGAGTTTTCTCGATCAACCCGATATTGGAGCAGATAGAGGAGAATACTGAATTTATACATAAAATACCTAAAAAGATATGTGACGGTCCAAATGTCTTTTGCTTATAACAATTACTTTATATTTTAATCATACCAGCTGCTAAAATCGTACCCAAAGGACCTCGAGACCTTAAATATTCCAAGGTGATGGTGGGTGGGGGGGGGAAAGGTTGTACAAGAGTTGTCACAGAATATCGATATTGACAGATGAAAAGATAAATATTAAATGCGTAGCATATAGAGTAGAGTAGGTAGTACCCTATATTTACTTTACTCTGGGGGTGGTATACCATACGAACAAATTAAAAAAAAACTGTCGATTTAATAGAGTATAGTGTCAAGTATAGTATTAGTACGGTTAGTTACCATTTCAACGATTATGGGCAACTCAAAAGAGCAGTTAACGTTTACCAGTTTCTCTGGTCCGCTATACATTTAAAGACCATAACAATGACGTATTTGTATTGTAATATAATTGAAATATATAATCGACTTTTAATAATTATTTCTAAAAACACTTATATAGCCGTGATACGTGCTGAAGAAGAACAAAAATTAGCGAATCAAGAACAAGAAAATGAAACAAATTTGTTTGATAGCATTTCATCGTCATCAAACCATTGTTATTCCGAGATGGTTAACCAAATGATGAACAATGATTTTCGTGGTAAAAAAAGAAAATCTACTTTTAACAGAAGCTCTAAACGATTTAGGAAAAGTAAAAAGTAAGAATTTACGAATATTTGTGGTTGGAAAATAAATAAAATCAACATAATATATTGTAATAAATAATATTAAAAAAAAAAAAAAAATCGTAATAAAAATGTTAAAAAAAACAGCATCAAGAAAGTTTAATTTACAACAAAGTGTAGTAATAATTGATCGACTTAATTGTTTTTGTCAAATATACACGTATAGTACATTATTATTGAGAAAAGTCTGTCGGTTAATATTTTATATAATAAATACATTTTATTGAATTTTAACCAGGTCATATAATTTATGTGTATATAGAGTAATCAACTATACTTAGTCTTTTATTATGTTATTATAATTTTTTATTTTTTTTTTATTTAGGAAAAGCACCGTCAAAAGAACAGGAAATGCCAATATGACTAGGATACGTCAAGTAGCACTCAAGTTAAATGCCAAATTGCGTCCTTCCACCAAGAAGCCAGGTTTACTGCCAATGCCTAAATCGTCTACTAAGGAATAGAGGCAATGAACAAAATGAACATGGAATAGGCGTTTTAACTTATTCAAAGAATATCTACATGTTATTTCGAGAAGCGCACTAATGCAAATAGACGAATTGTATATTTGTGTTGTAATTTATACATAATACGATACATTTGAATCGGTTATTTCAAAAACGACACAATTAAAGTTTTACACTAGCCACAAAGAACTTCATAAATAGTTTTTGCAGTAATTCTAATTTCTTGTACTCAACATTTGTATTATTATGAGTCTGACAAATTTAGTTTTCACACAGAATACGTAACTAAGTATATAATTATCAAATTTGACAAAAAGTCGTTTTTTGAAAAATCGGTGACTTATGTCGTTTTTGAAATGACCGATTAATTTATCAATGCAATTTGCCCAATAACCACGGTGGTGAGCTACACATACTTTTTTATTAATTGTAGTAAGATATTATTGTACAGACGTACAATTTATGCCGTTTTACACAATTTGGTTGTGCTGTATTTTTTATCGAAATTATTCTAAGGCTGATTATAAATAAATAATTTAATTTCATAGTTTTTACAATTTATAAAAACTAAAAAAATACGTTAATTGAAATTAATTACTCTAGGAGGTATAGTGTATAATTCTATACATTATGAGTGGGGTTATAGTGTCCCGACTCCCTAGCGCACTTACATCGCACTTTACGTTATTATTATTATTATTATATTTTTGTATATTGTTCACCACAAGTGTTTTTAACAAATAATGTTATTGAATTATCGACAATTTTCTATTTTTATAATATACTGTAATGCCTATTTTTGTAGTTGTAAATACTGTTGAATATTATTATATTATTTGTAAGGCGACGCATTCATACATGTACTTCATTAATTTTTTTTTATGTCTTAATTGTATAAACAAGCACAAGAACAAACCTTCAACTGTGAAATTATAACAAAAGCTAACACGTATAATACTGTGTACATCCACTAGTACGTGGTACTCGAAAAAGCGACGAGGCGCTTTGCTGCTTTCTGCAAGTCCTTAGCTTTTTTGTGCAGCACAGGCCATCCACCTCCCAGTGGACGATGACTAGCTTAAAACCTAATTTACAACGGCTGCGTACAACTCATTTATTGTTTTATCACAGTTTACGCGTACAAAAATTGTCCGTATTTACATTTAGTATCGTCTACTTTAATAACAAGCGCACAACACATGAAGATGATAATTTGAGTATCGTTTGTTTTACAATTGCTATGAAACTTGTCTTACACCAACGTACAATCGCATGGTATATTACTATGGCCTAACTACCGCTGCTGTGACGACCACGTGAAAGAAATTTAATACTGTGACATTTATTATAGAAATACGTGGTAACATTCAACGTTTTACGAGTGATTTTTATTATATTGTAACAATTGTGTTTTAGAAGTTAATTGTGATATTTGTATTGTAGAGAAGACAATAAAACCCGATAGTACAAACAGCTAGATTTGATGATATAGCTTACCATTTTAAAACGCATGTGTTACCTTGCCATAATTGACATTACGACGAAATAGAACTAAAAGAATTATCTATTTGAGCGTTGAGTTTTAATTTTAAACAAAATAAACTTACAATTCAATATTTTTAACTAAAACATAATTTATAAGGTGTGTTGTGCAAATGTTTATAGGAAATTAATTCACATCCATGTGTCTCGCATATTATAATAATATTATTTTGTATGTTACAAGATCAGATCGCATATAACGAGCATTAATCGATTATAATCATATTTGCCTTGTTTTTTTAATCGAGTTTATAAAAATAATAAAACAATTTATCAATTATAATTGCAATGTATAATTTTAATATGGTCGCGAAATAAAAAAAAAACCAAACTAATTTATTAATGGACAAATATGAACAAACAATAATAGGTTATTGTTGTTACATTAAAAATAATTTGGTTTACAATGGACACGTCCAATTGAAACAATATCATGTACCCAAAATAATAAATAATATATTCTTGCGTTTCTCGTATAACCAAGTAGTAGTATACAGTTGATTTTCGGTACATTTTTTAGAATGTAACATACATGTTTTCATACATTCAATAGTACAGCAATAAAATTACAAGCTAATAAAACAAACGGTACATATTATAAACTTAGGAAATAAGAGATTGTAAACGTCCGTGTACACGATTTTTCAACAGGCGATTGTATTCACGCTGGAGTATAAATAAACAGCACTATGTAGTGTATGGTTACACAATATGTGAGTAATGAACGTTTTTACAAGTGGTCAATTAATTAGTTTCTTAACGGGTAATGTGTACGCTTATAGTACACGAGTTTCTAGTTTTTAACATTTATCAGTCATGTAGGACAATATTCTTTTCGTCATTGTGAGAAACAATCCTATTTTATACACTTACTCTAATGGCAACCACAACTCTTGACAATCATATTTTTATACTTCTTTAAGATGACATTGTTGTCTTCCAGAAAAAATAACACTGCTTGTTGTGCCATTTTAGTTGGGGCGCAACATGGTTTCGGCACCATCAGCGGGCTCATTAAATGAACCAGCGTTTGAACGATCGCATGGTTAGTTGCATTCATGTGAGCGTTAAGTGGAAAATTACATTCACCGGTACAGTAAAATGCGCCATAACCATCCGGTGCAATTATCCAATCCTATAATAAAATTACAAAAAAACATTCGACCAAGGTTACCAAAATCGCACTTCAAATGATATAACAATACGTCTAGTAAATAATAATGCCTGCGGTATTTATTACCTGCCATTCGAGATCTCTAAAGCTGACGTACAATGTTTGTATTTGACAGCTCCTTGACTGAAAACTATCGGCGAAATCTGAAAACGTTTATATTTTATACATAGACCTCGCAATAATAAAAAAATGTACATCAATAGAAAGTAAAAATTATATAATATTTTTTTTACGCGGGCTTACAATTGGCATTAAAAAAAAAAAAATGCCAACAATCGATTAAAAATTGTCACAGAGAGTTTACTTATTTTATTTAGTTTATAAAAAAAATGTACATCAATAGAAAGTTGAAATTTATATAATTCTCATTATACTAAACGAATGTGATTACTCTTACTTTGAAATGGATTTGAATTGTAACTGCTCTCGAACGTTTTCCTCCTTCGTCGCCTGTAATGTTTTTGAAACGATGGTCCACCGACAATATTACCACCGTTTCTCGATTTTAAGTACACTGCCATAAACGGTTTTTTGGCTTCTGACAACTGATGTTTATCGGCCCATGTTACCATACCAATTTCTTCTGGTTTTATTTCATGATCTAAAAACATTTGAGAAAATAACAAAATTTGGAAGCGATACGGGTTAAATAAAATATGACTGTTTATTATCTAAACAACTTTTGGTGTGATAATTTCTGGAAACTATTATCGTTTATCAATCTTTTGTTGTTGTTAAATTTGTAACAGAATAATTAAATGAATAAATAATAATTGGTTTATTATTATTCCGTTGTTATTATTTATTGTTAAAAAACTTACCTTGGTTGTCAAGCGAATGAACCGATACGTACAACCCTCTGTTGGGGTATAGATAATGAGCCCACGACACCAGCGCACCAGTTGCGTTGAACCGAAGCCATCCATCATAGTCTGTGGTTGTATTTTGGGTGTCGACAAACTTCAAAGCTTTTTCTCTATAAAAAAAAATAAGGAACAAATTTATTTGGCTTACGCCATGGTTTTCAGGAATGTAATAATCAGAATGTATGTATTTTCCCCTTTTCGCCTTAACCCCACACAAATGACGTCAGCCAGCGATATCCTATCACTCTACAAAGTGTTTTGTAGGAATAAAGTAATCTCACTCAATCATTTCATTCAGTCCACGCTTGTTCTACGTCTTCATTTATCAGATCCACACACTTGTTTTACATCTTTATTTATCATATCTACCCACTTGTTCTTTAGTCAACATTTACCCTTAAACCTCTCACTGGTGATCTTTCGAAAAAAACTTGTTTTACTATTTCACATTTGTCCCTTTTTTTTATATACATACTAAAACCATCGCCCAGACTAATTATTATTTAATTAGCGTGCCCCTCTGTTAAAAAACTAATTTTTGCCTAAAATAATCAATACACTCCTTACCCGTCTTCTGTTATTAAAACTTGGTACAGGGTAACAGCAAATAGCTTTCCGTTAGACGAACTACCAGACTGATATAAATGCACTTCTGCAGATGTGATCATATGCGTTTCATCTGACGGTACATCGTTTAGTTCGAATAAGATTCGTTTTCCGTGTTCATGTCGTACATTACTTATTGGTGCTGAGAACACAAGTTTAAAAACAAATTTAATGAAAAACGAAAATCAATTGTAATTTTTTTGAAATAATATTTGAATTAATATCCACTCAATTGTTCACCAGATTGTTCAAGAGTATCGAGTACTTTAGCTGTTGAAAAATGATGACTGAACACTGTATTATTTACAGTGTGTAAATATATTTTCATTTCAAATAAAAATATATTAGTATACCGAATAAGTTACTATAGGTTTTAAACAAATACACAGATAAAAAAACCCAACACAAACCGGACTAAGCAAAGTGGAGTAGCATTCATGGTGATCACCGATATTCATAAGGATAAAACAATATAAAATAATCACTTTCGAATAACGTGTCAATAAAAATCTGTATATTATGATTTAAAAAAAAAAACCTATACCAGTGAAAAACACTTTTTTTTTTTATTTCTTGAGAACGACACTAAAAGGTACTTACAGTGATTTGATAGGTATAATGTTATAATGACATCACTGTCTTGAACAGTACGATCATCGTAAAGGCCAATATCTGATACACTTCTCGTTCTTCTTTCGTGTAGTCCTCCGTCTTGTTGTAACGACCTGTAAACGTCATATAAAAATTGTGGTGCCGATCCTTCCAAGTTTTTGGGAGACTTCCTAGGTTTCTTCGGGACACCAAACATGGTCAGTATCTCTTGTTCGACCTCGTTGCGTTCTTCGATCGTCATGAGATCTTGTTTGACCGTCTGGAATCCATTGTCCGTGTAAACGCCAGTCGGTGATTTTGCACAAGCGACGTTGTACGCCAATGCAATTGACAAAAATGTTAATGTTGCCAAGCATTTTGTTTCACACATATTTACGAACATATAACACTAATATGACAAACATGAAATACGATGAAGTCACTAGAACGGTGATGGGAAAAAATTAATTAATCCGGGATCAGCCTCGAGCATCTATAGTCACTGATACAAAAAAAAAAAAAAGACAATAATAATAATAATAATGGCTATCAGATACTAACAATACAATAATAAAATAAAAAATAACTCTTTGTATAAACCCGCGAATTGATTAGCTCGGGGGCCGAGAAAAATAATGTGTGCGTTCCGCCAGCAGCAGTGAGTGATAAGAAATCCCATTGGTCTCCAAATTATAACCCATATCAGAATAATAAACAATATATTTTATTCATAACATGTTATGTTAATAATATTAATATTACATAATATGTCTGTGGTACATCCCAAATCGAAATGTCTTTACAAGTCTTCTAAGGCCGCGGTAATATGGTACGGTACAAGTGAAAATAGAAATTAAATACTATGAAATTGTTGTACTCCTCTCGTTCAGGCTCGTCGAGAGTAATAATTCCGAACCCACCGCTTGAATAAGCCTGTTCCACGTGCCTCCATACAAAAAGATAAAACTTTAAAATTCAAAACCCTTTTTTGTTCAGCGGCGTATTTTCAAAATTGACTACGGAGAAGGCGTTCCAAAACGTATATAATATGTTTATAGGATCCGAAAGACTAGACCACCCTCAGATTTGGGGACCTCTGTGTCCTTTTACCCCCCCCCCCCTTCCCATCCGCAACAAATCGCCACTGCCTCTCCTGAATGGCGACATTGAAAAAAAAAAAAATTATTTTACTTCATACACGACTTATGAGTTATGTTTATGATGACCAGGCAGTACTCTTTTCTTTTTTTTTTTGAAAGTATACAGGCTAATACGTATGTTTATGATTTTTCATAATTTGATTATTCATTTTTATTGTATGATTCAACCGAATACCGATTTATATAACCGATTACAATATACAAACACGATTACAAATATAATGCTGGTTTTTACAAACTGATGAAAATAATTGTAATAAAATGTTAACATTTTTGAATCGGATAATAAGTTACTAAAAGCAATTCAATTTGTTATTTTGTTTTTTCATTTAAATGTTATGATACTTATAAATAAAATAAAATAATATTAAAAATCCTCAACCATAACAATTATATACTTTCCGCGTATATAATTTTTGTATTATAAAATTTCAAATGTTATTTAAGTTAAAAATGTAAGAAGCATATTAATAAAGTTTTAAACTTAAATTTTATACTCGGTAAAATGTCCGGCGGCGTTTTGTCGGGCGACGTTTTGCGGTGTAACCGTTTATATGCTTCAAACCTTTTACCTTTAAAAATTAATTTAAGTATATTATATACTTTTCAATAATCATACATTAGAATATTTCTTATAATTCCAGTGCATTAAGTTTCTATGTATTTCCATCATAAAGACACCTAATAAGTTGACATTATAATTCCAAATCTTTTTTTTTTTATAGTTGATAGAAATAGAAATAATAGAGTAATCATAAAGTAATTTATAAAGATAAAGATGGCCTATGGGATAATATGACGTAGGCTAAATGGGTAGAAACTATAAAAGTATACACATTCGCCAATAATTATGATTGAGGTAAAGCCAAGTTTTAAAATGTACGTTTATTTTTATATCCGGTCACCATACTAATATTCATATATGTGAATTTTCCCGAAAGATTTCCGATTGATAAACATGCCGATGTAAGACATTGATCAAATGGCCAGAAAGTTAAAACAAAAATATAAATAACACCATCTCGGCTTCGCAATGATTAAATAGTTGTTTTTTAATGGTTGGCTTTTACTTGTTCAAATAGTAGGTTTTTGATTTGGACTTGAAACTGAACCAACATAATAGTATTTCCTTTTTTTTTACCTTACCGACCATTTATACAAGTATTATTTATTAAAAACGTAGTGTTTCTCGTAATAACACACATTGAAGTATAAAAGTTTTATTTAATCTGTAATAATATTATTGGCATCATTACCATAATAATTTATATTTGTATGTTAATATAATGTTCACATTAGTGATGGGAATCCGAAAATCCGAATTTTTCAAAAAAAAAAAACGCTTTTTAAGTCATTTGAAAATCATATAATTGTTAAATACTATTACAATATAAAGATGTGTACCTAAGTAAAATTTGTTGATAACATTTTTTAAAAAAAACTCTTAACTTTGTCTATAAAATGCTTTCGGTTTTCAACAAACCCGAAATTCAAAAGCAGTTTATCTCTTTGGTGTTTTGTTTTATTTTCACATATTTATCAAAAAACTGTTACTTAGATATAGAGCTTTATATTGTAAAATTATTTAACACTTATATGATTTTTAAGTAGCTTAAATAGCGTTTTTTTGTGAAAATCCGGATTTTCCGATTCCCATCAGTAGTTCACATTAATCGAAATACCTATTACAGTATCGATATTGTTCGTTTAATCAATGCCGTTATCAGCCATACGTGTTACGCTATCTATAATAGTTACCGGCCATAAACAATATTAAAAACTTAATATTAATAACTTATTCTCAATTTGTAATATTTCTTAATTCTTTCGTATTATTGTTATTAGTTATTATACTTGTGTATAATACGTTTAGATAGATTTCATATAATCTACGGTAAATTAATGTAGACAAAAGCCCCGCCTCAGAAGTATGTTTTTTCTGTAGGTGCGAACCACAAAGAAAAACATGTATTCAATAGTGGTAAGAAAAATAAAATAGTACATATTGTTTTACCATTTATTCATGTGTTTTTAAAAATACCTATTTATAAAACCCACTAGTCTAAGTTAGTAGTAGTAAAAGTTCCATGTATGTTCATTTCATTCATAATATTATATTGCTGGTAGGTTAGTTCCTTGTTTTGTGTTTGATTAATTTTTTACTCAATTTAAGGAATTTCGATTTATTTCCAAAAAAAAAAAATATCGATACAATTAACATAAAGTTGAAATCGCTAATAATTCTAGATTCTAAATATTTTTTTCAAAATCATCAACATAATATTTATTAATCCTTCCCTCTGGAAGAAACATAAAAAACTTGCTGATTTTTTAACTCGACAAACTATAACCATACTTCAATTATACATAGATAATAGACCCACAGCATATACTTTTTCGGCAACCCAAATTTTATAATTTATATAAACCATATTGTAATGTTACGTCAACTAAGTTATCATAACGCTTTGTATGTGTGTACACTATCTGTAATCTGTGCTATAATTTTGTAAAACGTCATTTACATTGATCATGAAAAATATGTTTTTCATAGGTAAAAACTAGCAACGGTAGGTATTTTGAACTATTTTATTTTATTTCCAGACTGAATTTCAAAAGTGATACTTCCTTTTTTTAGTCTTAATAAGCCTGCCGTTTATGGCCGTTGGCTTGTTGGTTGGGTGTGTCTCTTAAGTTTTTGCTTTTGTGTAAGTACATAGTCCTATATATGCATGTGTCCTACATGCTGCGATATGGGACATGGAATGGCCTGCCGCTAAAAATCGTGAGTGATTACCTAATTGGGATTGGCAATTGACGTTCCGAAATCATAACATAAAGCTACTATAGTGAGGTACCACTATACAATGACGTAAAACTAGTCTACAATATTTTATACATGGAACTTTGCTTAACAATGTATTCTAAAATCGATGAATAAACCATTATTGCAATCCACTTTAAATTAAATTAAATAATAATTAAAACATACTGTTTGTTTTTTTATAACACAATTTACTCTTGTAAACGCTGGTTTTTGCATAGTATTTTTCTTGTTAAAGTCAAAAAGTTTTATAGTTTTACTTGATTTCTACGTTTGTCTACCAAATTGCGTATTATAAATTGCAATATGATATTGGTTTGTTGAATTTTATCATAATATACAGCTTTGCCGTATACATAACAAGTATAAGTAATTTATAGACTTTCGATTGTAGTGTTTAAAATATCACTATCTTCTAGTTAATAAAGATATTAAGGAGTTGTATAATCTGAAATATTAAATACTTTGGATATATATATATATATATATATAATTATATGTATAATGTTTCAAAATAGTTACTAAAGAAAATCGTTTATACTTTGAGTATATACATATTTTTTAATTTATTATTAATTAATACAATTTTTTTTTCTCGTTTTATTATAGGATTAGACATTACACTTTCATTACTAAACGAAAATATATATTTATTTATATATTAACTCTGTAATGGAAAGTAGGGATTGGCCGTTATTTATATATGGTGGTTTGGCATCTTGTATCGCTGAATTGAGTAAGTCATCCATTAAATTGTCATGTTTTTCTAAAATAAATAATAGTAATCTATTGAACAAAATATTTTGTTCAATTAATTAAACACATCTAATAAACAAAATGTAGTTATGTTTTAATCTAAACTGTAATGTTTTTTATTTTATTTTCAAGGCACGTTTCCTATCGATACAACTAAAACACGGCTTCAAGTACAAGGACAATTTTTTAATGGAACCGTTAGCAAAATAAAGTATAGTGGTATGGTAGATGCTTTTATTCAGATTTATAAACAAGAAGGATTTTTATCTCTATACTCAGGGTAATACATCGGACGGACGGACTGCCAATAAATTAACATTATAATGTTTAAAATGTGTTTTGCTTGTATTCCGTTTAGAATTAGTCCTGCATTATTACGTCAGTCTACTTACGGAACAATCAAATTTGGAACTTACTACACACTAAAACAAACGGCTAATGATTATTTCCATGCCACAGAAGACATAGCAATAAACTTTGGATGTGCTGTGTGCGCTGGTATTATATCGGCGTCAATAGCTAATCCTACTGATGTGCTTAAAGTACGACTTCAAGCCGTAGGTGAAGCTAACAAACCAAAGTGTAATATTATAAAATGCTTTCGTGACATTTATGTACACGAAGGACTCCGAGGATTATGGAAGGTTAGATGATATTTTGATATATTACTCGTTGGTTACTAATTATCATAACTTAATGTTTCATTCAAAGATACAATTTTTTTTTTTATAAAAAAAAGTGCGAGGATGTTTTAATACTGACAATAGTATCAAAACCCTCGCTGTTCTTCTTTCGGTATAGAACGCATACCGTAGTTTCCCAAACTGAGATTAGTATTCCGAGAACTAGGCGTCCAAGTCCAAATTGTGCCTAAAATTATTGTACTCAATTGACATTTGTGTACTTTGAATGATTAAATAATTTTTTGAAAATATGTTTTTAATCGAAATATTCAATGACTTTTTAGGGAGTTGCTCCTACATCACAAAGAGCAGCTATCATTGCTGCTGTAGAGTTACCAGTTTATGATTATTGTAAACACAATATGATGGTGTTTTTTGGAAATAATATCTTTAATCACTTTATGTAAGTTTGTATTACAACTTTTTCTACACTATTTCAACATATATTTACAGTTTCCTTTGCACATTGTGGGATTGTTAGAACACGGCCGTATCGACCGTCTAAACTACATGTGGTATAGTACAGTGTTCTATACAAAGTGAATACAATGTATAAAGTAAAGAAAATTGTAAAATTGTATTTACAAGCTTCATAAGTACCATTTGAAAAGAATACAAATAAATTTAGTAATGTTGATAAATTAAAAAGTAAAACAAATAGTGACAATAGACAATAGTGAAATAGTATATTTATAATAACATAAGACAAATTAGGTATTATATTGATTACAATAATTGATAAAAAAAATTAGTTTGAAACCAAAATTTATGATTTTAGTTTGAAACCAACATTTTATTTATTTTTTTTTTTTTTAAACAAAAATAGAAATTCAAGCTTTATATTGATATAACGTTATGTTGCTTATAAGTAATTAAATATGTGTAACATAAATTTGTGGGGTTCGTGTGGTACCCATTTTACGGTTGCCTCTCGGATTTGTCTAGACATTTTTTTCAACTACATAAAGCCTACTGATAAATAGTATACAATCAAAAACAAGATCAAAATATTAATTGTTTTAATGTATGCTTTTAATGCAATTTCATTTTGTTATATCAACTTTTTTTTCGAATTTAAATTTTAAATTGTTTTTTTTACATTAGTTTAAAAAGCAGTTTTTTTTAAATATATTTTTTTATAATTCAATATTAACTTTTTAATAAATATATAATTTGTCAACTTGTAGTATATGAAGTTTTCTTGAAAAACAATAACTCAATCAAAAAGTAGAGCATTTTAGAGCGTTATAAGGTAAGTTAAAAAATAAATGGTCCAAAATTTAAAATATCTGACCTACAGTCACCAACGTATTTTTTTTCTTCAAACGGAAACCGTGTATTCTTTTTGTATATATTTGTGATAACCTGTGCTCCGCATAAAATCTAAATATTATTATTTTATTAAAATTAATTACAAATTTAAAAAATCTACTAAATACGAACATAATATTTGATAATTAGTAAAACAAAAAAAGTGGAAAATATAAGTTTTATAAAAGCGAGACTCATTTTAAAGCATGTATTATTCAAAATGATAATTTTAACTCTTTATCTGTGTCATTGTTCAGCATATATTAAATTTTTTTGCAGATCTAGTCTTGTAGCGAGTTTCGGAAGTGCAATAGCTTCAAATCCTATCGATGTCATCAGGGTAATATTAATAAACAAATTGTATTTTAGTTAATTGCAACTAACATTAGGATAAAATATACATTGTTAAATGTTTATATAACAATTATGAAGTAGAATTGTTTACATTGTTTATTCTCGACAGCTTCTCGGTTTTCAACCAAAAATGTGTCCCTGCTCCGTTTGTATAACAACTGATTAAGTTCAATCGGTTTAAATGCATTAGCAGGCACATTGTGTTAAAAATATACTTAGTAATTAACGTAATACAACTTAACACATTGACGGACATTACTGCTGTAGCAGTAATATGATATTTTGACATTTTGGTGGCATTAGTGCTATAATAGTAATATGAAAAATTCATGTTATGGTATTACAGTTATAGCAGTAATCTTTTCAATGGTGTCACATGATAAAGGAAACTCGACTATTGGGCGAACTATTCAGTATTGGAAATTTCAAAAATTATGAGTGTCCATCAACGTGTTAATGCACTTCTTTAATCTTTGTAGTTATTTTTCTACCATCTAATTACTGGACACAGTTTTTAGTTCCTACGAGATACATTATTATAGAGGGCTTCATAAACGATTAATAATGTATTCAATTGAGAATTACGTGTGTAGTGATATATAAACAGTGCCGCAAACCAAAGGTACAAAGATGTTGACTTAAAAACTAAATTAAAGTATGGTGGTACTAGGAATATGCACTTTTGAAGCAGTATTTTTTAAATTTGTCAAAATTGAATGTATACTCGCTTCTTATTTTAGTATATACACCTCTTGTTGTTATTGTTGATGATGATTATTCATAGTGTAGTAAACACTAAAATTACATGGTTTTCTCAAGAACAGCGTTGGCATAACTATTATGAACGTTTTTATTTTAATTTTAGACGAGGCTGATGAATCAAAAATATGTCAAGAACAATCTCATTAATCAGCAAAATGTGTACAAAGGAAGTATTGATTGCTTTGTAAAGGTATTCACAGACATTATTAAATAATTATACAATTCAATCACCTTTACGTTTTTGTTTTAGACTGTAAAGTCCGAAGGAGTATTGGCGCTTTACAAAGGATTTGTACCGACATTTGTAAGGATGGGACCTTGGAACATCATATTTTTTATCATTTATGAAAGACTGAAAACGATTTAAAAACAGTTCAGTACCATGAATCCACTACCTCCTCAACTGTAGTATTTTTTTTTTTTTTTGTGAACATTTATTAATTGATACCTATCTGTTAAAGTGTCTTACAAATTTAATAATTTTAAGTCCTTCCTGATATATTTATATTGTATAACATATTTACATATCTATGTACAAAAAAAACACTCTTCAGATTTTTAAAATGACACTTAAACCCTAATTATGTATACTGTATAGCGAGTACAAAATACAATAATCCAGCAATTGTTTTACTTGTTTTTATTTTGATTGGTATTTTTATTAATTTAAAAAATGTCTACAAAAAAAAAAAAGTTCATGATTTACATTTTTAGAGGCTAATGTAAAACTCAACTTAACTTTGAAGTTTTATTTTAAAAGTTAAAAAAAAAAACATTGATGCATGACAACTAATAAACTATCTGTTAAAATACATAGGTATATAATTAATATATTATACAGCATATGGATTGTACAAATGTATACACAGCATTGCATAGAACGACTATAGTAATAAAACTTAATTTATATACATTGCATAATATTGGCTATATTATGAGTATCAAAATATGCTAAACATTTGTTGAAATCTTCTCGTACAATAATTTTTATTCCATAACCTTATACTTGCAAAGTTTACATTTGCAAGTGCAGCAATGCTCTATTAAACCCCATTTAATTACAATTCATTTGAATACAGTGCTTTCCCTCTATGATTGAAGATATAAAATGACGGTGCATTATGTAAGGTTTCCCATGTTTTGGACTCTAGCTCTTCGATCGCTCTTACTTCTTTGAATTCACCAGCCAAATATAGAATTCCATACATGGATACAAAGAGGCTAATTACACCTTGAGCAAATATCTAGAAATCACAATGAATAACATTATAATAGTTGATTTTTCAAAATAAATACGCTTACAAAGACAAGGGTTATGACAAAGCTTAATAGAGGCTTATGGACAATGTGGTTGTTTAACAATACCATAGCACCAAAATATACTACTTCTTTTCAGCGATCATAGTGCATATAGAGTTGCCTTAAATGCATTTTTATTTATTCGCATGAATGATGTTTGCCTGTAACATAGTTGAAGGGTCAACTGCAACAACCAGCTATATATCTCTGCAATGGGCGGGGAACAAATGCGTTTTGTAATATAATTGTAAGCAATAGTCAGATTTTACTGTTTGTTGCACCAAATCGTAGATCATTTTTCCACGAAAAATTGTTTTTTTTTTCAATCACCGGTTGCAGTCAACCCTACAATTGGTAAGGTAGCAACTGGTAGTCCCCATATTTGGCCTTTAGTCAATGTCGATTAACTCGAATAGTGTACCCAAGTACTACTTTTGTTTGGGAAATCGATGGCGTTTTATGAACTGTTTATACAATTGTAAATTTGTTTATACAATTTGTACAATTCAATCTATGTCGCGTATGTATCTATTAGGTACACCTTCACCGCCATTATCAACCTCAATAAAATCCAGATAATGACAAAATTAAAAAACCATCCATCATCTTGGGTATTATTATGGAAAATACTTTTATTAAAAACGGATTTAACAAAATGATTTTATTAGGAAAATTAAATTTTGAACTTTTAGGATGAAAACAAAATACAATAACAACATTCTTCAGGTACCACGTACCAATTCTAATGTGGTGGAAATCGAATACATAAAAATTTATTTTTCCTCTTTTTATTTTAAATTTTAAAAGTTAACATACTTGAATATAACAAATGTCAATCTCTATCACTTGCTTTTACTTAAGTACTTAACGACATTTTTCATTGTAGTATTATCAGTTTTTATACTATTTAGTTTCAATTTAGCACACAATAAACGGGATAAGTTACAACAAAACAATCAAACTAAATAAAATACTAATTAATATCTCACATCAATAGGTAGACCATCAAACTCTTGCTCTGTGATTCGTAAGTATGATCGGTCTGTACAAAAATAAAATAAAAATGTTAATAAACTAAGTAAACAAACAGTTATAAAAAAATGATGAAGCAATAAATTATATTACAAAATCTAGGAACAGATTTACTTAACCAGACACTCTTTATTATTATTGTTATTCAGTTTTTTTATTGCTATCTTGTAGTACGTTTCTTACACTGGTTTCAAATTTAAAGTCAAAATCCTTGGACGTTTCTAGTTCAAAAGTTATGGCAACTTGTTTGAGCATTATTGTTGTATCCAAAGTTTTAATATCTACAACTATTCAACTAAAGGAGTCATTTTTGCACATTTTTGACTTCATACTCGTAATCAGTGTAAAATACACTACTAGATGGCAAAAAAAAAAAAGGTGTCTGCTAGTAAAATGTATACCAAAATGTATAACATTAACTTATGACAAGTGTTATATAATAGCATTGAACAAATACAATAACCTAACTTTAGTACTATATTCATTGATTAACAAATGTTACAATAATCAATAATGAAACAAAATTATAGGTTTATTTTTTATGCCATATTATTGATGATATTTACAACCTGTACATAGTACAATAAGTAAAATTGTTTTTATCAAAATAAGAGTTCAAATAAAAACTAGAAATGTTCTATAGTAATAATTGAAAATTTATTAAACTAGAAGATAAGACGCCAACGGCTATGTTTTTACTAATATTACTGATTCAGTTTTAACTTTTAGTCGGTCTGTTTATTAACAGTTTCATTACTTACGTTGTGCGGCAGAGTAGGCAGCATGCAGTAATGAAATAATTCCAAACAAAATAATGTAATTGTATACGTTAAACATTTCAACTAATTGTTTTGTTGTAATTCGATTCTGATCTCTCACGAAACAATTTCTATTTTTTATAATGTGTTAATCTAATTCTAAAAATATGTAAACCACAGGAAAACAAATCGACAATAGTCTGTCGTCAGAATTAATAACTCTGAATTGATTAATTATTTGATAAACAACATTGATAAAGATATTGATTTTTCATACGCGGTAACTCGTTTGTTTTCATATATATTCTGCGCTTACCACGTCCTTGGCACGACGTGATAACCCGCATAACGGTTATCACGATATCTATAATCTTGTAACAAAAATAATAAATATGCAAGCACGGAATAATTTTTGGTCACAAAAAGTTATTCTTAATTTTGTAATTCAAGTTACATACCTACATAATACTATATTATGTATGATATGTAAGATTAATGCATAATGCACATTATCTTCATAAAATATTAATCGTGCAATCATACCACAGATATACAAAGGATAAAGAAACCTTTATAAGTCCATGGTGCGCGTATATTATGTTAAAAATCAAAACAAATAACAATTAATAAGTTATAATTCATACTTTAAGTCTGATACTTTATATAGGCTACAGCACACGTGTTATTGCCTTTGCTTTTTACGTGTCTACTCCCCGAGTAGAATAATAAGAGAAAGTAAAATGAAAGTGTGTGAATCATGGGTAAAATCTTAATTTTTAATAGCCAATGGTCAATGGTCGCACGATTATTATCTAACATTATAGTCATTAGACGTGGGATAATATAAACTATAATATTTGTGCTACGACGACGCAAGTTCGTTTCAATTCTCTCAACTACTATAATTCAAACGTAACAAAGTTCGAACGTTTATGTTAAAACATTAAAGAAAATTGACGAGGTCAACAAGTTATCGATATTATAGTTTACCATAAAATATTAACATACAGGTAGGTCGGCTATCATTTTAAAAGTAAACACCAATAAAACTTATCACTACTTTGATCACGGAATAAATGAAATTTCATATTTTATTCTGTGCTTTCACGTTATAAGCCAATACAATTTTTTGTAACATTAAGTTTCGGTAACAAATTTCTATTTTGTTACAATAAATGTTTTTTTTTACAAATAGTTATTTTTAGTAAATAATTATAATTTATACTATATTGTTTGGTTTTATTTAGGTTTGTGATTTTTTGTTACTATTTCCATGTCTCTCATATCATTAATTCGAACTATTCGATCAATAGCTATTTCACCTAAATTTCGAAGACAGATGACGAAAATGTATTCAAGTACCAACAAACCGTTGGATGGTCATGTGGCCATTATTACTGCGTCTACTGAAGGGTAAATTTAATTAAGTTCATTTATAAATCAAGGGGATCAGAAACGGTCATTTAACGGGAATTTCGTTCTCTAGTAGAGATGAGAATCTGAGAAATTTGAATATTTAGATATTTTATCGCGCAACACTGGAACTATCCATGTGTGTTGCAACAAATATAAATTTCTATGTTGCGTAGACAAAATATACAGGATATAACCGTTTCCAATCTCCTAATCACATCCCAACTATTAATAATAATACGTTTTTATATGTTTAGAATTGGTTTTGCAACTGCTAAACAATTAGTCGTCGATGGAGCTTCAATAATGATTAGTAGTCGTAAAAAGAGCAACGTTGATAAAGCTGTCGAAATTCTTCAAAACGAATTTGGAGAAAATAAAGTGCACGGTGTTGTATGTCATGTGTCTAAAAAAGAAGATAGACAAAATTTAATCCAAGAAGTAAAATTATTGTATTATTTAAAAAATTTACTTAATATAACTACTGTACAAATCAAAATCGTTGGTACCGAGTAAAATTTAAAATTAAGCACTATAAAAATATACCGTCTCAGACAGCAAATCCGTTTAGAAACAGTCATCTCATGATGGATGGCCGTGCATTGGGCCTTAAAACCTGTTAAGATTGATGATGATGATGAAAATATTGTATAAATTGTTTGTGAAAAAATCGACATTATCAAATTTTTATGGTATATATTCACTCCTGGTAGGCAACCTAAATTAAAATAGAGTTTCTTATGACTATCCTTTGAGTGTTTTCAAAATTGTATGCCACAATTTTTGTTTAAACAAACCTATGATCTTAATATTGAAATAACGCTGATGACTAAACAAAGTGACTCATGAAAATTGTGATTTTACAAAAATGTATTGTTTTTAACAGCCATTAAGTAATAATAACAATCAACATTTTCGTACGTACAGTCCTTCTAAGCTATAATCAATATTTTCCTGATTTTACACTCGGTACTTTATTACTTATAAGTTTGTAATTTTATACCTGTGTTAATGTTTTAGACGATAAACAAGTTTGGTTGTATTACTATATTTGTATCGAATGCTGCAACCAACCCAGTATCTGGTTCTGTTCTCGACGTAAGACATTTTTTGTGTTTAAGTAACATTTTATTTAACTTGTGTGATCATGTGGTCGTGCTGCTACGTGTAGTATAGATTAAATTGAGGCTTTAATTGAAAAGAGTAATTGAAAGAAACAGAGAGAGAGAGAGAGAGGATTTGTCCGGCTTATCCTATTTGTATGGTATTTTTTTTTTTTTTTTTTTAATTGCAGTGTCCGGATGAAGCATGGGATAAGATATTTGACATAAATGTTAAAAGTGCATTTTTATTAACTAAAGAAATTGCTCCTCACATAAAATCTCGCGGTGGAGGTTCAATTGTCTATGTTTCTTCAATCGCCGGTATCAATCCTATGCCGGTATGTTTAATATTATTTAAAATTATAACTAAAAACTCGTGTTTATTATGTGTAAATAATATGTATTATTATTATAATAGATGCTTGGGGCGTACTCTGTTAGTAAAACAGCACTTCTAGGACTGACCAAAGTGGTCGCAGCAGATTTAGCAGAGCACAATATAAGGGTGAATTGTGTCGCTCCTGGTATTATAAAAACCAAATTTGCATCGGCTGTAAGCAAATTACAAATTCATACCTATTAACAATTAATAAAATACAATGAATACATAGAATTGTATTTATTTGATTCTCAAAATTAAATTTTCTTATGATTTGATGTGTTGTAAACACCATACTTCTTATGCATGGAAAATATGTATGATCGACTTTATTATTAAATTATTTTTAATGAATTTTAATGAATACAATTCGTACCTACCATCATTGCATTAGTGTAGTAACTAAATAAATTTCGATTTTGCGTTATCCTTAATTTCTTATAGTAAGACTTCACTCATTCAAATGGCCATTTTGTTTTTTTATTTTAATACAATATTGTTTTATTAAAAAAATATATTCTATCTAAAATTAACCCATAACTAATGTTCCGATGGTATAACATAAGTATCAGCTAATATAGATAAATATAAAAAGATGTATTATTATTTCATAGGTACATATATTAGTATAATTTTTTTTTCCTTGTGTCTTACACGCTATGTTATCATTTAACAGCTTCCACTAGGTCTCTCCAATAATCTTTATGCTTTACATCTTCTATTTCTTGTATAGATATTATGTATTTTAATGTAAACTGTTTTTCCAACCTTTCTTCCCAATCCATCCAAGAGAGTTGGATTTTGTGTAGTTACTTAAAACTTAATATTTTCAAGTAAAACATTTTATGTATCAGAATATAAAATATTGGCTGATATTTTATGTTATTTACTTAATAATATAGATTAATCGGGGCAGAAATGCCATGCGCCTTCAGGTGTCTGAACTGGCATAAGTTAGCTATAGCCACTCCCGGTCAATACGCCATACGATAATTATTATTTTATATAGACAATTGTTTTAACTTAATTTGTTTTAATTGTGTTTAAGCTGACTGAAAATGAATCTCTCAGTGAATATTTGCTTCAAATGAAACTTATGAAAAGGTAATTAAAACACTATTTGACATATTTCAGTTTAGTTTTTTTACTATAGTGTGTTTATAGATTTGGTCGACCTGAAGAAATTGGCTCGGTGATATCATTTTTATGTTCACCATCTGCGTCATTTATAACTGGAGAAGTTTTAGTAGCCTCGGGTGGCATGACATCAAGACTATAATGTTGAATACTACAGCGAATGAGTGTGTCCATTTGAAAAACGTATGAAAATTTGACCCGTTGAATGTTATTTTTTTTTCTTGTTACAAGGTACCCATATAATAATTACAAAACATATCTATGTAGATAGGGGAAGTAAAGGTTTATTGTACTGGCAGTAGAAATAGTATTAATTGTATAGATTTTGTTTCCAAAAAACTATATATCATTTATTATAAATACCTATTAATAGTTTTTGTATAAACATACATAATATTATATTATACGAACAAAAATATTGTATGTTATCAAAACAATGTGTATAATTAAGATTGGATGTTGGTTGTGTAGTTTAATGTATAGTAAGAGTAAAGATAAAAGTTAATAAAGGTTTCATTTGTTGACGGTGTATTTATGCAACTTTGAATTAACTCCTCTTTAGCCGTAACCCACTTATATCACCGCATGTGAAATTATTTTATAAATACTGAATGTTAATTATGTATATTTGTACTATATCCAATTAATATGCTTTGGCGGTAAAAACAACAGTTGTAGTTGGGTATGATGCGCCTACTGCAGAGTTAATAAAGTACGATATTGTATGTTAGTACAATATTAAAAATAATTATCGCCTTAAAACCAAATAATAAATATCAAAGGAAAACGAAGTGATTGTACTTGCTAATCTCACAATATCAATTCCATAAAAATTTGGAAATAATTCGACTAATTAAAAAAACAAATCTTTCTTTATTGACCGGCTGGTCTCGTACAAATCGACGGCTAACATGTTTTTTACAAGCGTGCACCGCTTCTAACTAAAAGTAATAAGAATAAACATTAAATATGCTTTTATAAATATTATTATCATATTATAGGCGATTATTATCTATGTCTGTGAAAGAAATTGATAAACAAATGATAAGTGATAACAATGAAAAAACAAAAAAATACTACCGATTGTTCGTAATAATAATAATAATAATAATATATTGTAGATGGAAATATTTAAAAAAATATAAAGTACGCTAATTACTAGTTGAACATGTGATATACCTATAGTATTCTCAGTACGTTTAATCGTTAATATTTGATATAGTAATTAATTATGACTTGTTTAAGATGGTACCATAAGTATTACTATGTAACATTAATGAGTGTTTTTTGTGTTTTATGTTTTAATATTTATTTAGTACTATATTTTTCCAAAGAGGATAAACCTGATGAGGTGAGCAGCTAAATGAGAATACCACTGAACAAATATTGGTTTTCAAATTAAAAACTATTATTAATTACCCAGTATGATATTTGAAGTGTATTTGTATTATTAAATGCCAATCATAGTAATTAGATCAGTCATAGTAATTTTAATTAGATGAATTTTTATAATATAAGGCACAAAAATAATTTAAAAAAAAAAAAACTAAAATATAGTTATCATAATTGGGAGAGGCAACGGCAATTAAAACATAATTTTGTTTATAAAAATTAATTGGGAAAAAAAATAAGAAATTTTAAAACTTGTTGGATACATAATGGCACCTAGGAAAAATTGTCTACGAGTTATACGTAGGTTTGTATTGATAACAAATTCTATAGTACTATTAAAAGTAATAAATAAAATGTATATATAGTTATTAATATTGGTAAGGACGAATGACCGTGTGCGTAAGGCAGTAGTGTCTAAAGAGAGAGACCATTCTCGCTCGTTTAGGTGATTCGGTTTGATAGTCGGGAAACCGTCTATTTATTGGTACATTCTCAATCGTTTTTTTATGTTACATTTTTTTTTTTTTTAGACACCCGCTGTTAATTATAGCGCAACATATTATGCAACACAAAATATCTTAAATTCATTAAATAAACTCGATGATGATTTTGATGTACCAATGTCAACTAGTCAATCAAAAGTTTTAAAAGACATTAATGTGCTTATTAGTAATATCCAGATGAAGATTACTGGCAAAATAGATATATTTACAGCTACCGTGAAAGTAAGCTCTACGTAATGATTACAAGCAATGTATTTTTGTATTAAGAATATGTACCGTTTATTTAATCACACTTTTCAAAAAGACATTTGAAAATCGATATCAGTTATGTCTATATTAAGCATTAAATTTTATTCCATTTTAAGGCCATGAATGAAAATGGGCTTATGCCAATTTATGGGACACCGTTTTTGGGCACTACTATAAAGTTGATGAAAACTTCGAGAATAGTGAAAACAATCAACGCTATAAAGGGAACCCAACTTAAGTTAATGTTGACTTTTGAAAACAAACAGGAAGTCCTATTTAAACCGAAATGGTATGTAAACTGTTATTTTGTTGTACTATCTTTGTTTATATAGTTCATACCGTGCTTGGTATTTTTAATTGGGTTCTGTAGTTAGTTAAAGGTAAACCTTACATATTTCACAAATAGTTTGCTTATATAATTATGAAATGTTATGATTGTTTTTATTTTGTTATTTTGTTTGAAATAGGTATTTAGAATCCGACACTATTGAAGGGTCAGTTTATGCTGGTAAGGATCGTTACAACGGTGAAATTATAGCATTTTACATTTCTCTTATTCTTGGACTACCTCGAGTTCCTATTACTGTGAAACGAATTTTAGATTCTACAGAAATTAAAGAAACTGCTAGTTTGGGATTGAAAAAAACTATGTACATTAATTGTAAGTACTAAACATACCTAATTATTTTATACTCGAGTACAAGTATAGAAGTATAACATCTTGTAATATGTATCAATAAATTAAAATGGACTGTGGTAGATGTAGTTAAAAATGTGTTCAATTGGGATATTATGCAGCTGGAAGTGTAAAAAAGATAGAAAATGTCATGTAGGACATTTTTTTTTTTTGCCACTGGTAGTAGGTTAGTTTACAACGTTTAACATCGTTCTCTATTTTTCACGATCTTCAGCAAGCCTTTTTAATCCTGCGCAAGTATCTATCCCTGCATCTTTTTTCAGTTGAGATATGTACAAATTACTTGGTGGTCTTCCTGGTGGTTTTCGTCCTTCAATTGCATCTTCTATTATTGTGTGATGCAATTCTTCATCATAGCGTAGATTTTGGACATAAAAGAATATTATAAAAAAAAAGTGCCTAGTTTCTAACCAGTTATAGACAAAATAGAATAAACGTCTAATGTCTAATAACGGTTAAAGTAAGTAGTAAACTTTTATTTGCATTCAAAATAACATTTATATAATTCTTTATTTCCATATTTTTGTTTAATTGTTATTATTTTTATTTTGTGTTGCTAGATCAGGGTTTTTAAAGAAAGTTCTAATCGTATTTTACTTATGATTATTTGTTTAGCTACAACCAATGAAACTTGTTTGTACGGTAAATGTTATTACTGTAAAAAAGAAGATCCTGTCTGCACTAAAAGTGGAAGACTTGAAGGGGCAGCTATGTTATATCTTCCGTCCAATTTAAAACCACGTGCACAATTACACCCTTGGAGGCGAACATATAAAGAAAACAAACTAGCAAGGTGAACATAATTTTCAAATAATGGCAAACATTCATTTAAACCGTCTGTTATTTGTGTAGATGGGAAAAAGACAACAATTACTGTAAAGATGTATTAGCTAAATACGGCTTTGAGAGGGTTTTAGATTTTGTAGAAATTTGTGTTTTTGATTTTATAATTGGAAATGGAGATCGCCATCGATATGAAGTTGTTGAACAACTTAACAATACCATTTTGCTCATTGATAATGGAAAAAGGTAAAATCAAAAAACTATTTAATAAATTAAGTTTTTGCGTTGTATTAAAACATTTTTTTTCAGTTTTGGAAATCCATTTAAAGATCATCTAGATATTTTAGCTCCACTCTATCAATGTTGCATGTAAGTATTGTGAAAATAAATAATTATGTGGTAGTAAACAATACTCAATTATTTTATTTAATATTGTTTATGTACAGAATACGTTTAAAGTTATGGGAAAGACTGAAGTCTATTAAAGGAGGAAGTTTCACACACATATTGCAAAAAATGTTGGATATACATGAATCCGTATCTTTGTTAACTCTACCACAATACCATGCTTTAGAAAGAAGATTACGAATTGTATACGCTACTGTAACTATGTGTCAAAAAACCTTCAACGAAACAGTATTTAAGTAATTAAATACTCATCGGTAAAAACATTTACGTACATTTCTTGTTTTTGACAATTTGAGTTCGCCGTCTGTGATTCAGTATTGAATTGTACGAGGCGGATAGACCTAGAAAAGTTAAACCCACAAATACATAATTTCAAAAGTAAACTAATTATAATTTTTTTAAATTAATCTTGTTTTAAAAAATTAAGCTTTGTTAGGTATTTCATCATTTTTTTTTAATGTTAGGCCAGTTGGGCTGTAAAAAATTTATTTAAAAAATGTTTAATGTAATAAAACAAAATACAATCTTTTGAGGGTAAAGCTTTTCTGGCGCTATACGCCTCGTACTTTATAATTCAATCACTTTTTATTTTATATTAATTTTTAGGAAAATTATTATCATTCTAAATAATATTGTGTTATTATGATTAATTAGTGATAATAAAAACCTAGATAAGACATGATATATATAAGACATGATAATTTTGTTGATTTTTTTTACATTATCAATTACAGAATTGTTCTTTTTAATACAGCAAAATATATTTGTAATAAAATTCGATTTTATTTATAATTAAGTTTCAATTTAATCATTTCTGAACCGAGTAAGAAAAAAATAATGATTTGAAATTTAATGTTGAAAAACCATTGGCACGTTTTTGTAGAAAATAGTATTTTCAAAATACCAACCACACATGTGCGGATGTTATAGTTGCACTTTTTTTTGTTAATTTAATAAAGTGTAACACCAAAAAATAAATTTACACAAGAGTCAAAAAGCAATTGCTATCCGTTTAAAAATAATGTCGTAATGTAATACTTTTGAAATACACTATAAAACGGACATTTAAACTGTTGCTATTTTGTAATACAATGCTGGTCAAAAATATTTGTGATTTGTTTAAAATTTTAAATTAAATTTCGTTTTTACAGGTGCTAAATATTGAATTATATCTTATTTGCTAACTACTACACTTTCCAGCGATCTTTAATCAAACATTTTTTTAGTTTAATAATTTTCGCCATATATGGAATAGAAATAATTAGTTTATAAATAATCGCATTTGCTATGTTTTGCATATCGTGATGGTTAAGGATAAACTTTTAAAAATGTCTTTTTAATAACATCTCTGAAGAATAAAAACAAAACTGAAAAAATTATAAAAAATATTTAATAAATTGTTTTACCATAACACAGTATATAATTTAAAATATATAATGCACGTTATGTAAATTGATACAAAAATTATAAAACGGTTATAAAAAAAATAAACTCTAATACAAAATTTGAACAGTTTCTTTTTATAAAAATAATTTTAAAAAACAATTTAAAATTCCCACGAGTCTAACCATCGTAGTCCATACATAGTACTGTTTTGTTCTATAGCAGGTGTTCCGGACATGCCATAAGCAAGAGGAGAAAAGAGATAAAAACTAAAAACAATAATTATAAATAAATAAATAACTTTGTTAATTAAAAAAAAAAAAAGAATTGCATAATTTACTCTACCTATAAACGACTGACGAGTATATTATTCCATTAAGAACATCATACATTGTTTTTCGTAAAAATGATGGTTTGGGTGACTTAATAATTTCCAATAAATAACTAAGACTGACACCTTTAAGAAATTTCAGTACATTAATCATAGAAATAACAAAAATAGTCGTGTAAATATTTAAAAAATGTTTACAGTATTAATTAGATTTATAATCATACTGACCTGTTAACATTGAGCTGTATAAAAACGCTGAAAAATAGTGGTGAAAGTACAGTACTCTTCCCATAGCATAAAATGGAATGTAATGTAAACACCAGCTAACAAAAAGCCAATTACAGGTTGCCCATAACTTATTATCAGACTCTGTAGGCAAACAATGCTAAGTTAAAAAAAAAAAAACAAATTTAAAATAATTTGTTATTTTTATATTACCATTTTTTTCATATCTTCCCCTTCGTTTGTCAATGATGGCCTTTGAAATTGATAACACGTTATACAATATCATAATTACTATGTTTGTCCACCAAATAAAAGGATTTCCTAGCAAATATATTTTGTAGTTATTTCCAGAAAAAAATTGTCCCTGTTAACGATAATTGTTACATAAAAAATGATGTACTTAGAATTAGTTTTTGACATTTTAAATGTACAACAAACCTTGTAGTTTACAGGCCACTGCCAGGGTCTGGATGTAACTTCTCCTTCTTTCGGTTTAAGGCCGGAATTTCCTTGGAACATGACAGCATGAGATTCTAGAAATCTAGCTAGAAAACTGGGTGAATACAGTTCAAAACTCACATTTTGAACTATAAATCATTAAGTTAAGATAGTTTTTTCAAATACAAATATTAAATTCATTAAGCATGTAAGATATTCGATACAAGTATCATTATAATATAACAAAATTTAGAACATTAATCCTATACATCAGAACTAATGTGGTGTATTTCGGAAATGTGTTGTGATGGATGTAAAAGTTCAAATTGCTTGTAGGTTTGAACATAGTTCGGCATGTTTAGGGTCAAGGGACAGGTCAATTTTGGTTTATTTTATTGAACAATTTATATGCAGCTAAAATATTTCTGATTTTAGGGAAATTAAATTAAAACAGTTTTTTTCGGTTATGTGCCACAGCAAAGACATGAAAATTTCAAAATTTGCAACAGAGTACAATTTTACCAATACTGACGTCCTTTTTTTAAACTAAAACAGTCAAACATATTTTTTATAATAAAATTTAACTTACGTTTAGAATTTATGTGGTCTTCAACATTCCAAAATGAATTTGTGTCTCTTAAATTTGGACTACATGTGACTTCGTGTTGTTCAAATGCCCTAAAAATCGAATTTTCGTTAATTAATTCACGCGACACTCTTATAATAATTGTTTATTTTCATATACGACAGCTGATCTGCAATAAAAATATACTACCATTTGGGTAACTGTTTGTTGGTTGTAGTAAGTACACAATGTTGAAGAACGTGAACTAATTTAATTTTACTAATAACAGCAGATACTATAGAGCCATCGGAACCACCATCGATAAATATCTTCCATACATCATTATAATCACCTGTACCATTCTAAATGAATAGACAAATTGTTAATGGAAGTGTAAATTGTATACAAGACAATTTTTCTGTAGTAGAAAAAAAAATGGAGATACAAATTATTATTTAGCCTCCATGTTAGGTGGTAGCTTACCTCACCATAGCCAGTAACTTGATAATGTTTTTTTGTAATGGGAGCAGGCTCACGGTGTGAATGTAGATTTCGTCTAGTGGGCACATGTTCCAGTCTAATCATATCTCCATGTTTAACAAACCTTATATTAGTACTGCTGTTTTTATTTTCATCATCATTGTAGAATTTTACAAGCCAACGATTATTTTCATCTTTATGTGCATATGTTGTTATCTATATTTATAAATCACATTAATCATTTTATAACTAAACTAAATAGCGATTTATGTCTTAAATAAATTTCATTAAACACAGCATGTTAAAAAAAAGATTATAATCAGTGCTGGATCAAACAGGTTTAGTTTTGCACTCGATATTAAAAATTGTCTAACCAGTTTGTAATTATAACTTGACATCATGATAACTAGGGCCTGCAATTTTATTTATGGTCTTAAAACAACCAAAATATGTATGTGTTTATGTGCTGAAAATGGCTAGTGTGCACTTTAACATTTTATTTCATTCACGGTCGAATTTAGGGGAGGGGGAGGTGCAACGGTCCTAACTGGACCAGCAAATTTCATCTAATACATTTTTTTTGTGGAACAAAGGCAACAATCTGGTCATTAGTCTACATTTTATTCAAAATAGATATCTATTAACCGTGGTGGCACTAGAAAGCAGGCTTATAAACATTAATATTGAAGACGTATATTACTTGTGTAATAAGTGATAATATTAAGAACTGACATACTCCCTTTTATATTATTTATTATATTAAGATATTCTAAAATCCATTAAAATGAAACAAAATCGACCAAGTGGAGCTGCTTATAAGAAAATTCCTCTTCAAAAGTCAGAAAAAAAGCATCTCTCGTTGCTACCATCTACTGTGAAAAAAATCAAAGTTCAAATAGCTATAACATTTTTGAACTAGATGAGACCGCCGATATCTGACACGTTCGTAATCAGCGTAAAAACAGTAAAAGATGACAAAATAAAAATCACAAAAAAAGTGTGTTCATTTGTTCCATTTAAACACTTAAAATTGTTTTCACTAACCTGTTGTTGTTTAGCACCAACATTCTCTGGATAAAGATGCCAATGAGAATGTAAATATCCACCACCAGTTCTATGATTTTTTAATGTTATAATTGATCCAAATGCTACTTCTATATACAACAAAAAATAAATACATTCAACAAAACATACTATAAATGTGTTTCTAATTTTCTTTACAAATGCGTTATGCTTATATTTATTAGACATATTAATAAACTAAAACAAATGGACCAAATTTAAATAATTTAGAATTACAATTAATTAAACACTGTCTTTTCACATTTTCTTGGTAATAGAAATGAACTTTAAGAAAATAAAAAATGATGATTAAAGAGAAAACAAAATGTTGATTTAATTGTCTCGATAATTGTATCACTGTTATATAAAAAGCCATTTACACAACTTAAACAATATCAAAAAAAAAAAAAAAAAACTGCTAAAATTATTTCAAAACATTTGATATAATTGACAATTAGTAATTTTACCTTTTGGCATACTGGCATTGTGTAATGAATTTCCTTCTAATTTTGACTGGAATGCAGAACTATAAAATCCATCACCATTTCCACTTTTATTAAGAACCATTAAATGAATGTAAAAAAATCCAACATAAACCGATATTGGCACAATGATAAGACATATAAATCTTGCTACAAAATGTTTCATTGTGTAAGTCTGAAACATGTTTTTAAAGATAACTTAAATCATTTCTTTTGAGATGGTGTTTTTTGTATACTTTACTATGGGTTTTGATAATTTTCCTAGTATGGTCCACAGATCAGAAATAGTCATTAATCCAATGAAAATAACTTGAAATAAACCAACAAACTTAACACTTATACAACAAGCCATCGTGATACCAGTAAATATAAGCCAAAACCACCAAGTAAAATTAAACTCCCTGCTGTTTATAGAGAATAAAAAAAGACAATACAAATTAGAAGAATTGAAAAAAAAAAATGTCTATAATGCAACTTACTTTGAATCACATGATCGAAATTTACTTATTCCGAGGAATGAAGCCAACATGAAGAACAAAAGTATTGGATCAAGTAAAATGTATTGAGTTAAAGTCAAAGTTCCAACATCTTCAAAACCAAAATAATTAGGACAGACAATAAAACTATAATATATATATATATCAAGGATAAAATAACAATTGGAAATATTTACCAAAAAGAATAAATAGTGATGACAAAATTGCAGCATTCAATAAATGTGTCATTTCCCAAATAGAAACAAACGTGAATGGTACTAATGAAGCACCTAATATGGCGCAAAACTAAAAAAAATACAATATTTTCAAGCAATTATGTTAGGGTTTAAAATGAAAAAAATTATAAATACACTTTGAATTATTACAGACCTCTCTCATTCCAACGTAATTAACTCCATTGTATTTGTCTCCGGGTTTATCAAATGGAAAACTCCCATTATATCCTGTTAAAACTCCTGATAAAGCAATCAACATCTATGGGGAAATAATATACAAATATTTCCGTTGAGTTAAAAATAATATAACAACATTTTTAGCTCATACTTTTCCTAATGGAGGATGGACATCAAAGAAGAATGTCCTATTAATGTACCAACTTCCCATTTTTCCAAAATGTGTTTCATCCCAGCTAAAAAAAAAAAAAAGAATAATTGATTAGAGCAAGTTAACATTAATTAAGAACATTATTTCTCCTATGTAAAAAAAATGCATAAACTAAACAAAAATATGCCAATTGTTAAAACTAAAAGCATACATCTTTTCTAGTAAAATATACATATAATTCTGTATTCAAAATCTAAACTATTTTAACTGCAAAAAGTTAATACTCGAGTTTTATATGTTAAGTCCAAAATATACATAGAGAAATTAACAGACAAAATCTCAGACGAGTCCTGCTTTATAAATCTTTGAGTAGGGATCTTAAGTCCTACTTGTTCAGGTTTAAAAATTTGAAACTTTTTTGAGGGCTGAACTATTGTAATTAGAAAAATAGAATAAAAAAGTTTGAAATAGATACTAAACTTAAGCATTATTCCTAACAACAATTTAACAATATAATAATTATTCTGTTGAAAAGCCTCTGGCGGCTGGAGAAATATTGTCCGTAATCAGAAAATATTTTTAATGTAAATATAAGAAACATGTTAAGTAAAGTAACATAATGAATCTCAGTAAAGTTGTTAACTCACCATACGTGATCAGGCTCATCAATTTTGTATAACCGTGTACCAAATGATAAAACTGTCAGCAACATAAAAGCACTCCACCATGATACATCCCTGATAACAAATGAAAGTGTACAGTAAACGTTTCACACAAATTTTTAACTTGATATGATTTTTTTTATTACACTTATGTATAAATGTATGTATAATATATTTATATACTACATTTTTAACAGACACACATAAAAACTGATCACACAAATCTGATTTTTTAAAAACTATGAATGGTTTTAATTATAATCAAAGGAACAAATCGAATATACCACCCCAGGCCCAAATTTTTTTTTTTCAATCAATTTGTTTTTCGATGCCAAAAACTATGGTGCAAAAAACAATTGCCGAAACGCTTAATTTTGAAGTTACAGCTACTTGAATTTGAAGAATTATCGTTGCACAAGACAACCATGGCACGGCGCCCGCGAGCTAATGTGGATGCAGGCTCTGGAAGCCATGTCACGTGCCTGGCAAAAAAAAACAAGGACCTCGAAAGGCGCGGAGGCCTAGTCGACAGCTATTGAATTATAGAAGTCCGCTAATTCTGACTTAAGAAAGAAATCCCACAAACTACTGTGTTCTTCAATTGCGATTCACGTCGTCGCCTGCTGCATGATGGCGGACATCAATAAGACAACACAATTGTATTAAATAGAAATTTACACAAAAAACAAAATTCAAGTAATCGTAATTAAAACAATTAAATCCTAAAAGACATGTAGAGAAACAATTGAAAAAATACAACATATCTAATTAATATTCGAAGACATAAAAATGTTACTTTGTAATAAGTTGGGTCGTTTTGACTTGTTGGGAAGCTTTTGTTTTCGACAATGCCATAATAAATAAATAAATTTAAATTAAATCTTGTGTAGTGTGCAGAATTTGTACAAAACAATCATATTATCAAAATGTTTTTTCATCGTTTAAAAGAATTATTATTGTCAATTTATTTGCCAATGAGTATTTGTAACGGTAAAATAATGTATTATTTTTTTTTTCTGTATGTGAAGTGTGAACGTCAACAAAGTATTATCAAAAATTATGATTGGAAAAATTGATAGTATTATCACAGAATAACTCGTTATTTGTTCTATGCACGGTTATAGATAAACGGGTTTTCTGTTACTGTGGTTCTGTGGTATTATTGGGTATTGGCATATTCGGCCTTAAGTTCAAAAGGTCTACAATGCTATTATTTAATTAATATAAAACAAATAACATACATTTATATTAATTAAAATTTACAATATATAATTTTGTTTTTACATATTATATTTAAATGTTTCAAATTATTAATTTGGCAAGTGAAATACGGTTAATGACGACAAGTCACAGGTTCTACTTGCTTATGAATGATTCTACATAATCTAATATGGATAAGAATCGTTATCGTCGTATATTTATTTATTTATTTAGTTCCCGGTCGAAAATTTAAAATGGTCAGATTGTTTGCTATAATATTTCAATCAAAATCGATGTAACTGAATATTAATATATTGATGTAACTTAATGACTAATGAATATAATATATATTAATTAACATAGCCATGGATCCAACTAACATACTCATCCGCTTAGAAAAAAGACTACTTGGTTATGGTGGTAAGATATTATGTATATTTTACCTAGTATAGGCTTTAATCTCGGTTTAAATACGATATATTTTACTAAGAATGGCGTTATTAACCAAATTCTCACTATTTTTTTTTATTTTGAAACAGAAAAAAATAATAACTTATTGACTATGAGTAATAATTAATTTATAATTATTAAATGGTTAACAATAAGAATTATCTAGATTTTTTTTCAATCTCGACAACAAACTAAGCATTAAGCTCACTAAAAGACTAAATTAATAATTAATTAGACGTTTTTTGCAGGTTTCAGAAAAAATATATTTGATTTATATATAGAAAAACTAGACTGTGCTCCTGATAGCTTGAAATTATGTGATATTGGAAATACATTTGCCTGTAGATTTAGTCGAAATCAAAACAATTTACACATCTTAGCATGTTCAACAGAACATGGAGAAATAGTAGTGCAAAATACTATTAAACATTCTGATTTTCCTTACTCACAATTTAAGAAAAGTAATTTTTTTTAATTTAAGAGTTTTTATCATTCTTTGTAATAATTAGCCATAATCATTAATTATATTTACATTTTTGTATTGACTAGATTTAGTGCACGATAATGCTATTTTTAATTTTGCATGGGCTGAACCTAAAATGAAATTAATTACAGCATGTGGTGATCAAACATCAAAGTTGTGTAATTTAGATCCTTCTGGACACCTTGTTACGGAAAAAGAATTCTTTTACAATTCATCAGTTAAAAGTGTTATGTTTTGCCCTGGAAGCACAGGTAAATAAATTTCACAATTTGTAACCGTTAAAATGTACTGAAATCTGTTATTTATTTGTAGTGAAATAATTTATTTTTCATCTTATTGCTGTGTTTAGATGTCTTTTGTGGTGGATGTCAAGATGGCTTTATCAAAATTTGGGATGCTCGTAGGAATAGTAACAGCAGTGTTTTAAATTTTGATCATCAAATACCTAATGCGCACAGTATGAATATTATATTTTTTAGTTTACATAGTTGGTTTTTTACCTTTTGGTGCAGAGTTCTGTTCTGCACCAGAGGTAAATCGGTTGGTGTTATAATAATACATTTTTTGTTTACACTATTATTATAATTAAGAAATTATTACTAAGTACATTATACTTATATACAGTTACAGACCTGGTTTTGGGCATGAGAGAAGGGCAAACGTGTAGACAAATATGTACATATTGTGTGTCACTGGGTATGGGCGGTTAATGTGGCTTTACAAACAATGTGTAGTTTTTAAAAAAGCCAGCAAAGTGAGGTCAAGAAATAGGGGACGGACCATATTGGTGCTGGATTTTTGAGTTTGTAAACGGTGATATTTTAGTTCATAGTTGTAAAATGTTTGATCAATATAATTGTTGGTTCTGTGTTTTAGAAGACTATTAATTGTTACAACCAACAAACAATTATTTCATATATTTTGAAAAGTTTAATAAAAAATATTTATACCCTTTATTCCGTAGATACAATATAAATTATAAATATTAATTGTATTATCAATCTAAAATTAATAACATTTCAATTATTTATTTCATCAAATCAACCTTTTTTCCTTTGGTACAAAATTAGTATTTAAAACGTTAATATTTTATAACCAACCTTTTTTTTTTTTTTTTTTTTATTGGTCTTTATTTACATCAGCAGCTAAGGTTAATACATGAAAATTTTATATTTTACTATACAGTTCGATTTTTTTAAGAAAACATATTAAGTTCGTTATATCTTGAGTGTTTGATGCTAAGGCTTGATTTAATTGCGGTAATTTTCATATTTTTGGCATTCTGTGAGTATGTGGGAGATTGTTAGAGGTACGCCACATGCATCGCGTGTGACCTATTCAAAGACTGTTAATCACTATTTTTCCTTTTCTGGTGAGTCCAGGGTTTTGCCATAGTCGTATATTGTTTTTTATTCTGTTAAGTTTGGTGTTGAGATTTAACCAACCTTCATTTATGTTTTATAAAGATATGTTTTTAGTATAATATACAAGTTTTACACTGAACATTTATTTGATCAAAAAAAGTTAAAAGTATACTTATAAAAAGTGTTTATAATCATAATTTTGCCTGCTAAATAGCAACTTTTACAACACTACTGTGTACTTTTCATTTTTAATAATATCAGGATATACATTATATGTATATTCTGGAAATAATTAGGACTAATTTTAAAATTGCTATTTCATATTTGTGCATTAAGGATATTTTTCTACACAGTATGTAAATATTTCAACTCTAAATTAAGTACATACTTAGAAATTAATATTACATTTTTCTCTTTAGATTAATAAATATTTTAATATGTACAGTTACTAGGATACATTAATTTCCAGTAATAATATTTTTTTATTGTATTAAACATTTAGCTGTACCTTGTTTCATAAGAAAAAAAAAGAAATCTAGAAAAGCAGTTGGAGTATCTTGCGTCATATTTAAAAACGACCATACAGTGTTATCTTGTTCCAGCATGGATCCGTTAGTGCCGAAAATAATAACAAAAATAAAAATAATTATATAATTTATTATCGGATTTTCAGATATATAAAAGTCTGGGATACACGAAAAAGTTATCGACAAGTTACAGGAATTATAGAACCTGTCCCATTATTAAAATATTCTCATGAAAATATATATGGACTTCTAAACTCAGGTTATGTAGATATGGTAACTAATCCTTTACTTACTCATTTATACGCAAGTGGTATTGACAATGTAATTTATTGCTATCCATTGGATAGTACTACTAATACAGGTAATAATAATAATAATGACTAAAAATACCACCAAAGGCAAATTAAAATTTTTGTTTTATCATAAATTATGATTTGTATTTTTTTAGATTTAATTTGCAAGTATTCTGGACACGAAGATGAAACATGCTACTCCAAAATTAGTATAAGTAATGATGGCCGATATTTATTTAGTGGTTGCAAAGAGCAAAATGGTGTTATATGGCTTACAGATTTTCCATACATAGAGAAACCCGTATATGCTATAATGGATGATCCAACAGATTCAAAAGCTGAGTTCAGTAACTCAGACTGGTGTGCTGATAATGCTTGTCTTAAGGTAGTTATAAAATCAAATTCTATTTAACGTTAGTAAAATTAGACTTTTGTATTACATCAGGCCAAATCATAAATGTAAGGTACCTTACTTGAGACTTAAGTCTAAATAGACTTTGAATTTGACCTCCACTTGCTAAAAAAAAAATATATATATACCCTTACAAGATTTGCTTTTTCCAATGTCATGAATTAAATATTAGTATGTATGCACTTGGGAAGAATAATATTACTCATTAGTATAAGTAGACTACTAATTATTAATAGAACTTTTATGATGACAATCTATTGAGTCTTAACTTATTGGGAATATTTTTTTATATACATTTATTTAATATAACATATGTTGCTCGTGTGTACTAAAACATTACGTTAAATGTTTAGATGTTCTGGCCTTATGCACCATGATATTAAATTGTATATTCATTTTAATTTTCTTATTATATTTTTATAGTTTGCTGCAAGCGCTGATTCAATGCCCCTAATTTGGTCAACATCCAATTCTCAGTGTAATAATAAATCTTTATCAATGAGATTTACTAAGACATCAGCACATAAATCAAAGTTATTGTCTTCAAATAACCGTACTGTTCCTATTAAACTTTTAGAATCTATTAAACTACAAACAGGTATGTTATTTATAAGTACTCACTGTATAGTATTTTACTAGTATTAAGACATTCGTAACAAATGTATCAAAATTAATTATATTGATGGTTTTTACTCTAGCAAATTACAATTTACCAATAATATTAAATTTTAGATTCGTAAAATCAGGCTTTTAAGCCTTAAGGCTCAACGCTGCAATCATAAGATGACGGTTTATAGACAAATTCGCTGTCTGGGACGGGTCGTTAGGCTGTTGCCGTACAATTATACAAAATATATTTACAATGTACTTAGTTGAGGGTTTAGTTTAACAAAAATCGAGATTTGGGAATAAAACAACAAAAGCAAATAATAAAACTGAACTAATGTTTTAACGGTGATTACATTTTTAGTAATTAATGAGATTTGTTTTTATAACATTAATTAGTTAAAAGAAATACATTCTTTAAAAATAAAATTCGAGAAATGAGTCTCTAAAAATTTATTTACAAATTACTTATATGATTTATAGACAACAGTTTAAAACTTAAAAATCTACTAACAATATTTTTTTATACATTACTTAAAATGTTGATGTAGATTTGACAAAACAGTGTGATGTTTGTTAATTAGATGTTAGAATATCTATACAATTACGATTGTTTTTTTACTTAATGAATAATAAAAGTATAATTTTTAAAAAAAATGTCTTAAGGGAATTGAAAGCAGTCGGTTTTTTTTTTTTTGGACGGTTTAGACCTAAAAGCCTGAGAAAATTACGCCTACCTAGATGGTCCGATTTCAATTCTGTAAAAATATTTGAGTTTATAATTTAGAAAAAAGGTTTCCAGGTTATTGTGGGAATCGATTTTTGATATTTCAATTAAAATTGTGTTTTAAGTCCAATTTGAATTTCTAAAAATTTTTAGTATTTACTTCATTGGTTTTTTTAAGTGAATAAAACAGTTCTTCAAAAATTGAATTGAAAAATGTAGATCAGCTAAATTATTTTTACAGTATTAAAATCCAATCATTCTATGTAGCTATGTAGGATTAATTTTGTCAGGCTCTAGGTCTAGAACAAAATGGCTTTTAGTTTTTACTTGTAGAAAAAATTGTATAAATTAAAAATTATACCCTGAACCTTGCATCTATTAATTTGAAAATAAATTTACACGGTTGAAATTGATTAATAACCGTTTTCAATCCCCTTAAATAAACAAATATATTTAATAAATAATAAGATATCTTATTTGACGGTTTTTAGAAGAAGATATGAAAGACTGGGATACTTGGAATCCGTTACCAAGTGTAAAAGTGTTGGAAAAAACTCCAAAAAAAATGAATCCTGTTGCCAAAAAACAAACTCCAACGTCTGGTAAAAAACGTAAACAAAGTCTGGCATCATCTCCTAATAATTTAATCGACCAGTATTTCACTAAAGAAATGCCACATAATAAGCGAAGTAAATTAGAAGCAATATTTGAAAATGATAGTTCTAGTGTATAAACCAACTTGTACATTTTTTATGTATAAATATAAAAAAAAATTTTCTTAATAGATAATTTCATGTGTACATTTGTAAGTAGAATATCTAAAAGCTATTGGTAATACTTTAGTATTTAGAGTAAACAAAATTAACTTTATAGCTTATTTGATTAAAGCAAATCATTTCAAATCTTAGTGTGGTATGTGCTGACGGATCTAAAAGTGATAATTAAGATGAATCATTCTAATCATTAATATTTTTTAAACATCTGTTATTTACAATATTAAAACACACAAATTATCAATGACTGGTTTACACGTATTTCACAAAATCAAATTTTGAACTCTATTTATAATTTCATTAAAACCTGTAGTTAATGGTAATAATACTGATTATGTTGGATATAAATATAAAAAACTATATAATTCTTAGTGTTATATAATTTATTATAATATACGATATAGTTAATATGTATTTAACAATTTAACATATACAAATTGAAGAATAAAAACAAATTTACAAGATTATGTTAAACATTCATTATTTTTTTAAATATCGATTTCAGACAAATAGTGGTGAACTTTAAATATAACATACATTTTATGAAGAATGAAGTACTCGAACGTGTGGATGTGGTAAGAGGGATGAAAGACCATTCATTATAGCCATTGGCTTACGTTGAACACAAACTTTATAAGACAATGGATTGCATAGTACTGCTAGTTTTCCATATATAGTTTGAGCCATTTCATCTATTTTAATATTATTACCACATATGTAAATTATATCAAAAAAAAAATTTGGTGAACAAAAAGTACTAAATGTGTTTTCATCTAACACATCTATGATAGGTAAACAGTCGTCTCTATTGTATGACATTAAAACTCTAAAAACAGAATCTTTGTGTGAAGTTCTTAACTTTGCAACAAAAGTTAAAAACGGTCCAAAATCGTAAGCCGCAACATCTTCATTTATGAATAATGAGTTTGATAATAATGTAAGTTCTTTTATTATAACTTTTATGTCTGAAGTAAAGTCCAGTACCATATTATATGAAAGTGGTGTTAACAAACAAATGGCAAATTGGTTACTTTGATAACGATTTTTCATCAAAGCGAAGTATTTGTAGGCCCGTTCAATAATTTTTAAGCTTGATATAGCATCAATACTTGATGGACCAAAATTAATATCCATTTGGGTCAACGTATATGCATCAATCACAAACAATATCTTTTCAGCTGGCATTTTTTTAAGATCCACAGGAGTTTTCACAATATTTTTAGAGAGTGCGGCTGCATAAGATATTTGTGACATTTTATCACAATATAATTAATGCAATACTCATATATTTCTTGATGCACTGCTGTACTTTTAACTGTTTTTACTCGTACCAAATAACAGGTTCAAAATGTCCAAACAAACTTCCTACCAACAATATATAGAGGTTAAAATTAAAAAAAAAATAATGATAAATTTATTTTAAGCAAACTTACAGCTAGTTTTTCTGAAGAAAAAAAATAGTGATTTTTTCGAATATGTTATAAACACGAATTTAATATAGACTAAAGTAAAAGAACGTACTATTTAATTTTAATTCCAAAACGATAATTATATAGACTTGAGCGTGATAATATATTTAACATAAAAGTGTCAAACGTTATCACTTATCAACAGCAACAGTAATTAAATTTGATAACATTAGGAGCATGTTAATAAAAATTGGTATGTTAAAATTTTGTGATAACCGTTGCTGATAATCTCAGGGGGCTGTTTATTTCGTACGGGAAAACGTCATCGGCCACGTCGTGGGCATTTATAAAACAATTTTCCAACATTCCTAAACCACAGATTATTTTCATACAATATTCTATTGGTTTTTTTATGGACCATACACAGACCATTGATTACATACTTAATCAAGGTATGACTATACTCTATATAAAAATAAAAATAAAGGTACCTATGAGGACTACATACAATTACAGGTTTCTGTAAAATTACTCAAATTAAGAAATATAATAGACCTTAATATGTAATGAGTTTTACATGACAGGCTACGTCCTCTTTAGATATTTTTTTAGCAACATTAAGTTACAAAAGCATGTTTTTTCGCGAAAAAAAAATAAACACATTTTATGTTAAGTCCTTAAATAAAATCAGTTTAAAGCAATCCTTTTATTTGATCCAAAGGAGAATACTAAGTATAAACTGACGAAAACGCCAAGTACAAGAAAAAAATTGTATTTTTAAAACGCTGCCAAGTTTTACCTATTCAATTATTACAAATAAAAATAAGACTTTTAATAATGGAATTAAAAATAAAAGTACTCTGTCTTAGAAAAAAAATAATTAATTTCACAAATTTTAATAGTTCAGTTTTTAAAACTTGATAAATGCTATCAAATTATCTATTAAGTGTAAACTAATTGAAATCATTTTTATGAAACCTTTATTGTTAAATACATAGGACGTTTCAAAAAGATTAATTTGATTTAAAAAATCATTTTTATTGTAAAATTTGAGTAATTACAAGTTAGATAAATTTATAAGTTAGAATTAAGTTTTTGTTACAATGTTTATAAATGTTCAATGTCACCCTAGTATTACTTACTTAAATAGTTTTAAACTGTATTCTAAATATTTTTATTATGAATTTAAAAATCCATCAACATAGTTTTAACTTTTAAGACATATTTCAGCTTAGTGTGTTATAAAAAGCTGTACGTTGTTTGAAAAAATAAGTTATTATTAATTGTGTTGTATTAACCAAAAATTCTACACAAAAGGGACCAGACATTAAAACCTGGAAAAATTAGTTATTAAATTGAGAAAAAAGTATTTTACTAAAAACTAAATCTGCGATATATTATTTGTTTAAATAAAAAAACAATGCTAAGAACATCAAATTTCAAAAGTAGAAAAGAGTTTCAGTGAGTCCCAAGAAAGGTAAATATTTGTACATTCTATCATAGGTAGCTATTTAATAAAATTCACAAAACTGATTTTAAAAAAGAATAACTATAAAATGTCATTAATTAATTTTTGAAAAATATTTTACTGGAAAATATTTTTTGTTAATGATTGATGTAATAAGGTGACACTCATTTCAGATACAATATGTACGTATCAAAGTAGGGTTGGTCTACCTAGCGATCGCTGAAAGCCTTAGTTCAATATTGATGGCCTATAGCCAAAATAAGAGATAAAAAATATTTATGAACAATATAAATGTATATAAATAAAAAACATCCATTCACAAAATTATTAAGAAGTCAAAACTGAACAAAATTAAAATGTATGAAATCCAAATATCTACAAGACATCTATTTATTAGTGTTATAAGTTATAACTTATATTTTTATAAGACTTTAAAGTAGCAGCATCTATTTTTTTTTTTTTTTTGGAAATCCGTATAATTTAAAAGTTGTACGGTGTACTCCAAATTTACAATATTATACAAATTAGGGGCCAAATGTTTAACATGCAAATCAAATAACATTTTGGTTTGTACGTTAATAACTATTTAAACTTGATCCAGAAATCATAAAAACTAAAGAGCTAATAATATATTATTTTTTTAATTTCGTGTAGCGTTTCAATCCATATTACAATTTACAATACTGGAAGTGTATACAGTATAATGTATTTGAAATCGCGTTTTTTGTCGCATCACATTAATCAAAGTTAAAGTTAAGTCTGATAAAATTAAATGGGTATATTTTCAACAATTTGAACGAAGGAAATGTGGTCTGGCGTCATTCATTTGGATTTGAAATTTAGCGGTATTCGGCCTGCTGTGTGGAAATGGTTAACTGTCCGGATACGACATAATGCGTTCGATAATCCAAAATTCTACCTCCACGTTGTCCCCTTCCCTCGACTTGTTATTCGTCTCGGTCTGGCGGTGCTGTGGTTCGCCACTCGCCAGTTGCCGGTGCCCGATACCTGGTCATCGTTTACAGTGTTGTTGGCTGCTGTGCGTGTTGAATGTTGACGGCACGCCGTTCACAACACCGACCGTCACACAGGGTAATCCAACGGGGCGGTACCTCCCACGTTTTCGGCAACTGTACAGTGTACCGCACTCCGCAGCCTATATCGACATAATATACATAGGTATACAAAGTGCTACTGAATACTGACGGGCTTCGGGGGGACCGTATCGAAACGGGGCTATCCGTTGTCGCGTAAGTCGTAATCACCAACCGGGTTGGCCGTGCATCAGCCACTATAGTAAAATAACGTAGAAATAACTAGTTTTTTTACTTTTTTTTTTTTAGATTATCTTTTTGTATTCGTCTATTCGGTAGTTACTATAGTTAGTATATTATTGTTACTCTGTCGCCGCCGACGTCGGCCTATGCTCTTTGGCCATATCGGTAATCATAAAAACAATCATTATCATCCTCGTACGTTAGTTAATTAATATCTTAATAATATAATATAATATTTTTTTCGTAATTGTATGTAGATTATACGCAAAACAATTGTTATTTTACACCCACCCGAAATGCGAGTAATATTTCGGACGTCCGTAATATAGTGCCCACACGGAAAACGAGAATAATAATTATGCCGTATGCGTACTAGTTGCTGACGGAAATAATTTTCTTTGTATGGGACACTGGTAAATTCGTAGAGATACAGTGTTGTGTGTACTGTTTGTCGCGCGACTTAACATACATGGTATTTTTGCGCCGCCTCTTTTACAATAATCTAGTATTTACAAAAAAAAAATATTAAAAATTGTTTCAATTATAACTAGTTAGTACGCCCTATATATATATGTATACAATTATAGGTTTGATAACTGAACTGTAAACACATAAAGATTCACACAATGGCTGCAGAAAGGGAAATTGCTGCTGAAGACAGTATCAAAGTCGTTTGCCGTTTTCGTCCTTTGAACGATTCTGAAGAAAAAGCTGGTTCTAAGTTTGTAGTTAAGTTCCCTACAGGACCCGATGAAAACTGCATAACTATCGGAGTGAGTATTGTTTTTTTCATAATAATTAATTATCACTCGGCTAATTTTGTTAATATGTTGTCTCTTTCAATGATGGATTCAAAGGGGGAAATAATCAGACAATTGTTCTCTCTCTATTTTAGGCCAAGAATAATATAATTTAAAAATAATTATTCTGGCCCTACCGACTTCATTCATTCAAAACCTAAAAATCAGCTAATCAATCGTCTCTTTTGTTGTCAAAGCTTTGGTCTTATATCATCAAAACATCAAATAATTATTACCTTCTAACTAATGTTTTTTAATGAGTATTAAAAAGTTTGTTGTATATTTTATGAATAATAACTTTAAAAATGTTTAATATTTTGATGATGTCAATAAAACACAACAATATATAATTATATAACAAAAAATTATATACTTTGTATGAGAGAGGAAAAAAGTAAACTTCTTTCTTACATTCTTCGCTAAATAGTTTTTATTTTAAATTTGTTTTTCTCTAGACCTTTGATAGACATGCATTTTACTATGTTTTGTAGATTAACTTCTGATATTTGCAAGCCTAAATTAGTTGTGTATGCCTACGTGTTATGTAAGCCTACATGGTGTTGTATGTATTTATATAATATATCAGAGCTTTAATTAAATTATATATATACTTATAGAGAAAGAATTGGGATTGTATTGAGCTGACAATGAATTTAGTTATAGTTATATTTATTAACAAGTTCAACGGCGGTGAGGGCGTGTAGTCATCATTAAAGTCAGATTGAATAGCCATTTGATGAAGGGTAGTCATTATCGAGTAGTTATCATATACTTTTAAATAGTTTCTAAAATAATCGGCCGTTCACTGCAAATAACTAATTTCAGTCTTTCATTGAATATGTATGAACAACTAAAAATAGCTAGTTTTGGTTTACTACCTGTTTTGTCCGTATAACATGTTTTCAGTGTTAACTCAGTGTAATCAGCCAGGCGGGAAGTGTTTAAAAAATACACTGACGTTGAATGTGTTAAACAAAACACTTTTTTTTCTAGTTACACTTGAAACCGCGCGACCTCCCTCAAAATGGAAATTGTTAAAATAAAACAATTTTGTTTGAAACCATCCAAAATAGGTATTATTATATTGCTTGAACTCAGTATGCTCATTCCTATATACATATGTACATAGTATTACATTATTATAAGTTTTAATGTGCCTTCTCTTCTAGTAATCTCATCTTAGTGTTAGGTAGGGGTAAACAATGTCTATTTTGCTGCGGGACTTTAACTTGCTATTTCTAGTACTAAGTTTGCCCCCTTAAACTACTGTGATAGAGTGTAAGTGTGTGGGCTTGGGCAGACAATAGGTAAAGGGATTGGAAAAAGGTATTTCCTGACTCTGTCAATCTAACTCAAAGAATAAGAATTAAGATGTATCGATCTAGAATCAGAATATAGATGTGAATCCCTCACAATTTATTTTAGGGGATGACTTTCCGACTAAAATTTTGAGTTTTAAATTGTCCGTCCACGTATAAAATAAAAATGTTAATAATGAACAAAGAAGAGATATTGAGGAATGCAATGGTCTGCCTGGTGTTACTTTCGCTATTCTCTAGTTGATAGCTAATCAACACAATAGGCGAAAAAAAAAACAAATTTTCCCATGGAAGCAGTGCAAATACCGCAGCGCGACTATCAGTGGGGTTTTTAAAAGTGCGAATGCATGGAGGTGAACCTTAACCTCCTAGGTTAAGGTTATTGTACATTTCTTGGTGCTCGTAATATAAATATAATATAATATTATAATTACAATTTAGTCTTAAAAAATCAAATTTAAAAGAAACATGTAAAAAAACCACAACTGTTCTGTAACAACTGTGAATAAGTGTGTAAATCAATTTCAGTGATTTTACAGGAGAGCGATTTAAAACTTTGACCAGCTGCCATAAATTCCTACTTAGCCAATAACTCGCATCTCTCTCAAGGTTTTCTTGTTGGTCCAACAAGTTAGACATTTATTCAAGGTGTGCTAGACGCTCAGACTACATCCTAGTGTACTTAGTCAATTTTGACCAAAAATCGACTTACACACTTATTCACAGTTGTTAGAAAATTGTTGCACCAAATTCTCCTGTTTGTACTTAGGGTATGTAAAAACCTAAAGATTTAGTTTTGATGAAATTATAAAAACAAAATGAGAAACATCTAGTAAAATTAATTTAAACTTATAAACACATTAAGCGCTAGTAGTAGTAGTTAGTCTTAGATACTTATAATTAATCAATTTGTTCTATAAAACTAATATTATTAAAATTATTTTTAGGGTAAAGTTTATTTATTTGATAAAGTATTTAAACCAAACGCTTCTCAAGATAAAGTTTATGGCGATGCTGCAAAATCAATTGTATCTGGTAAGACTACAATTTTTAAATATGAAACTGTTTTTAAAAATAACTATTTATCACATTAAAGTCAATTACAACATTATATTTTGATATTATTATTGTTATTGCCTATGACTGTTATTGACCCGGACTCCGGAGTAGGTTTTAAGACCTCAAAAGAGGATGGTCTCTCTCTCTCTTATAGACAGTTGCCTGCACAAAATTAGAGAGAGGACCCATAACTGAGTTTCACACTTACGACAGTGAGCGCTTTCCTACTCGTTCTTCTTTTAACATTCCGTATTAAATTTCATTAGCCCAATTATTATAGACTTTTATTGCTTGCAATTTAATATACTGCTTATATGTGGGGCAATATTAAATTTATTTTCTAATAAAAAATATTTATATTATGTAAAATTAAATTAATGAGTATTATAAAGTATAAATTTAATAAGCTCAGAAATACGCTTCTCTTTTTTGTTTTTTTATAATTGTAGTACACTAATATATTATTCATTTTCATATAGATGTTCTTTGTGGGTATAATGGGACAATATTTGCTTATGGTCAAACATCTTCTGGTAAAACACATACGATGGAAGGAGTCATTGGTGATCCATCCAAACAAGGCATAATACCACGGATCGTCAATGATATTTTTAATCATATCTATGCAATGGAAGAAAACCTAGAATTCCACATCAAAGTATCATACTTTGAAATTTATATGGACAAAATTCGTGATTTATTAGATGGTAAACATAAATTAATTTAAATTTGTATATATTAAAAGAGAAAAACATACAATTTATACATATTTTGTTTTTCTAGTATCAAAAGTAAATTTGAGTGTTCATGAAGATAAGAACCGGGTTCCTTTTGTGAAAGGTGCTACTGAACGTTTTGTTTCTAGTCCAGAAGAAGTATTTGCCGTAATTGAAGAAGGCAAAGCTAATAGGCACATTGCTGTAACAAGTAATTATAAAATATATTGTTCTTCAAATATTTTTTGTTGATGCACTTACAACTTTGTCATTTATACTTAGATATGAATGAACACAGCTCAAGAAGTCACAGTGTATTTTTAATTAATGTTAAACAAGAAAATTTAGAAAATGAAAAGAAACTATCTGGAAAGCTATATCTTGTTGATTTAGCTGGTAGTGAGAAGGTATACCTCTTTTTCATATTATAATTTTTACACGTTTTTAAAAAAAAATTTAATAAATGTTCCAAAATTAATAATTAGGTTAGTAAAACTGGTGCTGAAGGTACGGTGCTGGACGAAGCAAAGAACATCAACAAGTCATTATCGGCTTTAGGAAATGTGATATCTGCTCTGGCTGAAGATAAAAAGACTCACATACCATATCGAGATTCCAAATTGACACGTATATTACAAGAGTCTCTTGGAGGGAATGCACGTACTACAATTATTATTTGTTGTTCACCTGCATCATTTAATGAGTCTGAAACTAAATCTACTCTTGATTTTGGTCGAAGGTATATTTTAATTTTATAATATACTGTAATTATACAGTACAAAGTTCACAGAGTGTAGGTTATATAATTTTTTTCATACTAATTACTATTTTTATTTAATTTAAAGAGCAAAAACAATTAAAAATGTTATCACTGTAAATGAAGAATTAACAGCAGAAGAATGGAAAAGACGTTATGAGAAAGAAAAAGAAAAATGTATTCGTTTCAAAGCTAAATGTGAAAAGTTGCAATCGGAGCTCAACCGGTAGAATACTAAAAATATACTAAACTTTTATTTAATAATCAACAATTAGTTGTTTAAAAAAAATATTTTTTCATTTTATTTCGTAGTTGGAGATGTGGAGAAACTGTGAAAGAAGATGAACAAGTTAATTTACAAGATCCAATGGAGGCTTCAACTCCTAATGTCCAAATTGATATTAAAAAAGGTATAATAATATTTCAACTATGATAGGCTCTGACAGGAAATAGGGTTTACACAACTAAAATTGTCTATACACTATATTTTTTATAGAACTAGTTGGACCAGTGCCTGCAGTACCAGGTGGTGTTATGACTGAGTCAATGTCAACTGAAGAACGACAAAAACTTGAAGAAGAACGTGAAGCTTTGTACCAACAACTGGATGACAAAGATGAAGAAATCAATCAACAGAGTCAAGATATTGAAAAACTCAAAGAACAAATCATGGAACAAGAAGAAGTAAGTCTTAACATATGTATATATATATATATATATTTATACAAATAAATTATTTGTTAATTAAATATTTGTTTTATAGCTTCTAACATCAACGCAGCGTGACTATGAGCAGCTGCAACAAGAAATGCATCGTATTACTCATGAAAATGAAAGTGCTAAAGAAGAAGTAAAAGAAGTGTTACAAGCTCTTGAAGAGCTCGCTGTTAACTATGACCAGAAGAGTCAAGAAGTTGATGTGAAAAACAAAGAAAATGAAACTCTTGTTGAAGAGTTATCTCAAAAAGAGGTAAATAACTTGAAAGAATTTTTTACTGTTATAATATAAAAACGAATTATTGGATTTTTGGTTTAGTCTTCTCTAAATTCGACTTCATCTGAATTACAACAATTGAAAGACATGTCAGCACATCAAAAGAAACGTACTACTGATATGCTCTCAAATCTTCTTAAAGATATTTCAGAGATTGGTATGGCGATTGGCAGTGAAGCTGAACTCAATGTAAATAAATATCTTTAATCCTAGTTGACAGTTCAAAATAAATCTTAAAAATTTACGTTATGAATAAATATGTTTTATAGCAACAAGCCATTAGTGATGGAAATTGTAAATTAGAAGAAGAGTTTACTGTTGCTAGACTATATATTAGCAAAATGAAATCTGAAGTTAAAAATTTAGTTCAGCGTTGTAGCTTCTTTGAAACCAGTCAAAATGACACAAACAAAAAGGTAAATTTTGTTAACATTTTATTGTGAAATAATAACTTTTTATATATTTATTTATTTTATTAAAAAAAAATTAGGTTAATGATTATGAGAAAGAACTTGCTGAGAGTAGATTAAAAATTTCTCAAAATGAAGCTCGACTTAAGTCCATGCAAGAGTCATTAAAAGAAGCTGAAAATAAGAAACGAGCTTTAGAAGAAAATATTGATGCATTAAGAGAAGAATTTGCCAAAGTAAAAGCAGCAGGTAAGTAAAAATCTTAATAAATTTTGATAATAATTAAATTAAAATAATATACAATACAAATTTTGCAAAATTAATTAATAATAAATAAGATTTAGTTAATTATACTATTAATAATATGTGATGTATACTTCAGAACAAGTGCATATTGTTTCGTCGTCTAAAGAAAAAGCAGAAGAAAAGGAAAAAGCAACCAGTATGCGAGCTGCTCTTGAAGAACAAATGGATCAGTTGCGAGATGTTCATCATAAACAAGTATATTTTGATTTTTGTTGTGACAAAATTTCTCAATACGTGTAATCACTAACATAACATTGGTTTGGACATTTAGGTTTCTGAATTGAGAGATGAGATTAGTGAAAAACAAACTATAGTTACTGAACTTAAAGATCAAGTACAGAAATACTCATTAGCACAGCAGCAATTGCAAACCGATTATAACAAACTATTGCAAGAAGACCAAGAAAAGAGCCAACGTTTGCAAGAATTTGTTTTAGCAAACGAACGTCGTGAACAAGCTCGTAAGGATCTGAAAGGCTTGGAAGACACTGTTACCAAAGAGCTTCAAACATTACATAATTTACGAAAAATATTCGTTCAAGACCTGCAAGTATGTTCATATTTTTCTTTTATTTTAAGTTTAATATACCTAATTTAAAATATTACATTGTATTTCCACGTTTAAGTCGCGTATGAAGAAATCTGCTACTGCTGAAGAAACTGATGAAGCAAGCAGTGGCGGTACACTAGCCCAAAGACAAAAGATCAGTTTTCTGGAAAACAATTTAGACCAATTGACCAAGGTACACAAACAGCTTGTCAGGGACAATGCTGACTTACGGTGTGAACTGCCCAAGTTAGAGAAGAGATTACGTGCTACAATGGATCGTGTGAAGGTTAGTTTATATATTTATGTATATAATATTGGAAACAATCATAAAATCTTCATCTTACTTAGGCACTTGAAGCTGCATTAAAAGATGCTAAAGAAGGTGCCATGCGTGATAGAAAAAGGTACCAATATGAAGTAGATCGAATTAAGGATGCTGTCAGACAAAAAAATTTAGCTCGCCGTGGTCCTATTCCCCAAATAGGTAACTAGAGAAAAAATCTATGTGATAAAACTTTTTATTTATTAATTTTTTAATTATTTCAGCTAAACCCATAAGAGCTGGTCAACATAATATTATTGCAAGTAATCGAATAAGTGAAGACGAACTTAAAAAACGAAAAGCAGCAGTTATACCTGGTAGTATATACGCCTGAAATAACATGATAATTATTTTAAAATTTGTTTCATTTATAATTTCAGAATTAACAGAGACTAGTTGAAGTGTTTTTTTACTCTACATTATACTTACATACTCTTGCCAAAAAGCATCGTTTTACTGCGTGGTGGAAGTATTTGATACAAATTGAATTTATATTATTTACAGACATAATTTTTGCTACATTATTTTTAGTCTATTAATTATTTTGCACTTGCGATTTTTTTCATACGTTTATAAGTAAAAATCTATATGCTACTAGTCATCATTTTCCCACTGCATTTGTCTCGGTTGAAAGTGTTGATAGTGTGGCTTCTGAATACGTCTAATGGTGCTGTGGTGTCTATTTGCTATCACCTCGTCTGTACTTGCATAAAAAAAAATCATAACTATTTGATTTATTTATATATTTTAATTATGTATTTAACTGCCCGAATCTACAAACCTCCCAACCCATCCACACATTTGGCTTTATTTATGAACATTTTAGCAAAAAAAAAAAATTATGGTATTTTTGTTATACATTTTTTTTTTTTAAATTAACTTCTATTAATTTAATTTATTTAATTAAAAACTGTATGTATTATTATTTAGACAGTTGTGAAACTATGTCTTATTTATTTATTAAACATATTTTTCCTATTTTTTCAACAAAAAAAACGCTGTTAAATAATAAATAAGTTATAGTATAGTTGAAGTAAAATCTCCGATAAACCTTTTTTTAAAACCAACAGTATCCATATCCATTAGGAAATATTTACTATGTTTTGTTTTGTTTCGTGTATAATTAATATTGACTGTCGTCTCAAAGAAAGGCATAATTTGATTTTTTAAATTTGGAGATGATAAAAAAAACGAATTTATTATTTTCTATTGGATAGGTCTATTTTACTGTACTCTCTAAAATAAACCTACCCTCTCTATTCCTCGACGAAAAAAATTTTGTAGAAATCATGTCTGGGTGTATGGGAAACTTGTATAAAAAATAAGAATAAATAATTAAAATTAAAATTTTGGGTTTGCTCTCATCAAAAATGTAAAAATCAAGTTACGACTTTCTTCACTGCGGCAGTCCATACGATTTGAACAAGATTCAAGGAAATAAGGCTAATATGACTCATATTACATGATATGAAAGAGAAGAGGTAATTTTTTACAATTGGAATAACTATTAAGTATTTAAGCAATATGAACGCTGAGTTATACTTAAATAACTATATAAACTCATTGATTAAAAAATATACAGATAAGCTGTGCTACGTACCTCTGCTCCCTGAGTAAATCGATTTCGGTTTTTTTATGTGAGCACCGCTTATCAGTTATCTACATATATATTATTATAAAATCGATGATAAAATGCACAAATTATAATCCCAATGTAAATTATAGCTACCTATATAAGTTGGTTGAATTCCCCTTATACGCCCATGATTTGTAAGCGTCATGGTATGGTTATAAAATTGAAGCCGTCGCATTGGAGAATACATTTTAGCACATACAATTTTACTATACAGAAGACAAATATTTTAAGATATTATATTTTGATATAAGAGCATTTTTCTAGGAATAATATTTTATATAGTTAAGTCAAACTGATAATAACTACCAGAATATACAACTATTAATTTAAATTATTATTTTAAGTGATTATAACAAATAATGTAGGCATATTTTGGTCTGCTAACGTTTTAAACCCCATGTTTTTTGAAAACTATTAAATAACCAATAAGTTATTGGCCAGTAGCAAGGTTAAAATGGATTTTAGTTGTAAGAATTTAAGAAGAAATGTGGATACAGGATATTTAAAGTAAAATTATTACTATAAATTATATTGTAAACATTTTCAAGAATTACAATAGTTTTAAAGAATAAAAATAAATTTGGCAATGTGTGCCACAACAATGTAATACAGGTAGGTATTATGCAACATTACATTGCATATGTAATGTATACAATATAATATACCAACAAAACTTTGGAAAGCAAACTATTTGCGAGTTGGCCAAAACCATATTTTATGTCAAAAAATGTGTTTGACATTTATGTATTGGAGTGAAACTAATTTTTTTAAATATTAAAAGAATTAATTTAGTTTAAACACTTAACTTTATGGATTGAGAGAAAAATTGTATTACATTGTTGCAGTGATCTGAATTAGGCAAATAACCAAGATACAAAAAGCTCAATAATTAAGACAGCCGTCTGTTCTTACTTGTTTATAACGTAAATAAGTAAGAATGTTACAAATGAAGATTTTTTTGGCTTTGATTTATATCCAAATTAAATAATTTAGTGCATAACATTAATCATAGGCAAGTTAACTTCACCAATATGAATTTAGAATCTTAGACACATGTTAGTGGACTATTCGTGATCAATATTATTTGATATGTTATGAAATTGTAAATAACACACTATTTTATTTGTCAATTAAGTATTTTATACGGTTGCTACTATAAATACTGGTTAACTGCTAGACATACAACAAAATGAAAAAATTTTTACATAAAAGATTATAGTTTTTACACATAATATATTTTTTTAAATAAATATTTTATATTTAATTATGACAACAAAATATAATACCGTTTACACCAATTATTATAATTATTTAATAATTAAAAATTATATAATATGAAAATATAACAATTTATACTTAAAACAACACATAAACCATAACCATTATAACTATTAAACCAAATTAAAAAACGTGCGGCTTGTGAATGTTTATTTTGATATTCTAGATATAAGGTCATTCCACGCTTTATTTAATTGAATTTGAGTACATTTATAGCTCCATAATGTGGAAAATAAAATATTAGCACTTTCTAAATACTCGCTATTTGATGGCTGAGAATTAATTCGCTTAAGGGCTTCTTCTTCACTTAGGTTGTTGCGGTTTTGTAATCTAACAATGGCCTAAATAAAATATATTTTTTTACTTAGTACAAATATTATTATTTTGTATGAAAGTTATTTTATTAAACATGACTTACTTCAGTAGGTGGTACTATTGTTACCCATACTTCATGACAACTATTTTGCCAGTTAGCAGTTAAAAGAACTGCAGCTTCTAAAACAAATATGTCATAGTTCTTGGTTGATCGAATAACATTTTTTATCCTTTCTAGGATAAGTGGCCACATTATATTGTTTAATTTATTCAGTTGGTCCTGAAAAAGTCAGAATACTATTGTACTGGTAACAACAAATATTTGTACATTTTATATTTACTTTGTTACTAAAAACTATGGAACCTAATTTTTTTCTGTCTACTTCTTTATTAGCAGTCAATATTTCCACACCAAATGTCTCTATGATTGGTTGATAGGCAGGTTGATTTATATCATACAGTCCATGAGCTTGAGAATCAGCATTAATAATAAAAGCTCCTTTCTCTTTCAACAAATTTGCAATGGACGATTTTCCGCTTGCAATTCCACCAGTTAATCCAATAATGTAAGGATGTGGTTCTAAATCATTTTTTGGCTAAATAATATTTCAACACAATAGTCTAAATTAGTGAAATACTATAGTGATTTATTAAATAATTTCAAAAATAAAATACTTGGGGCGGTTTGATAAGTGTACCCAGCATTCTCATACGATAATTACTCGAACTTATTTTATTTTCTTCTTCTTCACAGCAATCAATTAAAGTTTTATTTTCCTTTAATAATGGTACAGGTATTATATCAAGAGGTTTTAATCCAACATTAATTCTGTTTTCATTAATCATTTCACCACCTTTAGTTGTTTCTTCACTTACAACAATCATCTAAATTGACAATAAATTATTAAAACCAAATTTTTTTAAATAAAAATGAATTAACTTATAACCTGAAATGTAGAATCATGAATTGTAGGACCATAAATATCATAAATCGGAAGAACATCATACTCCAATGTCGGGTCAATGTCTTTCAAAAATCCTTTGACATTTTTTATTCTAATCTCACACGGCTCAATTAACTCCCAAAGCTTTTTAGCTATAAAACACATTATTAAATTTATAGTTTAAACCAATTAGTATGTGTTTTTATAGTTATAGTAAGTGTTAAGTTTCAATTATATTTGTCAACTTACACTTTAGCATCGAAGTATCAGTAACACCAACTGTTAACTTTTTTGTACATTTTAGGGCTGCTGTACTTAACAGTATTTTATGACCTTTGTGTAGTCTATCAAATGTTCCACCCAAAACCACGTTTTCATATAAATTACTATCTAATTTATCATACGCGTTACTCGTTTCAGTTTCAAAAAAATCATTATCCTCAGCAGTTTGTACAGGTACCGTTTTATAGTCAGGAGCTTTGTTGTTTAATAATGATACCAAAGTTGCTATTTGTTCGGACTGAATATGTTTCTCATAGTAAATAATATCAACGGGTCGTTTAGTAGCAATCCCATATTTAACTGTACCTTTGAGACCACATAAAAGTACTCGTACATCGATATTCAGTGGATTCAAATTTTCATATGCGTTTACTAACATGAACTTATTTCGAATATTCTTTTTATCTTGTATGGGACTGAGAAAAAAATGCACATACAAAGTGTTTTGAATATCCCGCTGAATTTGTGGAAATAATCGAAGCAAACGAAGAGGATTTGAACATATTAATAATCCAGTCTTAGCCATAAGTAATAATATTCAACAAATTTATATTTAATTAGTATTATTTATTGTAAATCTAAAAGTGTAAACATGATAGACATTTATTTTTTTGTTGTATAATATTGAATTATTATTTATTGTAATTAAACAATAATCACGGAAGGTCGGCTGAGTGCAGCTGTAAGCAATAATGCTGATAACATTAACCGGGGGTTTCCAAAGTGCTTATAGGATAGCCTAAGCCACGGCTATAGATAAACAGGGTACTCGACGGCGTATGTTTTTTATTGAGTTACAGATATAGCCACATGACGATGTCACAAGTCGCAACTCACAACTCAAATATTCCTAATTATATTTTCAATTTTTGAAATTTGTAAGGGTAACTGGGTAGTGAGTAAGAAAAATATATTTCAGTGAGGACTGAGGTGCTTTTGTTATCGTACTTAATTGTCATACCGGCATCTATTGGTATAAATAGTAAACTCTTCATTCTTATCTTATATTATGATCATTATTATAATACCACCATGGAAAAGAGATTACATAGAATACCACAGAATAGATAATACTAGGACCGACAGCTACGGCGGTTACATTTTATAACAGAAATTCGTTATCACAATACAAAACCATAAGCATAAAGCAGCTTGGATTGCAAGCTTAATACCTACTGGCTACTCGTGCTCATGTTCAAATAACGAATGTTTTTTAATTTTTATATTTATTTAAGACTTGAATAAAAAATCAAACGAATTGACAATGACTGGTTTTGGTTTCAATGCACCAGCATCAACCAGCTTTGGATTTGGAATGAATACTCAAACTACGTCCAGTCCATTTGGTAAAATATGTGTTATATGCAGGGTCGTATTCAGCTTTGCCGGGCCCTGGGAAAACTAAATCTTCAGGGCCCATTTTATTTTATTTTGCAAATTTACTTCACTAGACACCCTTTTATTGCCATATCATAGTGTTTTTTTTACGCTGGTTACGAACTTGAAGTCAGAAATTGGGGGACTCCTCTAGTTTAAAAGTTACTGCTTCACGGCGTTGTTGGCACTCACCGCACCCATCGTCAACCTATTATATGAGGAAAACTTTAATGTTTAAGTATCTATAACTTTTTAACTAGAAGAGTTTGCCTAATTCTGACTTGATATTTGTAAAAAAACACTTAAATATGGAAAAAAGAGTGTCTGGTAGAGTAAATTTATGCCATAAAATTCTTTATTTTTATTTAATTCATTATTATAAGGTTAATAACAGATCTAAGCCAGGCATATTTCCTATATTTTTTACCTATAATCAAGTATGTGGAAGCAGTGAGAAAAACAGTTCTCCCCCCCCTCCAATAACATTATTAATGGAAAAGATGATAGACCAAAAATTATTGCTCAACTCTACTTTGACAGAAATATTTTTGTTTTTGATATTATATCAAATTAACTACTTTTTAAGTTTCAGTAAATACATAGTTGTTATTCCATGTTATGAATTTATAAAAACATATTTCTTTAAATGTTTTATATAGGCTTTGGAGGTACAACAACATCTACTGCTGCTCCTTCATTTGGATTCGGTGCACCTACATCAGCAGGTCCTACTTCTACACCTTCTTTTGGGTTTGGAACAGTAACTACTAGTGCTACACCATCTTTTGGATTTGGATCCAGTACAAATACAACACCAGCATTTGGAGGATTTGGTTCATCCACTGTGCCAGCCACTCAATCTCAGTCAATCTTTTCAGGTCTAGGACAATCCCAACCAGTTGCATCGATTGGTAAGAATAATTATAATGAATCTGTTACTGCAGAATAGTATAATTTTTGCAGTATGATTATTGTGCTTTATTATATCTATTTTCTACAGCCCCTTCTTTCGGAGGATTCGGGGCATCATTTGGAGCAAAACCTTTCGGTACTACTACATCATTTGCACTTGGTCAACCATCTGCATCTACTCAAGGTATAATTATTTTTCTTATTTACTAACTACATGTGATATAAATAATGTAATTATTATTAATAAATGTTTTTTTTTATGTCAGGGATTAGTAATCAACTGTTGCATCAGCACCAGCAACAGCAACCAACTTCAAACACTAATGATATAGTAATAAATTCTATTGTAAATTGTAAATTATTTGGTGATGAAAGAGATCAAATTATTTGTAAGCTTAATTTGTTACAAGCTTGTTGGGGTACAGGAAAAGGTAATTATACTAAAATACATAAATATTTTTGAAGATATATAATATACTATTTTGTTTCAGGTTATTATGCACTAAATAATACTCCACCTGTTGAGTATACTCCTCAAAATCCACTTTGTCGTTTTAAAGCAATTACTTACAGTGTGAAACCAACATCGTCAAGCCGAGATGCTCTTGTAACTATTATAATAAATAAAAAAATGGATGACATAAGGTACTTTGTTTATAAATATTATTAGGCAATGCCATCGTTACAATTTCCATGGTCTTTGGCAATTTTTATTTTTGTGAGGGGTTTATAGAACAATTTTTTCCTCATATGCTAAATACTATAATTGCAACTAAAAAAAAAAAAAATAACACTATGATTAAGGTTTAAATCTGCCCCCTTTGAATAAAATATAATCAATCAAATGGTTGCGTTAATATTAAAAAAAAATGTTTGGTTTTAAAATCGCCCATCTGATAAAAATATTTTAAAAGTTTTGGACCAGTTTTTAATGGGTGTTAACTACATTGGGCATTTTTAATTAGATGTTAATTGTTTTCTCTGGGAAAAGCTGATTAGGTAATCCTACACATTGGAGTAATAATATTAATGGAATTAAAATGTAATTTTTAAAATAGAAAATGACTGCAAGATTAATTTTCAACGAATAAAATCAATTATTCTAAAAAGCATTGTTATATGTTTTAAACATGTATCTTAATAATTAAACATTTATAAAAAAAAATTAGGGGCTTTAAAGTTTTATTTAGAGTTTTTTTTTTTTATTAAAGCACCATTTAACATTTTGACCACCCTATTTATTATATATATTATTGTTTTTAATAAAAAAAACTAAAATAATTAATTTACTGTTTATTATTAGAAAACAAGAAGTGCAACTTACATCAAATTTATTTGCTATTTTTGGAAGTAAACCAAATTTAAGTGTACATTTAGACACTTTAAAATGGTATACCGAGACAAAATCTATGGCATTGATATACGTCGAAGAGAAACTAGAAAATGGTACTTTTTATTCAATTTTTTTGCTATTAACAATTTACAATATATATGAGATATTATAATAATGTGATTTAATAATAAACCAATTCTATTAGGGTAGTTGCATCAAAATGTATACTATTTGTAATGTAATAATAATATGTAATATAGGTCATACAAAAAGGATTACAAATAACGATCTAGTGAACTACTTAATGCAACCATCACCTAAGCAACAATTAACGACTATGGGCGTAGAAAATGTATTTCCATATGCAGGGTTTACTGAAGAGAATTTACGGGATTATTATGAACATCCTCCTGCTGGTTTGTTTAGCTATTTTAGCTATAAATTTTTAGTAATTATTTTTTATTTATCATATAGGTATTGATTTAAGAGTATGGAAACAAGCCCAAGCTGACAACCCAAATCCCGCAGTGTTTATCCCTGTACCAATTGTGGGATTTTCAGAACTATGTTGGAAGTATAAATGTCATAGTGAACAAGTGAATGTACATAAATTGGCACTTAATAGTATCTCTGATCGACTGAGCGAACTAGCTAGGAAGAAGACACGAGTGGAATCAAAGCTTGATCAATATATGGATAAAATGGACCAATTAACACATAGAATTGTCAAAGTATTGGTTGGACAAATGGTGATACTAAATGCTGGCATGGCTCTCAGACCAGAAGAAGAAACCATTAAAAACCAATTAGAAGTTTTATATAATGATATTAATTCGCCATTAAGATTCCAAGTGCGAGCTTTATTTATTAAATTAAATAATTATAAACCATTATTAAAATTAGAAAGTGTTCAGTATCTAATTGCAGTTATCATTTTGTAGGGAAAACTGACTGAGATAGCCACTCTTGTTCGATTGAAGAACTCAGAACTATCAGAAGATTCAAAAAATAATACTGGTTACATACCACAAGTAGCTGAAGAAATTAAAAATGTAAGTTTAAAGATCAATAATAATAATATTATTATATAATAACTATTGTGTGGGTTTTGTTGTAAAGATTCTTTTGTTCTTGATTTATTGTAAAAAGCTTTATTGAAAAAAACATTTTTTTCACGTTTGAGAATAACTTGTTACCAATGTTTAAATGGGATTTTTGTACTTTGCAAGTTGGGATATAAATTTAGTGAACTTTATATGAATTGTATACACAATACTCAAATAGAATAGTTATTTCTTTTATAAAATTACTTAATACTTTTTTTATTGTGATCAAGATTTTTATCTTACAAAAATTTAATTAATTAATTTGTTTTTGATTACCTATAAGATTTATAATAAGGAATGCCCATATTGCATTGAATTTATATAATATATACACGTCCCAATAAGAGTTCTAGTCCTTACCTACCACTTATGACACAGTCTTCCAGCAGCTGAGCGTTGTCAATACCTCTTACATATTTCTATAACTTTGCTCAATAATGAATTAATTATTTTTTAGTTTTTGGAATTACAACAGAGAATGATAACAGAAATGCAAACGGTTGTCACAGAAGATATTAATTCAATAAAACTGATGAAAGAAACATTAAGTAATGTAAAATAAATTATAATATAATCAAACAAGTTCAATTTAATGTAAATAAAATCAAAGCCATTGTTTGTATTTAATATTTATACTATTTATTTTAAATAGAAAATTATTGTAATTAGGTAAGTAATATAACAGTAAATTATAGATAGGCTTTCCTCTCTACCCCTCCTACATTGAGCCCTTTATTATCTACTGAGGTGAATTTAGTCCATGAAACCCAAGGCTTTGAATTAAAGTTTTGTAATATAATTATTTTCAATGTGGCTAAATTTTATGGAGCAATAAAAAATTAATACAGTAATTTCTGAGTCTATCCGGCTAGGAAAACTTATCTGATGAACCTAGACTAGTTTGATTTGAAAGAAGTGGTCATGTTTGTGCTTAAATCAAAGTGAAGCCTATCTCACTTACCATAATGGAAGGGTATGTGGATATTGACAAACAATAAAACTATACCGAACACATTTTCTTACATTGTGAAACAAAGAATAAGATAAAAGAAATTCTTCGGGTGTTTAAAATGTTTCTATTAAGTTTAAAGTTATGACACAACATGCTGCATTACTGTATAATTAAACAAAACAAACAAATATTTAAAAACAGAAAAAAAAATTGATACCATTTAATATACTTAAATACATCAATATATTATGTCAAATAATTATTTCCATGGACTTAAGACTATAATATAAATTTACTACATTTTAATGTTATACTTAGTAAATTACTATAAATTAGTATAATTTATAGTATTTGTTCATCTTATTATTTAATATTTTAATTTTTAAGAAATCATAAATCGTGATTACAGAAAAATATTTAATGATAAATAACTTATATAATATCATGAATTTCATATTATGTTGACTATTCTGTATATTATGTGTTTAAAATGTAGATAACCTTGAATTTAGATTGTTATTTATAATGACGAATAGATAATATTTGACCTGTTAAATTATCATTTTAATGACGTTTGACGCTGTGGCACTAGAACTGTCGGGGACGAGGGATTTATTATCGTTCTAATAGATTGAACATACTAGATCGTCTTATAATTTTTTTAATTAGTTTATAAATATACTATATAATGTGAACATTTCATGAAATTTTATTTTTGTCTTGTAAAATAATTAAATAAAACAAATTAAATATTTCACACTACCATACATTTTTTCTATAAAACTTGTATTTAGCAATATTGAAAATATTTCTTTTGCTATAATATTTTTTATTACAATATATTAAGGAAAAAAAACGGTGTACTTATATTACACTTAATTGAACGTATTACGTAAAAGTTAAATCACTTAATGTGTTATGATTTATGTGCCACAGTGAATAGTGATTTGCGATTGCACGTTGAGAATGATAATACTGTTATCTTTTAAGTTGGCGGGATACCTATTTATTATGAAAGGCAGTAGGGCCAAATAGTTAAATTAAAAAATAAATAAAAATCTAATATTTCATTTGAAATGTTTCACATGAAATATTTCAGAATTCAAACACTATATATATTTAATTTTTAAATAAAATTTGGAAATTATTGAATTCCGAAATTAAAAAAATGCCTGACATCAAAAAACTTTATGACAAACTTCAAAGTTTGCAAAATCTTACCGCACCAGTAGATCAATAGGTATAATGGGAAAAAGAAATTAGTAACTTTAATGTTGCGCGTGAGATAGGCAGACGAGAAATTCCGCTTTTAATCCTCTAATGTTAAATTTCCCATTATTATTTTTTTATTCACTCAGACAATTGTTATTATTGACATTGTTAGCATACTATTATAAATTGTACCTTATCTTTGCAAATCGTTGGTCATTTTGATATGAGGGGCTATAAAAAAACCGAAAATATTTTGTACAACCATAATTTTACCGAAAATTATTATAGCCGAAAAATAATAATTCCGAAAATATTTTATTCAAACAATTTTTAAGCCGAAACATATGTTAACCGAAAAAAATTTAGCAGAACAATATTTACAGCGAAAATAATGTTGCCGACACTTCTGTGCCGTATTCATTGTGTTTGCGCAGGCGCTGAGTAACTCGTTTTGGTTCTGCGCATGCGCGTTATTTTACCGTCCGTTGTCGACACACAGTACCCACTACCCTTCGTAGGTCGTGGTCGGCGGTACGTTTGGATTTTTAACATGTGAAAAACTTAAAACAAGTTAAAAATCCAAAAAGGAATGTTAATAGACACGAACATTAAGTAAGGTGAACAATGATATTGTTTACGTTTTTTTTATCAAATTCTAAAAAACGTGTGACGCCCGAAATAATATTTTATTTTTATTTGCGTTACGTTGCCTATGGTTAGGTTATTTATGGTGGGCGAGAGTCTTTCAACTAATCGGGATATAAAAAAACAAAAACATCTCGATATTTTCGTTTATTGAAAATGCTCTGGAAACAAATCTACTTTATCGGACACCTTTTTTTTCGTTATTTTTTTTTTTTAATCTGTAGTATTTTGCATGCTGATTACGAATATGTAAAAATTTTGCCCGCTCACACTTAGTTTGAATGTTGCAGACTTAAAGTTCACCGATATCGACAAGTGTCTAGGAATTGTTGTAAAATAACCTTATTTTCACAGTAAATAGAGTTCTTAATCTGTGCTTAAGCGTTTTTAAATTTTCAATAATTAATTTCACTAAATGTCAAATTTGGTGAATTTAGCATTAAATCACCGTATGTATTCGCGCAAATCCTGTTATTATATTACGAATTACAGGGCAGTAGCGTCTTATTAAGATTAATTTTCACGGTTCTTTTTTACTTTTAGAAATATAGAAATCTATCAAACTATTTCGCTTGTGTGTTTTTCCAGTAGCTGTTCTAAATCAATTCAAAACTTACACGTACCATCCTCTCAGCTCTGTATCAAAGCTACAATATGAAAACTTTTTTTGGTGTTTAATTATTATATATTGCCAGGTAGGTAATTTATTTAAGTATTAATAACAAATGACAGCTCTGTTCGGTTTGTTAATACCAATAAAATATATTACAATTTTTGTATTGAAGACATTTTCAGTGTTGAGTGTTAAGGGGATGGGTTTTAACTACAAATTACTAATAATTAAAAATATCATGTTGCATAATTTTATTTATGAATATAAATAATATTTATAATTATAGGTAAATATACATTTGTATTTATTATAAAATTAGTCACTAGTTATCATTGCAACTGTCAACTTATTTATCCTCTTCATCCATACATAACTTTTTTTCTTAGATTTTTCGTTTGCAAAAGTTCGGATAATATCTTCGAAGTCAAATGATTTTAAAAATTCACTCTCGATGCTCAAGGCCCTAAAAAAATTGTTCTGTAACTGCTATTACTGTGATCTCCACTCTAGCTCTTGGTTTGATACCAAATTAATCATGAAATTTCTATTCAATAGTTGGTCCAGAAATAGAGGATTTTATTAAATATTTATTAAGATATTTTCATTAAAAATGATGTATTATATTATGTAGTATGACAATTAAATCGATAGCAATAATTAATATTTCATAATATAAAATATTGGCTAAACTGTTACGAACTATGCCCTCCGAGCACATCCGTGATTGCCCTTCTGAAGTACTTGATCTCGTGAGATCTATTATTTTTAAATAATCTAACCAAAACGGGCTTTTTTATGAATTTAGAGGGATTAATTGTTTAATAAGCCGACTCAATGTTATATGCCAGTGGATACAAACTAATAAGGCAAGTAAGCCTATGTTTTATAATAATAACATAATTATTGTTATATAGAATTTCTGTAACAGTCCGCCGCCCACAATCAATTATTAAGTAATGGCTATCAGTCTTTTACAACTTATATAAATAGTGTTAATTAAATTAAAAAACAATGTTTTGCAATATCAGTTATAGGTATTAGGTATATAGTTTATCACATAATGATTAATAAACTGATAAGAAAAATATGTGTCGGCTAAAGTACGTTTCTGTCAAAATATTTTCGGAAGATTTATTTTCGGCTAAAATGAGTGTCGGCAAAAATACGGATCGGCTAAAATATTTTTGGGCCGATTTATTTTCGACTTAAATATTTGTCGGCTACAATACTTTTCTGTTAATTTATAGTTTGGTGTAAGTACAGTTCTGTTAGTTTGTGTTTCTGATCATTTATTTTTCAGCAAAAATACGGTTATGCCGATTTATTTTCGGTTTTTTAACGCGCCCCCCTAACTGGGAACTCGTATGCGCTCAAGCAGTAGACCTGGTGACGTCACTAGGTCCCGCCTTCAGCGCAGCCACGTGGGCTCGCTGGAACTACACGGATGCTCCGTCTAGAAGTTGTATAAGGTCAATGTCTACATTATGTTTAGTGAATAATATTCCTTAAAAAAAATATATATTTTATGGTTTCATCCAGACGTGACCACCAGCAAATTTCCGCGGCTGATAAGCTGTTGACATTACTTGTTAGTTATATCATGTCTAAGGTTAATTTATAATATTGATTAAATACAATTAATATATTTAATAATATATAATAAAATATAGATATAATATAGTTATTAATTAATGTTTATATCATGCTACGAAGTGTTTATGCAAAGTGCGCGCGAGCGGCGACTTTTGGCCTTCGATAGTGGAGGTAACCGCTTACCGCGATAACTGGGTACCAATGCTACCTACAAAATATGCCAACCTAAACAACGACGAATGTACATGGGGGGGAAAGTAAAATGGCCTCGGCGGTCAACCACAGTAGCTCCGAGATCGCACATACGGAATGGGTACAAGTCGCTACTCCGGAGTCCGGATACACAGCTAACTGATAACCGACATTAGCCGTGCACGCCTCGATGAGAACATAATCATATTATTATAATATAATCAACATTAAAATGCCAAACGACCTACTGAATACTCAATAATTTCATGTAAAACTCCAAACGCCCGTGAAAGTAAAACGGTTAATCAATCGAAACTAATCAAAAGTTTTGATTAACATGAACACATCAATAACACAGTAGACACGCACATCATGGTCTTAACATTTTTTATTCCATAACGATTGTCATGTGCTAATATTGTTATTTTTTATTAAATGTTGACAACAGTAAAAGTACATTTGCAGTAGTTTTTAGACGGTCGCGACTTGAGTGTTTTCATTAATTAGTTGGCCAAGTTTTTATTATCACTTTTTTTTTTAACAAGTGAACCGGGTTTTTGAATCACACAAGTACTGAGGTAAGACAATTGTTTTATTTTTATTATTACTATAATCATGTGTCATATCAGTATGCGTTCATAAACAGTATTATTACAATATTATAGGACTGAAATTACCATACTATCATGTTCTTTACTTTTTATTTGTTTCCTATGAATGTTATTGTTGCTAGATATATGCGGCGCGCATCTAGAAACAAAATTCGAGGGGTAGGGGGGTTAAGTTGATCAGAGTAAAAAAAATACTTACACATAATTGTTTTGAAAAATCGAGAAGAAAATCACAGTAATTAAAATAGATGAAATAATAATGTGTTATAATAAGATAATTTTTGTTTTTACAACTTTTCTATGAATTTTTATCTTTTTTTTTTTTTTTTTTAACCGTTTTTATGGAGAAGTCAGTTAGGAATTTACACATTTATTGTAAAATTTACTCAACTTGCTGGTAAAAATATAAGAAAAATTCTTAAATTATGGGCAACATGAAAAAATTCCCTTTTAGATCATAAACTCATTTTAATGACTTTATGTTATTCGAATACACAGATGAATTTTTTTTTCAGAAAGCTTAGATTATTTTACATTAAAATCAGATTTTTAATAATTTTTTTTTGATGGTCGAAGTTAGTATAAAATAACAACAAAAAAAAAATCAGTAAAGAAAAATACTCTATACGACCATGACCAAATTAATAAAAAAAAAATCCAAATAAGTTTCATAAAATTCCCCGGGAGGGATACTCCAAACATACGTTTGTATTTGGCGTTTTGACCCATATATTATATAATTCTGAAAAAAAAAACTGATAACAGAACGAAGCAGTTTCAATCATATAATTTATCTCTAAATTTAAAGTACAAGTCGTTCAGGAAGTAATTATATAATTATATTTAATTGTAATTATATCATATGCTTGCTAATTTTCAATAAATCAAGGTTTTAAAATTTTTTTACAAAATGTATAGGCTTTCTTATCAATAGGGCTCTGGACCAGTGATATGCAAATTCCTGGGAATTTTATTTCCTAGAGTATTCCCAAGACCGAGACTTGATTGGGAATATTATAGTTTTTATAAATATTGTTCATATGTTTCAATGTTTAATTAAACTTACAGTTATAAATTATTTGAATACTAAGAATAGGAAGACTTTGGTAACTCCAAAAATACATTTAATTTATATTAGATATAAATAAGATATTAGATACAAATTCAAGTTATGCACTTAATATCAGTTTTCATGTAAAGATTGACTTTAATAATTACTTTTTTTTTATAGATAGACCGTGCAATTAAATATAAACTAATTTTAAATTAAAAATTCTACTAATATTCATATTTTACTCTATGGATAAATATAGAGTGATTCTTTTCTCATGGACCACTCAGTATCTCATAGGGTTTAATAAGAAATTACATTTTTTTTTTCATATTGTTTTTATACGTATCACATTGTGATCTCAATTTTTCTCAACTTTTTGTTTGATCGCAATCCCAACTTATTTTTTTTACAACTTTTGAATTTTTAATGGTAACATATCCATTTTATTAACTTTTTAAATTGAGAACAGCGTACTATTAATTTTGAGTGGTCGATAACCAGTTTCGGTTAACTATTTGTGAAGTTATTGAAGTTTCAAGCTTAGGACAGAAGAAATGGTGGAGTGTAGTACCTATAATATTTTTATCTGCGTTCATTTCCCAATCGCACTTTTCCCCTATCCTAACTTTTAAACTCTTATAACTTCAAAAATAGTTTTCCAAAGCTGGTTATCAACCCTCAATATTTTTAGTACATTATTCTAAATATAAAAAGTTAATGAAATATATGCGTAACCATTTAAGTTTTAAAAATTGCTATCAAAAAAGTAAGTTGGAAGAGTGGTGAAAACAAAAAAAATTGTGAAAAATATAGATCACATTGTATAAAAAAATCACGAAAAATAAATTACATATCTTATTACCTTAACCCTATGAGATATTGAGTGGCCCATTTTAAAAGAATCACCCTGTATATAAAGTTCTCTATTTTCATAAATCCTTATGCATACCTAATTGTAATCACGTTAGTCAGGTATTTGTAGACAGCACACATTTTTTTGGCATTTCAGTGCTGTCATGCCAAAAGTGACCCAAGTGAAAAATCATATTTAAATATCTTTTTTTATCAAAAAAAAGCATTTAAAGATGTTTTTGCACTTACATCATTTTATCACATAGTCATTTTGACAGGAGGCCATCAATTTATTTTATTTTTTTAATTTTATTAGGTATTAGTACTTTTATTATTTTTTCATTAGCTTACAATCAAGTGAATTTATTTAAAACAGGTAAGTTAACCAAAAAACTATACATCTGATATGTATTTATAAGTGTTGAGTTCATATTTTCACTATTAGATATTAAATCTTACTAAAATGTTTTCAATCTAAACTTTTTTTTTCTGTTGTACCACAATGTCAATAAGACATTAGACTTGAGTAAATTTTTTTAGTCGTTTACAAGTATTTTTAGACCTCAAGTCTAAAAATTACGCTAAGACAATATAAATTTAAAAAAATGTCCACTCCTTAGGAAGGTTAAATACATTTTCCTGGTTATTGATTATCATTCAGTAAAGACGTTTATACCAAATAAGTTGAAATATTTGGAAACCAGTTAATTGCTTTTGAGTGGTATAGAGACAATAAAAATCTTATTTTGGCTTTTTAAAAATTCAGGTTGTCCTGCTGTGTCCTTAACAAATTAGATAGGCTGTCTACTAATTTTTTTTTATTTGTACAGTTAAAGGGTCCATTGGCACAACACTTAAAAGCAAATTTTTTAAACATATTTTTCTATTTTAATTTTGTAAAACTTGTTTTTTACCATACTATCCTGTAAATCAAAAACTTGTAATATATATAAATTAAAAAAAATTTCTGATGTTTTTGGATAAACTTTTTATACATTATATGATGGAATACTTTCGAATCCGTGCTTTTAGTTTTTAGCTGTTAAGTGATTTGCCCCTGGATCCTACAATTATTATAGATTAATAATTTTATACTTACAGTACTATATAAGATTAAGCGTTAAAAAAGTTTGATCCTTCCTTTTTAAATGGAGATAAACACACAAAAACTGATTTAACTTGAAAAAATAAAAAATATATAATTGTGTGTGTATGTATATATATATATATATTTATTTATATTTATTAAGTGTTGTTTTTAATAGAATTATCTTATATTTTTCAGATCCCAATTAAGTTATTGTAATTGCAACATTGTTCTGCACTATTACTAGCAAGAAGTGGGATCCAGTAGCTGTAAGTAATCTGTCAAAATAACCCTTAAATAAATCATTAAGAAACAGTTTATCGTTTTATTTTGAATTAAACAGTTATATTTAATATTATATTAATTATTTTGCTGAGAAAAAAAAAAATGTTATTAAATTAGGCTACACTTTTGACTGGGAATGAATAGATATGCCCCCAGTAGTAGAAAAAAAACATAGTACAACTAGTAAAGGAATATTGAATCGCAAGTCTAAAGAAAAAAAGAACAAACGCAAATTAAAACATAAAGAACACAAAAGAAATAGCGGTTCATCATCAAATAAACCTTTAGTTGAATATTCAGATGTAAGTTCCGAAGAGCTTAGCAGTCCTGAAGCAGGTGAAATACATAGTGATGTTGAGGAGAGTGCAGTTGCACGACAGCAAAAATCTATAAATGACATAATTGTTCAAAATATACATATAACTAAAAAAAATTCGCCTAAATCCTTATTAGAAACCTGTTCTGTATTAAATAATCAATGGGAACAGGATTCATTGCCTGATGAATCTTCAGTGTTAACAAACTTTACCAAAAGTAATGGTGTTACAGATATAATGTCGTCTCCTAAGCAAAAACGACTAAAACACAAAAAATCTAAAAAACTAAGTAAAAAATTCACTAGCCCTTGTTCTAAGAAGAAAAAAAAGAAGAAAGAGATCAAAGAAATAACTGATTCGTCCAACTTTGGTAATAGTAGTTTCTTAAAGCTTCCTGTTCTGCCTGAATTAAAATTTTCCAAAAACAATGGGGATACTTTGGTTGAGTCTTGTAGTATTGTACATCCCCCCAATGAGGAATCACATACTCCACCATTAGCACAGTCAGCTTGCATAGCTGTTTCCAAAGTTGAACCAACCCACAATGAAGATGCAAAACATATCAAGCACCTTAGAAAAGAAGAAGAAAAAAGGTAACACATTATCTGTCAGGCTTATGTTAACAAAAATATATAAATAACTTTGTAACATTGGTTTTAAAGTATAATTCTATTTTATAGTGTGGGTCTTGTAGGTTACGATAAATATTTGTGATTTAGTTGGTTGGTCTTTAACCTCGATTCAATTTTTACAACTGTATTATTAAATTATTATTGCCTCTTTCTTTTTTAAGTTGGATGAAGAGCCCATCATTATTAAATATAGAAACAAGAAAAGAGTATAGTCGTACCCCTGAACCTCCAGATGGTCGATACAGTTATAGTTCAAGGAGTACTCCAAAACATCACAGCCGGTTTGTATTTATAAAGTATTTTTTGATTAGTTATTAAATACTTTTTTTTTAATTTTTAGTGACCATAAAAGACGAATGGACGATTATAATGATAGATGCGACAGCGATGGGTTAAAACACAGTAAAAATAAAGCTCGTGATAAATATGAAAGGAGTAGAACTCGAAAAAAGAAAACTGATAAAGCTAGATCACCTGGTCACAGTCATAGGTAAATAATAAATTTCATTTACTTGTATTTATGATGACGGGTTGCATGAATGTTTATAAAAAATTTTAATCAATCAATAGACAATTTTTTTTGTTTTTGAATAGCTTTTGTTGTTAATAAACATATTACAACTCAATGATTATAAGTAATTATGGTCTAATTATATCTTATTATTATTTATTATATAAGAAATATGTTAATGTTGCCCTATTTAAGTATACATATACATTTAATAATGATACTAGATTAAGAGAGAGTTTATAACGGAGAGTGAATTGTAAATATTTAGAAGATGACTTGTTTTAAGCGTATTACAAAGCAATAAGTGTAGACAGTGAATTACAAATTATTATAAGGTAAATATGGTATTATTTTTAGAAATTTAAGATGCTAATGGAGAAACATTATAAAAAAAGAATATTAACTGATGTGTGTCTAAATGTTAAAAATTTTTGTGCAACCTAAAATAAGCTTAGTAGTTGTTTGTAATTATATACTTTCTTGGATTAAAATAATACAATACATTTGTATGAAATTATTTTTACTTTAAATCAAATTAATATGGTCATAACTAAAATATACTAATAAGTAGTAACAGTCTACTTAACAATTCTCAAGTCTCAACTATTATACATGGTTACTAATTTTTCATGTTACTTATAACAAGGAAATGTAATGTAAAATGTAACATGAAATTTAAATAACTCTTTTTTACATTTTAAAATTATCAAATTAATTGCATTGATGTGATTAAATTGCAAAGCCAATCTGGTGGAAGAAATAAAATAACTAGGATAATTGTAGTAATAGGCATAGTTTAAAGTTTGAAATGTTCAGAGAGTTCAGGAAATTGGAATGAGAATTCCATAAAAGTATTAATACTTAAGAAGGAGAACACATCAAAATATTTTGCCAATATTACAAATTGCAGGATTGTTACTGAAATACTATGCACTGGAAAGAATTGTTTTAACTATTTTTTTTAGCTAAAAGCAAATTGTGGTAAAAGAATAACTTGTTTGTGGTTTAACTGTTATTTAATTATACTCATTTATAATATGGTAACAAAAATGAAAACTTTTATGTTCTTCTTACTTGTTACAGATTATCAAGAAGTCCCATACGAGGAGATCGGCGCCATCATGAGCATTTAAGGAGTTCAAAGCTATCACGTTCTCGATCACATTCACCTCACATAAGACATGATCATAATGATTACCACTCGCCGAAACATTGCCAAAAATCTCCAGCTCGTATCCATTTAAAATCTTCATCTAAACATACGTCCTATCCATCAATATTATCCCCTCATCATAATTCCTCTGCATCCTCTCCACACAGGTCTCGGTCATCGAGGAAACCTTCAAATCGTTCCAGTTCAAAGTACTTTAGATCGCCAACTAAAAATGTCCGTAGTCGCAGTCGTTCACTTACTCCAAATAAGGAGTCTAGAAATAGAAACTCAGATAGTGACTCGCTTGAAAATTATTCATCCGCTTCCAAAGGAAAAAGATTGAATAAAAGTCCTTCCAAGCAATTTAAGCCAAAAATAAAAATGAGTGAAACAAGTCTGTTTGCTGAATTAGTAAAAGATCGAAAAAGGCAAGAATTGGTTATGAAACGTTTAACACAAATAAGTAACAAGACTGGTGATGATGTTGAAGTAGTAGAAATTCATGATGATTCGGAAACCGAACAAAAAGACAGTGAGATTTATAATTTAAACTCAAAGTCATGTAAAAGTAATGGAAATGATGATATTGATTCAAGTGTGCTGGGCAATGTATCAGAAAATACAGTGCAACCCAGCAACTCTGAACCAGAAATAACTTCTGTAAAAACAAATAATATTCCAACTTCCAAGGATCCAAATAATGTTATTTTTAGCCCTACAGTAGAAAATAAAGAGAATGGAGTACAACAGTCACAAGAATCAATTTCATCAAATTCGTCAAAGTTATCACCACTAGATAAAAATATAACTGTACAAAATGATAACTTGGATATATTAAAGGTGCCAATGCCACCTATAGCTGATTTACAAAATCACGTGTCTCCAGATTCTGAGATTAAATTTTCAAGAAAAAGTATCAAGGACTTACCTTTACCACCTGGTAATTATATTAAAATATATTTATTAAACATTATTTTTTTTGACAATGTATTATCTTACGCAGAATAGTAAAAATGCCTTTGCATATGATTCAGAATGCAAATGCAGTAATATTAATTATAATTGATGTTTTTCTCGAGTGTTTTAGCTATTTTTATGATAAGACATTTTGTGTTTGGTGCTCTAATGTCAGTCTGTTTCCAGACATAAACATGAAAATCAAATGTACTTATTACTGTTTTTTTTAGGGTCTGTTCCCGAACCAAAGATGGAGGGAAAAGCACCGTTAATACCAGAAATGACACCCAATACTCATCCGTTACCAGGATTCGAACAAAGTGTCGTTAAAAGGTCAATTATGTTAGGCTTAGGCACTGGATTCCCACAAAGTTTTTCTTTTACTTCAAATTCCAATCGACCAATTCGCCCTATAGATCCAAATATTAAGATTAAAAGACCAAAAGTGTTACATCGAAGACGAGGTACAAAATCTGCTGCTGCTAATAGCCCTATTGATTGGGGTGAACAATGTGTTGACATGTTTGAAGTCATAAATCAGATTGGTGAAGGTACTTATGGTCAAGTTTATAAGGCTAAAGATAAAGCTACAGGTAATATAACAGTCTTTTGAAAATTGTATGTTATAAGATATATTTTTAGTATTACATAAGTGTTAACCCTTAAATTGGGGCAATGTGGTCGAGTAGACTGACGTGGCAATGCTTATATTTGAAGTTAAGTCGCTAATCATATATCTTGCCGGGCGGGGCTAATTGTCTAGTGAAAAAAATGGCCACCTCTGAGCGTAGATGGTGACGAGAAACCACCACATCTTAAATCTTCCTCAAGTCACAACTCTTAGTTGTTTACCAATAGAAGTTTTTTGATTACTTTAGGTGTTTTAGTTGCTTTAAAAAAAGTACGTCTAGAAAATGAAAAGGAAGGATTCCCTATAACAGCTGTGCGTGAAATTAAAATTCTACGTCAACTAAATCACAAAAATATTGTTAACCTCAGAGAAATAGTTACTGACAAGCAAGATGCTTTAGATTTCAAAAAGGTGAGTACAAACATTTTTTCTTATTGTTTGAGTATGTAATTAAATAAATTTGTTTTTTAAATTTAGGATAGAGGTTCATTTTATTTAGTTTTTGAGTACATGGATCATGATTTAATGGGCTTACTAGAGTCGGGAATGGTAGATTTTAATGAGACACATAATGCCAGTATTATGCGCCAGTTACTAGAGGGCCTAAATTATTGTCATCGTAGAAATTTTCTACACAGAGACATTAAGTGCAGCAACATCTTAATGAACAACAAGTACACATTTTAACATTATACTATTGATTTTATTATAAATAGATTGGTTAACCTAATATTATTGTCATAAATATCTCAGTCTTTTATTTACCCTGCTTGAATGTTTGGTGCTGCTGTTTTTAACAATAAAATGGCCAATCTGTTTAATAGGAAATCAATGTTTACACATTTCATATATACTCTGTTCAAAATAAGAAACGACTTCGGCGGCTACCTGAAAACCAGTATTTTACGTGGCTTTCAGATAGCCGCCGAGCTCGTTTCTCATTTTAAACCGAGTTAGTATAGTATATTTGTAGGCATAGATTAGGGCAGTGGCCTAACCCCATTATAATAATTTATTGATGCTGAACCTCCCATGTGTCTATTTGCTACCAAATATTTATGTCTCCCTTCTCAATGATATTTTTCATGATCTTTGCCTATGAATATGTATTTATATATAAATAAGCATAGTTTATATTTGTTTGTTTTGTTTTAGAGGTGAAGTGAAACTTGCAGATTTTGGACTGGCTAGATTGTATAATGCTCAAGATAGACAACGACCATACACCAATAAAGTTATAACACTATGGTATCGACCTCCCGAGTTACTGCTTGGAGAAGAAAGGTATGGTACATCCATTGATGTTTGGTCTTGTGGATGTATATTAGGTGAATTGTTCTTAAAAAAACCATTATTTCAAGTATGTAATAAACTTATATTTATTATTTCTGAGCTAGTTTAATGATGAAACAAACTAATTTTTTCTAGGCTAATGAAGAAATGATGCAATTAGAAACTATATCACGACTTTGTGGAAGTCCAACTCCGGCTGTATGGCCTACAGTAATTAACTTGCCCTTCTGGCATTCCTTGAAAGCAAAAAAAGTACATCGTCGACGTTTACGCGAGGAATTTACATTTATGAATGATGGAGCATTAGATTTATTAGACAGTATGCTAGAGTTAGATCCTAGTAAGAGAATTACTGCTGACAAAGCTTTAAAATGCAGTTGGCTAAAGAACGTACAACCAGAAAAGTGAGTGTAAATTCGTCTTATTATATACTGCTCTAATAATTGGCACAGAACTAATTTTTAATTATTGTTTCCTACATTATTATCAACACCAAATGCAAACACCCACTATTTATGATCTAAAATTAATTTCTACAATTTTTTTTAATTCAAATTAACGGGTAATGAAATAGAATTTTTTAGTACACACCAAACAATTTTACTACTTCACAAATGTATAAATTACTTTTTTTTAATAATATTTTAGATTGCGAATTTGTAGATCAAGAGGGTGTCTATACTTGAAAGGTCAACACCCTCTCGCTCTCAATACGACACTAAATATTTTAGTTTAAACTTACACTTGTGTTTTTCCTTAAGAGGATGCTATACCGCCTATTTCCAAAGAGTAAAGTATAGGCAATTTTTTTTAGAAAAAATTTTTATTTTGAATTTGAACTATAGTGTAAATTTATTTATTAATACAGTGATGAGGATTCTTCATCAATTATCATATTTTTTGTCAGATTATCACAGTCATTTCTATTGGATAAATTACAATTTTTTCTTTATCAAAAAATGCTTTGTTTGGGACAAGTATGTGAGGCCAGCATTAATGGTAGATTTACAACAATTTCACAATTTATAGAGAAGAACTTTATCTACGGGGTAGCGTTTTTATTTTGAACTTGATATTTTTTTATAAACAAATGAAAAAATGTAAAAAATGTATCTTCACGAAGGAATAATTTTGATTGTGCTAAAATTAAAAAAAAAACTAAAAACGCTACTCCACGGATAAAGTTCTTTTTTATCCATTGCAAAAAAAATTATATGATTACTGTGAATACTGCCCTCACATTCCTGTCCCTCCCAAAAACATTTGATACAATATGTTTTTTATCAACTTTATGTTTCATTCTTGTTTTAATTTTGTACAACTTTAGAATGGATGTTGTGGCAGCACTACCAACTTGGCAGGATTGTCATGAACTATGGAGTAAGAAAAGGAAAAGGGATCAAAGGGTACGAGAAAATCAACCAAAAAATAATGAAACTGGTGAATCGGTACCAGGGTTAGTATAAAATCAACATCTACTTAGTTAATTAATAATACAAGCTATTATATTATTATGGGATTTAATTTATTAACAACAAAATAATATACATTTTCTTCTATTTTAGAGTTCCTTCTGATCAGCAAAATAATGGAAACAATTCTGCTGAAGGCACCAAACCAAATTCTGAAAATAATAACTATAACGAAGTTGAAAATGATATTGCATTAGCAGCAATAGTTAGCAATACTAACATTGAATGTAACAAACTTGATAGTGACGATGTTGAAAAACCAAAAAATTCTAATGCAGAAATTGATGAGGTATTTAATCTGTAACTTAGATTATCTTAATTTAATCTAGTTGTCAAGTAAAAATCTTACTGGGAAAAAGTAATCATATGTTAATATAGTGAATAATGTACAGTATCATTAAGGCTGCATTCTTTATTCATTAATATTATAAGTTATTAATTTTGTTATTTGTTTTAATTTTATTTTTAATCGAGTATAGTTTTTAATTTAATACTCATCGTTAAAATAGCTGACTAGAATACTATGTTCAATTGGATTAATTTTTTTCCGATATCTGTATAATAAGTGCATGTACTAATATCTGACATTTATTATTATTATATGTCGGAAGCAATTCATGCAATACTAAAATCTTGCCTTAGTGATGTTTTTGAAGTTTACACTATTCTATTGTAAAGTCATTAAATTACTTGCATACAAACTAATTAATCCATAAGTGTTAATTACCTATTTATAGCATTGCTTTCACAATAATTTGTTATTCAACTGTACAATGTACATAATATTATATGATGGTGGTCAAGTAAAATGTGGTATTAGCGCTACATATTTAAAAAAAAAAATGTACTGCACTTTAAATAGTATAGCTTAAATATAGTGTAAGGCTTAGAGTTAGGTTTCGTGCAGCAAAATTACCTGTTATTAATTTTAAAGAAGACAACTTGATCTGTATTAGTTGAGAGACATTTTCGAATTTATTATTTGTAACATAGTTATGATAAAACGTATCAGACATTTCATTTTATTAAGCTCCCCTAGTATTGGTTAAAAAAAGAACAGCTTAATGTAGACACAGCATAGTGGGGTTGGACCAGTCATGGTATGAATGAATTATGTCTGAAAGTTAAATTATATACAATTGGGACCTAAGATGGTAAACATATTATTGCCAAATAACCAAAAAAAAAAAAACATTGTATATTTGACAGTTAAATATACAAGCCAGTTAAATTTAGAGCTATGTATTTTGAACACCATCGACGGTTTTTGTAACATACGTTTTTTTATATAAAGCTGTTCCAAAAGCGTCTTTCAAATTATTGACAAACCCCTGGCTATAGCATATAGGTCAGGGGCTTATATTTCATATAATTTTAAATATTATTTTGATATATCTTGTAACCTGGTTAAAAATTAAGTTTCCCCTATTATTTATGTAAACTGTTCACCACTGTGATAACTTCGGATTTAAGGTCCATAAAATATTCTGTACTAAAATGATATTTTACTAACTAATATAAATGTTTTTCCGAACTTCATTTGTTATTTGTACCAAAGAAAATAACTGTAAAACCAAATTAGCTTATAACTTTTTTTTTTAATGTAAAATTATTATCAAATTTTCAATTCTTTTTTCTAGAGAGTATAGTCTGGTTTTTTTCCAGAACTTTATCTGAACCTCTCTGATTGTCTAAGTACCTATGACCAAATGCCAAGAGCGATTTGGTTAGCCGAAAGATCTAATGTGCGCTATCTAACTGCGAGCAGCGATACTTATGCCTATATCAGTTTACCTCTGTGTTGTAACTAAAATTAAACAATTGATCTTAATTAATAAGAATATAAATCAATAAGTTATTTTTATAACACTAAATCTGTTTGTAATAGATGATTATGGCCTAACTCTAATCCATTTATTCTTAGTATTTGAAGTAGTACATATATATAATAAAGTATGATACATTCCGTTTGTGTCAAAAAGTGTTTATATAAAGGCATGTACTAATATCTGACTTACATAATTATTAATTGTATGTTGGAAGCAAACCATGCTAAATAAATAATTGGTTGTGATGGCAAATTTATTGGACATTATAAATGTCTACTTTTCATCAAACCTACAGTAAATTTATAAAAATAAATTACCCAAGTAGAACTGTTTAAAAAAAAATTTTTTTCTAAAGCTTTACCCTTTTAATCTATGGTAGCCTACTTACTAAAATAAGAACTCTCTAAAATTTCAGATCTCTAACTCAACTCTTAAGATTAATTTGATTAACATTTTTTGCATTTGATTAAAACTTCAAAACTAGTCAACATTTTTTTGATTTGAAAAAAGGTACCTTTACCTAAAATATGACACTTGAACAATAGTTTTTATGATATTTTGTGATTTTTTTTAGCAAGGTATCAGGTTATCAGTTTTATTAATTTCAGTGGGCTGTTACTTGATAAAAATAATATTTATCATAAAATAATTAGTGATTTTATAGTCTCATTTTTCAGGTTAAATATATTTTTTTTAATTGTAAATATTTTGATTAGTTTTCTAGTTAATTGTTTTGTCAGCTCTTATAATATAATCGATATTTAAATTAAACATTCTTTTTTTTTCAGGTGACTAGTACTACTTTAGATATAGTTGAAGACCTCAATCTTACTCCGCCAATTAACAATGAGTTCAGCTCTTGTGTGAACTCATTTTTACCACCTACTGAACGATTTTAGGTCATTAAATACAAGTGTTTTGATTCTTAATTATTATAATACTTTATTCAATGTAGTTTATCTTAATTGAATAATATTCTACTTCAAAGTTATTCGGTGAATATATAATTTATATGGGTAATGACTAACCATGTATTTTTTATTAATCTTGATTATGTTTATAACTTTGACTTAAGTTAAATTCAAATTTAATTATTTTTATATTTTTTGTTCTGTGAACTTAATTACAATTATATAATATTTGTAAATCGATTTTCTTCTGATTTTAAGAGCATATATTTTTTTATTATATAAATATATGTTTGACATATTGTCTAGATGGGCACTTGTTTGTCGATGTTATAATACTATTACTCGGTGTTTATACATACTTGTATTTTACTTTAAAAAAGAAGCCCATTCTTACTTTGTAAATGAGATAAGTAATTTTATTTTTTTATTTCCAAGAAACGAACCCCAAATTGTATTGTACTAAACATAAATTTAAAAATGATATGTAAATACGCGCTTAAAACTGTCTTTAAACAGACAATCGATTATCAGGGTACAAAGTACAAACAATAGTTCAACAGTAATTTCAACTTAGTGCGGTTTTTAATCTATGTTTCTCTATGGAATTTTTAGACTGTCTAGAACTATTTAAATTTGTTGGAAACCTTGTCGTGTATTGTTTAAATTTGATATTGTACAATTTGTAAGTATTCATGTTTAAGTTAAGGACAAAAACAATGTTGTAAGTATGACTTGGCTGTAAAACGGAAATCATTCATTATTTTTGTTAAAATAGGTATTATATTTATTCGTATATTGTATTGTACAACAGAGTTTTGTCTTTGTCACGTGACGTCTAAATAGTTGTTAAGATAATTTTTCGGAGGATAATGTAATGTGTTTATGAACAAGAAGTTGTTTTATGTATGCTATTGTGTATATTTGACACTGTAATTATATTTTACCATAATAATACAATAATTAAAACAACGTAAAAATAGTGACAAACAAACAATATTCAAATAATGTGTGTGAATTAAGTTTTTTTAATTGTTACACCACGGTATAGAAGAAGAAAATCTTCTATACCGTGGTTGTATATTATGATATCAGATGTATTTATGTATAATATTTACATTTTACATGTATGTTTAATGTTATATAATGTTTAGCATATATATTCTTCTCATTATTATTTTTAAACAAACTAAACGTGTATATGTGATAAAATAATAATTGTTTGAAACAAATGTACTTAAACCGAACATGTATAACGTTGTTCACTATGTTTTTTTTTTTTTAATTAATAATCTTTATTTTATTGTGATATTGTTTCTATATTATTATTTAATCATACATACGCGAGGGCTAGATTCCTGAGCAGGTAGTGATATTTTAGAGTAGTTACCACTTTCTAGAAATTAATTCCTAGAGAGTGGTTTCCCTTTTTCGTTTTCAGCCATAAGGATTAAAAAAACTATAAATTCACAAAAACGATACAAATTTGTAAATACCTATTTGTCAAACAAGTATATATATTGGTCAACCTGACAAACTCGATGGGTCAGAGAAGTCAGTTTTTTAGTAACTATAAGAGTGAAAAAATAACATTTATATTTAATACATTTTTGACGTTTTTGTTAGTTGAGAATACTACCGAGTGAAGTTTTTGACAGATTGCTTGAAAAATGTATAATAATTCCAAATAACAAATAAAAATATTAAAAAAAACTAAATATTACTTTTTTTTCTGAAAAACGTGGTTTGCACTAAATAAATGATAGTTTTTTCCTTAATAAAAACAAATTTGACAACAAATTTTTGAAAACCACAGTTAAGTCTAATTTTTAGACCTTAAGCTCTAAAGGCTTTTAGTATAAGGTGAAAAACTAAATATGAAAACGTATCTACCCTTCATAAAAAGGTTGCCAGCGTACTTTTCAATGCTATATAGAATACAATGTATATACATAGAATGTTTTGGCAATAATAGTAATATTGCTTCACTGTAAACCTGTAGTACTGTATCTAAAGAAAAACCCACTCCAGTTGGGAAGTAATTAGACTATTTTATTAAAGGGAAGTGGTAATTTTTTCGTTATTGACTTTCAGGTCTATTATTCAACAATAGACATGCTACATGAAGACATTTATCTAGCAGTTTAAAAGATGTCATAGGTCACCGCGCTTCTCAACAGAGAAATTAGAACATTTTTCTTCCTAACATACACTCTACAAAAATGATAAAAATGACCAATTGGTTTAAATCAATTCAAAAAAAAAAATGTTGATAACTTTGTTACAAAAATTATTTTTGTAGGAATCAAAATCTGGTACTAAGGTACCATATGGTAAGATATGTGTCGATGAAAGTTGCATGTACACTGTACACCTAAGTATGATTGAAAATATCCCAATTACATAATATTGTGATATCTTTCATATAAACAAATGATTCCAGTAACTAATTATCGTAGAACGAAACTAAAACACATGTAAATGTTTTAATATTAGTTTTTTTGAACAAATATACTATTATATAATCCAAATTTGTAAATGATTTGGTACAAATAAATAATTATACATTATATATATATTGTGACATTAGGAAAGAAGAAGTTTTATTTATGTTAACATAATTATTAATTAAAAAAGCACGAGAAAAAAAATGATTGAAATAAATAAATAAATAATAGTATACAGAAATTATAAATTTTAAAATTAATAAAATAAAACATTTTTCCTCAAAAATATTTAGGTAATATCTAGTGATTTAAAGAGTTATTACTATATCATAAAGTAAATGCTTTAAAAATATAACTTATTAAAAGTAAACAAGTCTAATATTATATGAAAAAATGAATATACTATATATATTTATAAAAAAGTATACATAAATATACATGTACAATACATTATAATTAAATCTTTCAACATTTCAAGTTAACATTTTGACAAAATTTACTAAAAATATAAGTATTTATTTCGCTATACAAATTCACCCCTTTACACAATTTAAGTCATTAAATTGTGAGCAGTTTTATACTGTTTAAAAAACATGATTAATATGCATTATGGTCATTTAGGTCATTCTAGATTAAACAAATAAATTATATAAATAATAAGTTATTTAACAAATTGTTGTTATTAATAGGATTATGCTATTGAAATATTCGTGACATCTCAATTTCATACATAATATGAATTACAAAAAAATGATCACGTCAGTCAATAGAAAAGAAAATGATAGATTTATTAAAATGTATGTTATTTAGTGTCAAGCATTAATTTAGATATAGTATTATTACTGAATTAATAAAAGTTAAAAAAAAATTACCAATAAATATTATTTATTTAAATATTCAATATATTTAGCAATTTTAGCATTGTGTGTGCGGGTATGGGCTGTATGTACATCTCTATTCCCAAACACACCATCATATTGCACTTTTGATATTCCTAAAGAAACAAAAACAAAATTTATGAAATCCACATGATCATAGTAATATTAACCAATAAATACATACTTTGAGTTTTGTCAGAAAAGTGAATCAGTACAACAGTTTACAGATCTTTTAGTAAACTTGATTTAGCATTTTTTAACTTATCAAAGCGTTTTAACAAATGCATGTTGGAAGTTTCCAGTTCTTCAACTTTAGCTTGGGCTTCACGAAGCTAAACATATAAAACCGTTAGATTATATTGATATCAATAAATTACTACTTTAAAATATGATTGTAGTAACAACGAATGATGTAAAAAATTACCTCGCGTTGCATTTTACGCTTTTCCAATTTAAGCTCATCTTCAGATTTTTCAGACGCTTCCGAAGCAGTCTTATACCTAATGACTTGACTTTCTAGTCTAGCTACCTAAAAGAAAAGAAATTTTAGCCAATTAATCAATACAAAGTTAAACAAAAGGCCGATACTTACATTGGCTTGTAAGGTGGAAATGTCCTGTTCGGCTTTTTGCCATTTAAATTTATAGTCTCCAAGTACTTTATTGGTTTCTTCTATTAAATTATAATATGACCAATATTAACAATTTAAAAAATATATATTATTTTTTAATTGAATGTAAAAAAAAAAAGAAATGTTTTAGAAATAACTACCAATTTATTGATGCGGTTAAACTCACTTTGGGTATCTTCCAAATCATCCGAATCTGTACCATTACAATGGCTATCACTGTGGTGTTTTGCTTTTTGCAACTCTAAATTGAGCCTGTTAATTTCTTCTAGGTAACCAGCACGTTCATCAGCAAACTTTTTAAGTCGTACATCTAAATGTCAATGTTTTTTTATCAAATTTGTTTACTACACTGAATGATCTCATAGTGTCATAAATCATAATTAAAATTGAAAATAGGAAAACAAGAATTTAATAATGAATTTATTACTTTTTTATATATAACCAAGTGGAGGGCTTGTTGAACTCCCCCTCCCCATATCTGCTGCTCCCTTAAAATTGTTGATGTAACTAGTAATTTTGACAGTAAATGCGCTAAATTAAATATAGTAATACTAGCATACGTCTATTATGATTGATAAAGACTAATTGATGATATGTTATACTGATAGGTACCTAATGTTTTTGGCTACCGTTTTATATTTGATTGTAAGTAAAATTTTCATGAGGGCTGAGTCAACGTGTAAAATAATAAGCTTTTAAACAAGGTAAAAAATTAATAAAACTCATTACGTAAAAATAAATATTCAATAGCAGTGTAGTCAGTCAATGCTAAATGCATAAATTATAATTGAAAATCTTGAAATATTATTATCAATTGTAATAAAAAATCGTTTAAACCTTAACTGACACATAATATATATATATATATATACTTTAAATAATAATTTTATGACGACAATATCCCAATTTAAACATACCTAAACAGCCTTCTCCTGCACCTTGTAATAATTGAGCATTCTCTACAGTTACTAAAGCCCGTTTAATAGTAATTGCTTTACATTGGTCACTCTCATTCCACTCTTCTTGCTCTGTACTAACAATCACTAGGCCTTTTTCCTAAAAATTATAAGCAATTAAATTTTGTTTACACATTTTTAATAGATTAGCTAGTAATATTTTTAAATAAATTTACTTCAATTAGCCTATCTCGTTCTTGCAGTTCGTGTTGTAGGGCAATTACTTCAGTTCTTTGGGCAGTTAATAGACGTTTTAATTTTTCGTTCTCCCTACAACTCTCTTTATGTTCTTTCTAAACAAATGTACAGGAACAATTAGATTAAAGGCTGTACTTACAGACCACTCAAAAATGTACTAAAAAAATTACTCCAATTTAAATAAAATCGTAATTTACTTTTAAATGCATAAATTCTTCTTCTATGTCTGTATATTTGTCTTTGTATAGTTCTACCATGTATGTGGCTGCTGCTTTTTCGTTGTCCAGTTGAGCGTTTTGTACCATAGCCTTTCGAAATTTATCTTCTAGATCTTTCAACTCCATCTATAGCAAACGAAATATTGTTCCATGTAATGGTAGGCATTTTTAGTATTATTATTACTACATTATGTCTGAGAAATGCGAAGTTACCCTGTAATCTCGAAAATTGGGAGTAGTCTCATCAAGAGAATCAATTGAATTGCGTCGACTAGATTGGTAACTGTTTGATATGGAGCCAGGTGTTCGGGGACTAGCGACACCGGTAGTGACTCGAGATATTCGATTTATGTTTAGTCCATCTGAAAATAGATAAATAAAAGTCAGTCATAACACAATATCATAGTATTAAGTTTAAAATATTTCGATACATAATTATTACATGTATTTATGACACATTTAATTAATTATGTTTTAATGTTTAATAATCATTAGAACGCATCAACGCAGATGTATTCAACATATCATAATGGGATATTATTATATTATAAATCACACAGCTTATTCCATAATCAATACGATATATTTCCAAAAAGTATACGATCACAATAATTTATACCCTCAGTAGTAATAATAAGTAAATATTTTTAGCTCTGATGCAGAGCAAATTAGTTTTGCAATGATGTTTTCATTTTTTTCAATATGCAGAGTAAAAGGGGTAAAGTCAGGTGTAGTTTTAGGAGATTCGGGTCTGCAATTTTAGACTAAGATAGATCTAGTGTGGTCCTATAGCATAAACGAACTTCTCAAAAATTTGTAGTCACGATTTTTTAATAGAAACTAAGGGGAAAAAACTAAAACCCGATTACAAATACAAACATTTTTAATATGTAACAAATTAATATTTTTATAAATGTATTGAACATTTCGAAACTTACTAAGTAATAATCCTCTGTTTACCATTTCAGATTTCTTACACCACGTCATGACAAAGAAGAAGAATATTATTGTAATCTCTCATATTAAATTACAACCAAAAGTAACTTATTTATTTTAGTTAGTAATTACAATACACATGTAAAAATATATTATTTTCAAAGCATTCGTCGTTAATATAGCAATATATAAAAATGATTAGTAATAATTTATTATACATAGTATCACTCTGAATAGTTAAAATAAATGTTTTTTATTTCCAGTACATTAAACTAACTAAATAATACTTGCCTGCTGTAGACATATCAAAAGCTTTGTCAGCATTTTCCTCAGCTTCTTTTTGCTGTCGCTCGATTTCTCGCATGCGAATTTCTCTTGCTTCCACGCGGGCTTGGCGTCTAGCTGCCAAACGAGCTTCGGCCTAAAACAATACAAACAAAAGAAAAAGTCAATAAACAGAAAGACTTTTATTATTTACTTTGACAATATTTTCAAATATTATTTATAACATTTTTTTCAAAACATTCCAGCGGAGAATATACGAAACAAATAATAATTTCCGGTTCTTTCGCTTTTAATGGTTCCACAAAAGCGACCATTAGGCACTTGGATTACATACTTCGTTGTTGCTCTTGTCCAGAAAGGTAACGATCCCGTCGACTTCATTATCGGTCAATAAGTGATCGTCACTGGAGTAATAATCGTAACTGGAACTATTGCTGCGCACTCTCATCACACTCTGTCGACGGCTATTTGACACTAGGCCATCGGACAGTTCATCGATATCGCCAATTGAATATTTACTGCTATCAATGTCTTCGTCATCATTGTGTTCGGAACAAGAACAAGATCGACTAATTATTGTAGTCGGGCTGTTGATGTCGTTTGTTCTTCTACCGCCGTCGTTGATACATATCCGACATGAATACTTTTGATCGCCGTCGATGATCAGTTGAGACGACGTCTGAACGTCTTTGGCGTAGTCGTATGCTGCAGAATCGTTCAGAATGTTCACTATGGCATCGTCGTTATGATTATCGTTGCTGTACTGATGACATCCCTTTGTAGCAAACGCCGAAACAGGCACGTTAACCAGCAGTGTTGCGTCCAGCGACTTGCCATTGTTAAATTCGTCCATGTTTTGGTTGATGTATATATGAGTAATGTGACCGCCAGACACTAAATCGCGCGATGTCACCACGTCTGTATTGCTCTGATTGCAGTTGTTCATGTTGTCGCCGTCAATGCTTACTTACTGCAGGGGTACAAAGAAGTCATTCACACCTAAACACAGGCAAGTGCAACCACAGTCGTTTTACTAAACGGTTTAGTCACGATTAATGTCATCCAACCGACAGTATTCCGCCATCAGCAAGGGTGTGTTTTCATATAATAATTACTTCATCAGAATTCATCGACTGAAAATCATCTTAAATGCCACCCACCTTTTACCAGACAAGAGGATATTGTGATTTGGCGAATTGGGGCCAATCACGACCGATTTTCCACCAAAAACTTGTGGGATATAATTATTTTTAACTTCGATTCGAAACTGAGAAGATATTGTTTTATAACTATTTTCTTTTTTAGCGTCTTGACCATCATACTTAATTGCCGGATTAAAATACCATGTGGCATAATTAAGTAGAACGGAAAGGGCTATTTATTAAGGGCAGACTGCAGAGTTGGACATGATTTAATTAATATTTTATTTAATAATTTTTTGAATTATAGTTGATTATTCGTACAACCACAAATTACGAATAATAATTGAATTAACTAACTATTATACGTATTAATTCCATTTACTCATGACTAATTTAAATATTGTCCACGATTCATTTTGCAATCATGATTAATTTAACTATCACTCATGAGCTATGATTAATTTAGCTATCACTCATGAGCTATGATTAAATATTTCAATCATGACTAATTTATTCATACTTAAAAAATGTCCATTCTGAGGATAGGCAATATTGGACTAAAATCTATTTCTATTATACCGACTAATTTTAAGGTGGGCAAATAATACGTTTTCTGGTTAATAAAACGTTTTATATTTTTTTATATCTTAGTTACTACGAAAGTTTCATAAAAAATTACTTCGTAGAAGTTATTTTCTGAGATATCTATTGGACGGATTAAAATTTTGGTTTTAATAAAAAGCTTAATATTTTCTTTAAGGGGGCTAAAAGGTCGCATTTTGATAAAGAAATTAAAAAATTAGTTTAGGTTAATTAGAAAAAGCTATTTCCATTTTTTCCATTTTAAACAATGTATAAATATACATAAAATTTGTTGGAAGTTTTATTGAATTGAGGAAACAAATTAAGCGATTGAAAGCATAAATGTCAGCAAAACCATCCTCTTGGAGCTACTCCGAAAATTCAGCAATCTTATTTATTTTAACATCAGTGTTTTAACATATTGTTGAAGTTAGAGTATTTTATAAGGAAGGCTTCAGACCACCATCAAATAGGTAATATCCGTTACTGCAGGAAGGCCGACGGGTAGTGTTTTGACAATTTTACCTCCCTTGAACATTTAATAGCCAGGGTTTGATTAAAATTAATATGTTTGTTAACTTCGTATTATTCGAATTCTAGAACATAGTTGTTGGGTTAGTGTTTGAACATCAATCGTAAGTCGAGGAGTAAGGCCTGAGGGGGTTCCGAATTAGTTCTTAGAAAGAAACTTTTGAGTCGTTCTATATATAAATTCGAAAATTAAAATAGTCACCACTGATATTAACTATCGTTTATCAGTACAGTTAATTTTATATTGTCGTTTTTGTTCTAAACAGGAGTACACTATTTTTTTACTATTCTACAGATAACCATAATAATCACTTTAAAATTAAAATTCATGATTTTCGCGCACACCGAACGAGAAAAACAGGAACTCTATTTATAGATTTACTAACCACGTGTAGACGTCAGTTTGGTATTTTTAGCCACTCAAAAGTCACACAATTTGTTCGGTCGTTAAAAATTATCAAAGAACCACACCTCAAAACACTACCAATTATTAACGTTACCGGTAGCACGTCATAATGTTATGAATAAAACGACAATTGTCATTGCAACAAGCCGTTCTATAAAATATTTGTTTTCTATCTATAATAGTATAATTATTAATATATTATAATATCATTATCCATTATCTACTTCCGGCAGTTTTTAGAAGTACGTCACCTACGACGGACGTTGGTTTACACGACCCATAACAATCAAATTTTGCACTACGGTTGGTAGCAATCGAGGAATGAGATTCGCAAAAAGAGAAAAACAAAAACGGTCATGTTATTTCAAATTGTCTATACCTATTTACATATATTAAATTATCTATTTAATTATAAATTATATTTTTAACGTAGATGATGACACCACTAGATTAACAAGTGAACAAAATGCCAATGAATTTTGGAGGAGCATGTCTCATTCAAATGAACTAATTTCGATAATAGTCGATGCTTTACACACGTAGAAAGAACGTGCAATTCGACGCGCTTTGTCGCATATTTTAAAACGGAGATGGAAAAAAAACGCTAATTAAAAAAAAACACACACGAAAATACAAGCTGAACAAATAAAAAAATGGCATAATATTTAAAATCTTAATAATACGATAATATGTCACCACAATGCAATATGGATAGTATTTCAAAGCGATTAATTATAAGTGTTTATTTTTTTAACACCATAATCCCTTAATCATCTAGATACCGAGATAAAAAAAAATATTAGATCTAAAAATAGTATATAAGTAAAGCCGATTGTTATAGCATAAATAGTACAACGAAGTACTAGTGTACCGATTATCTTATTTTATAAACTGTTATTATCATATACGAATTGAATGTAACGAATTTCGTTCGAATCAAAAGTGAGCTGTACTTTACTACACCCCATGGACAATGTTATACACAAAAGTATGTTATTCCGTTATATGTCTTTGTTTAATAAAAATACCATTTATTTTTTTGGTAAATATCACAATGGATAACCTGCGTCCAATTCGAACAAAAAATAAGATTTTATTTATTTAATTGGTTTATAAGATTATTTTTTCGGATCTGTTTAAGACCACTTACCAAAGATTTGTAAAATTATTTTATTTCCATAAATTATTAATTGATTTAACAAAAAACTAAGTAATAACTAAGGTATTAGATCAACAAAAAAAAGAACATTTTTTAGTTAAAAAGCGACAATGAAGCCTTCAATGATCAACATGGTAATTGAACAAGTATACATAAAGTTTCAATGATGATCAAAGTTCCTAGTATAAGCTGCAGAGTAGCCAACACCAATAACGAATGTTTATTAGATAAAAACACCAGCAAATAGTTAAAAATACTGTATGATGAACCAACTACATAAATATACAGTTAGGCGGCATTAAATTTATCAAATGAACTAACACACAGTCGCACAAATTAAATCGGTAGTTAAAATAATATTATTAAATAATTGCTAATTAAGTCTTTATGCGTTTCCTGTTATACTAGTTCAGTTAGACGTGACCCAACAGTAGTATAATTTATTAACATACAAATAGGACACGAACATCTCATACAATATAATTACAAAATATATTTTTGATTTTGTTTTACATACAATAAATTAATCAATTTGGTATGGATAGATATTATTCTTAGTAAAACCCAATGACTATTTCGTTTTGGAATCATAGATAGAGATGGGAAGGAACTGCGACGAGGATGGGGAGGGTATTGGGAGGGAATGGAGCAAGGATGAGGAGGATATAAGGAAGAGATGGAGAAGACTGAAACGCTTGTTCAAGGATAAAAACATAGTATTTATGATTCAACGTACAGGGCGATTCAAAAAGAATGAACCGATTCCATGATCAAATATATTCCATGGTCTCCAAAGGTAAACGTTTTTTGTGCTGTATCCTGCAACAAGGTTTATGCCTTATGGCCCATTTTTCTTCAAGGCAAACTCTATTACAGGACAAACCTACGAGGATATGCTACGAAACTGGGTCTTCCCTTTAATAGAAGCTGATTCAAATGAATTCATTTTTCAACAAGATGGGGCACCTCCCCACTGAGGCCTATCAGTTAGAGCATTTTTAAATAAAAAAATTTCTACAACCATGTAACAGTTCCCCTAAAAAAAAACAAATGGGCCATAACCTTGTTGCAGGATACAGCACAGAAAACGTTAACCTTAGGAGACCGATGCACCTGGCGCGGTCACGTGGCAACCATCTGAAACTTAGAAACCGAATCTTTCAAACAGCCACTCCCTCATTCTGATTCATACATTTACTTACAAAATATTTGATCATGGAATTGGTTCATTCTTTTTTAATCGCCCTGTATTTCCGTGGAACGTTTTAATTTTTTTAACATTTTTTTTGTTACTTATTACATGGCTATTGGCTAGATGTGCTTTGTATTTAGTATATATACATTCAGTCAACATGTTTTAGGTTCAATACGGAGCTAAGAAGCCAAGAAGGTATAGGTTTTACAAATATGTGCTGTTTTTTAAAAATCATTTTTTGTGTTTTGACTCACGACATCTGAACCGATTTATTCATGTAGTAAGTTTATAGTTCGGAAATCATACTTAGAAGGTACTTATTAAAGCCACTATTGTATCAAGTATATTATTTTTCTATCAAAAACGAAAAACAAACACAAATAACGTACATAAAATTACGGCACGGTCTAACTTTTTTTTGCAAATAAGTAGAATCAATTAAACCATTTTTATAACGTTTTTATGAACTCACAATCTTGTTTGTCGTTCCGGGTGGAATCTTGCAACTCAAATTTCGAGTACTTCCCGACTAGCTATCTGGCTGAAACTTTCAGGGTAGCTCACAATTCGATGACAATGCATTATTAATCCACAAGAAGTTAAAAATTCCACCCCTAAGGGGGTTAAAATGGGGTCGATTTCCGACTATGACCCGACCTCCATGTGGTATTTTTTTTATAATTTAAACGAGGAACGATAAAAATATAATACTTTTCGTCGTACCAAAAATCGCTCATTTTCGCTGTCGTGTAGAAAATAATCCACATTCAGTCTACGTAAATTAAAAAAAAAATGTAATTAAGTAATTTATTACAAGGTGTTTGCCAACAACGAGTGCGAGATTTTATTTAAAAATGTCCGTTGGCCGTGAAGCGTGCGTTGTTTATTAGCTTTGAGAGTTATTTAGAACATTGGTTTAGACGGATTCGTACACTGCGAGTTTTCTTTTTTAAATCTGTGTCTGACAACAATATTTTCCTGGCT